TTAAGCGCAGAACCTGTTTCCCTGAAGTGTAAAACCCACCGAGGAATTGTTCTTCCATCCGGAACCGAGCCATGCCGGCCAACATCAAACTGATTACGAAAGGCGCGCTGCGTCGCTATTACAGATTCCCCATTTCTAATAAACTCCTCGGCAACGAAAGCACGATGCACTCCGCTCCAAGCCATGTCGATAACTGAAAATTGCATACTGTTGCATACAGTGTTGCCGGTTTTACAAACCGAACAACCACTATTTGAAATCCTGCTTACCTTTTTGCTGTACCCTGTATATGGCAACGAGAAAGATTAGCGCTTCGATCCAGTATGACATGAAATAGAGCCTAGTCACCCTACCACATAGCATAGCAACAAAACAGCAAAAATTCCTCGAAACTCCAATAAATCTACTGAATTTGCAAGGACTGCTAAGAACTACATGCCAATTTTTGCTGGTCTTCTTTCTATAGTCCATAACTCCACAATCTACTAATCGCGGTCATTCTAGTCACTTTCAGTGCCCGAATGTTACCGAAAAGTCTTGATCCCACTTCTGATGTCGGAGATCATAAAATAAAATAATAAAAATAATAAAAATAATAAAATATGAACCCAGTCGTTGGGGGGTGGGATGGTCTGATGGCGAGCGATGCGACATAGTGTTAGACTTCTCGAACACATTAAAAGAATGCACACATTGCTTAAAACAGAAGAATAATCTAATCACTTAATCGATTCTGAAAGCGAATCTAACGATACGCGACCCGCTAGATCAACATCCAGATATACCGGAAATCTTACCCTTTTTGACATGTGTATCAATTTACATATGTCAAAAATGACTTTTGCAAACCGAACATTCTGTATATTTTTCCCATACGAAATCATTTAAAATTTTATTTTATTACCTCAAATTTATTTAGTATTTTACATATTAATAATAAAATATAACAATTAAAACGAAATTGAAAAACTGGCAAAAAAATATTGCAAGCAAATTAAAAATCTACAGCTTCAAATTGGGGATAGTAAGCGTGTTTCGTAACATCGTGGGAGAATTAGCTGAAAATCGCCTTTCTCCAATAATTTACTGGTCCCGCCGAGTGTTAAAAAGGAGCCAAGTTTCTGGGCTACAACATCAAACTGTTGGACTCCGTTATAGGTTCTCTCTTCTTCAGTGTCTGCGTCTATTTTGTTGATAACGATGATGAACACATTGCACGAGAAAGGACCACAACCAACTTGCGAAGTTTCGCCTCATCAGCCATGTATATTGTGACGAGCGAGCCGAATGGGCTGCGCGCGGCCATTGCACTCGAAGTAGGGATCGGGACCAAATCAAAAAAGACACTTCGCGGGAAGAAGACTCGAATGTTCCACCCCTAACGCGAGCAGTTGCTGATTTTTATAAAAGCGCAGTGCCACGCTCGTCAGTTAGTTGAAAGAGACAGGCTAATAGAGTCGTTATATGATATAAATTATTAGTAGAGTATATAGTGGACTAGTAGTGCGTTGCACATTAGTGAAAAGTAATAAAAGTTTTGTATTTGATGTTTGATTTATATTTAAGTAGGTAGATCACATGAAACAAGCGTAGTCTATCGGAGGGAATATTTCCTAAAATTTTTGGCTTCGGAACAGTTGTGAAAATATTGGCACTTGTTATTTTAAAAAGTTTTCACATTTTAAACTCCGTTTATAATCAATTCGCTAGCCGAGTGGAACTTTATCGCGATCGGCAGTTAGTTGAAGAGAGGCCCGAAAGCGCTAAAAAAATAATCGACACCCAACTAACATTGTTAGCCGCTTAAGGTTTTATTATGAGGTGGCGGAACCTTTGGTTTTATAACGGTTTTTATAGTCTTATAGTATCCACTGGTGTCACAAGTTTTGTAAGGCAGCCAACTAACCAAATTACTTCATCTTTGTTTTATAAAACTTTTAGTATTAAGGTTTTATAGCTTACTTCGTAAAAAAAATTCTTCTTTATATACTTATTACCTAAATATCTTGCTTTAGCGAGACTTTACTAGTCCGAATATTCTCGATGATTTGCCATTGCCTTTCGAGGGATGATCCACCATTTTTTTTAGATTGATATGCCGGCGGTCGAGCTTGAACCGTCGACTTCTCCCATTAGCTATTACGCTACGGCGACCACGTAAAACCATATAAAAGCCATTATAAAACTCAAAGCATTTAATAAATAATCTACAGCTATTATGCAACATAAAGAATGTTATAAAATTTATATCTCAATAACAAGTTTTTCCACGTAGAAAGGGCGATATTGTAAGAAAAATAAATATAGTAGTAGCCTTCATAGAATGTATGCTATAACCCATGACAATATTTTGCAAAGTACATCAGACGATAAATCATCCAAAACTAGAGATTATTATTTTTATTATAAATACTGGGTGTCCCGAAATAGTAGGCTGTACTATAACAGCATATTCTAGGTCCAAAATAAGCACTAGTTTTCTATACAAACAGACAACAAGCCACAAGAAATGAAATTAATATTTCCAAAACAGATTCCATATTGAATTGCTAACAATGAAAAATCACTACTTTCCATTAAGTTCGCCATCTTATTCTGTTGTTTTGAAATCCACGAAGAGTCCCAAAAAGATTGCTCCCAATTTGATTGCCAACAAAATTAATACGTCTTAGTAACTCTGTACTATCTATTGCGGTGGCATAAATATAACAGATAATAATTTAAGTTTAGTTTAAGTTTAAGAGTTTAGGTCCTGTCACCGAGTTGCCCAATTTACTGGGTCACCTCGACCTATGTTTGCAACTTTTTTACAAAGCGAGCCAGTTCTCCATTATGCTGAAAGAACACCTCCAAGTGAAAACGTATTGGAATAGTCTCTAACAATTCGGCTAGATCATTTGTAAGGCAAGTTAAGTAAGCATGAGCGTTTCATTTATTTTTACCATCTATGATAACTGCCCAAACATTAATAGAAAAGCTATGTTGAAAGTTGGTTTTTCGAATAACCCTCTCATTACTCCAAAAGTGCACTTTGGGAGTGGTAAAATGTGTGTGGAAAAATCATAAAATTTTGTCCAAAATATCTTGATGAAATTCTTAACGATTTGGAAAGTCTCCAGGTCTTAAATTCTATACTTTTAGATAATAATAAGAACACATCCTTTGCATTTGGATCATTCCACCAAACTAAAAATTTATTTACCTACGTCGCAAAATTTTTTTTTATAATAATTTAAATACAAATTTGGATGCAAAGAGACTAATACTCATCGTATCGGTAAATTTACACTTATTTTAGAAATATTGGTAACATCCGCCAAGAGTCTTAATACTGTTTGAGCATTTTCCTCAATTCTGTTTAGCGCTTCCTCATAATCATAATTAAGGGAAATTCCTCTGAGAGCGACTAAACGACCCGCTAGATTTCTGTGTATGTGAAAATACTCTGCGATGTGGTTGTCGTCTTTATGGAAACAGTCTTTCGTACTCCCACGCAGCAGCACACGCGTTGTAATAACCGGTAACAAAATGAATACCTGCTAATTTTCTGTTCGAAAAATGAACCGAATAAAAAAATACCGAGGCTGCTTTTTATATTTCGGGATTTTCTTAAACTAGTCCTGCCATCTGGCGACTAACGTTTTTGACATTTTGAGGGTAGGTTTACTCAGTTAGGTTTTGGCGAAATAGTGTTTATATTTTTTGAGATAAATTAAAATAATTGTGACGGTCAAAAAAGGAACTTATTCGGGAGCATTTTCGTATAATACTTTTTTGGTTTAATCATTTTAGACGTGGACTATCTCAACAATATTACATCGATGAACTTAATCTACTTTTGGAGTTAAAGCACGATCTAGGACTACTGTTTATCTCGGGTTTTCGGTAGTTTTCTTAAGGAAGAATTTCGTGAAGGTCGTCCACAATCGGTGGTTGTCCAAGAAAACATTGATGCAGTGCGGAAATTGATTTTTTCTACTCCCGTCTGTAAAATACCTAATTACCCACCGATCTAGCGTGCGGGAAGCGTCACTTTACCACGTGATGCTTCCCGCACGCTAGATGGATGCGTAATTAGGTATTAATTTTGACGTTTGTTAATTCTGACAGTCATGTCAGTGAATGTATTCGTGTTTTACAAAAATGTACCCAAAAACTAACGGCCGTAGAAAAAGTATAGTATGCATCACGTTCAGTAAACTTTTCAACTCACTCGTTTATTAAAAACTCAAATAAACTCGTGAGTCAAGTGCCGTTTACCGCACGTGTTGCATAATATACTATTGCAGGATGATCATGGGACTTACTATGAAATTGAGGTATCTTTGAGCATTAGTGGGACCAGCATACATACAATTTTGCATGAAGATTTGGCCGCTAAAAAAAATTTGTTCGCGTTGGAATCGACACAATTTGACATCAGCTCAAAAGAAAGCTCGTGTTGATTGGTAGAAGGAAATGCTAAAAAATAGGATCGTGGTGCTTCGAAACACGTCTATGATATCGTGACAGTTGATGTAAAATAATCAATTCTGAATGGTATGAAGAAATTAGAAAAACCAACTGCCGAAGACAAATCACTCTCCACGACGTCAATGCTAGCTCTCACCGATCAGTGCAAACAAAGGACTTTTTGACCGTTAAAAACGTTGATTTAATGAGCCATCCATCATATAGTCCAGATTTAGCACCTAAGACTTCTTTTCATTCCCATACATTAAGAATAAATTACGTGGGCAACGATTTTTTTTTTACTTTTATAGAATGCAAAAGTCATATTTGTTGGTAGCTTATAGTTTTTTATTACAAATCCCGAAATATAAAAGGTAGCCCTCGTATCTTATGTCGATCTTCAACGTTGTGGCAAGAGTCCTTGAATTTCTAGGCTTTCCCTGTGACGTCACAGATTGCCACGATCTGTGTTCGCGATGGCGCTAATCGTATTAGCTTCGACAAAACGATAGCCATTTTTTGCCATGCAAATCGCGTCGATACGCCAGTTCCTCGGTGTAAAAATGGTGTGCAAAGAGTCTAATAAAAACAGCGTTGCGCGACTGGAACACTTTAATTATACCATGATTCTCGAGACTAAATGTACCACAGAAGGTAGAACGGTAAAAAGAAAATCGGAGCTCGTGTGCGATATCATTCTGGACAGGATCAAAAAGAAAACGCGCCAAGCAGTAAGTCGAAAAAACCAGCAAAATGTAATCTATAATAACCATAACTACTTATCATGATCATTCTCAAATACACAAAATCAATGTTTTTTTCTGAAAAAGCAAAGTAAGATACAAAGGAGAGCATGAAAGGTCCATTTCTATAGAATGAATTCTTCAACTAGTAACAAAAATTAAATTTCGGGTTGATTTATTTAAATTGGACGTCTAATCCCAAATAGTGACCCTAATTTCTACTTAGAAAATTAGTGCCCTTTCGTTATGAGCAACAGACAGAAATTTTACAATTTCACAAAGTTAGAGAGGTGCTTGATTTGTCAAATTTCGGTCTTAATCTTGATATTAGATATCAAGACTAATCATATTCTTGCAACTCCGGTCATATTGAGAATAATAATTTCCTCATTTTTAGAAAGTGCAGTTTTACTATTCACTTTCTCAGCAAGAAATTTCTTTCTTTTTTTCAAAGAAGCTTGCACAGGCTACTGTAATACAATTTACAAGTTTTTACAAATTTTCTGGACTCCTGATGTTTCACCATAACTGAAACGATTAATTTATTTTGAATTATGCCTGTAAAAGGAAAAACTATTTTTATAAAATGCTCTTTTGTATAGTTATTGATGTAAGATTTCTTTTTGCCAATATGGTTTCATTTTATATCACCATGTGTTCCCAAAATAAAGTTCGTGAACCCATATGAATTTGTTGTTAACGTTGCTGCGTAAACATGAAATTTCCTTAAAAATGCCGTTAATTGGTGAATTTTCCTCAATTAACAATATCGGCATAAGGAATCGAACATTCGACATAAAACCCGATTTAGGAAAAGAAATATTGACACCTTGTATCTTGAAAACCAAACGCAGAAACTGTTTTGCTAAAAATTGGGATATTATGACTTTGGATTCGTGGCACTATAATTAAACACACGTTTCAGCTGTGCTACTGCGGTCAAAGCTGCCGGAAAATCCCTGACGCCCTCTGCAAATTGTACGGGCCAAAAGTACACAGTCTCGACCTCAGCTACAACGAGCTGATCACGCTGCGCGGTATCGACTTGTTTCCGTACCTACGTGAACTGATTTTAGACAACAACCAGCTAGGCGACACCATTCAAGTGCCGCAACTGCCGCACTTGCATACGCTGTCGCTCAACAAAAACAACGCAAGTATTCTAGAGAGTCGCTGGAATAAATGACAGCATTATACATAATAAAAGTGAAAACGTTGCGTCAAAAGCCAACCAAAGTGTGTCTTTATAATAGTAATACCTCCGTAATATTTTATAGTTCTATTTTCGTTTCTAATGGTTGACTTTTGGCCCAAAGTTTATATCACAAACTACCTTTCATTTTTCAAATTTGTAATAGGGAATAGATACTCTAGAAATTCGATAGACATCTACGTCATCGACTGCTATCGCTAATACCTATTCATATTAATCCATGTAGGTATCAGTGCGCCTCAAGTGACTTGAATATTTTCGTAGAGACGGGAATGACCTCCAGCACATACCTCCACATTTCCTTTCTAAACAGATATGTCTGGCCATATTGGTTGTCGAATGGAGCGAGGTCATTGCTCAAAAACGAACTTTTAAATCACATCAAATACCGAAAAAAGTGTTACTTAGTCGCTGCCACTTGAAACGTACTGTGCGTATATGCGATCCTTAACATTTCCTAAATATACGATTTCTCGTAGATTTGCGATTTGGAATCGTTACTACAGCAAATTAAAACGAACATGCCCAACATGGTCTATCTGAGCCTCTTGGGCAATAAGGCTTGTCCGCATCAACTATCCGGTGAAGAAAATGATGATGAAGATTACCAAAGATACAGGTAAATAAAGATTCATTCTTTCAGGACATTTGGTTAGTTTTGATGTAATGATTATACTGCGGGATTCTCTTGTATGTACAGAAGAGTTTATTTTGGAAAAGTTGTTTGTTATTGAATATACTGCATGCGAAAATGATGTAATTAATTGGTAATTTTTGGACACCCTGTAAGTGATAAATCAAATTCAAGAAGACAATTCATGCGCTTTAGTTTACTATATAGATGATTATTATTATTAGCGCCTTGTTTTTTAAAATAAATTAAATTATCTAACAGACTACCGGGATTAAATATAGGGAAACCTTACGGAACCTAAAAGAAATTAGGTACTGAAAATATTTATGAGATACACCGTATAATAGCAACTATTTTCATCACAACAACTTTTGTATCAAAATGTTTTCAATAGCACAAACTATTGATCTTAAATTTGACAACAACTTGTATATGTAGTTGATTGCGTTGTTAACAGTAAATATATGTCATTCTGTTAGGTATTTCGTACTTCACCACTTACCCAATTTGAAATTCCTGGATTCGAAAAAAGTGAGCGAACTCGAAAGACGCGAGGCCAGAAAACGAGGCAAATACATGAACGTAATCAAGCCGAAACAAATGGAATGTGCCTCTTCGGCTGAGCTTCACACCCACTCGAAATTCAATCCTTTGCCCAAGTCGTTGAGGGGCCCCAACGATTTCAAAGGTTTCAATTTGCTTTTGCGACGATTCGTTATCTACTACTTTAACTTTAAATTTTCAGGCGTTTACGGAAAATGTCGCTATAGATACAGCGGCAAACAATCGGAAGGCAACAGATTTATTCTTAATAAAGATTTATAATACCTGTTTCTTAGCTATTAAAAATGAATTATTATTAAGTAAACGAAAGGTTCTTGTTTCGGCATCTGTTGGTGAAATTGTGAATTTATGTCAATAAATCCCTTAAGATATGATTCCGAAGAGGGTGACAGCGAAAGCGACCGCAACAGACGACAGCGACACCTGTCGTTAATGTGTTGCGACTCCACGGATCTTTTAGAATCAAATGGGGTTGTGGCTGAAGTTAGATTTGGATTTGGATTCGGATTTGCGAATATTACAGTGGACCAGTTCGTTATTTACCTTAATTTAAAAAACGTATTCCCGTGGAATTTCCGGGAAATTAAGCAAGGAAATATTGTAAGGGAACTCCCAAAAACCATGTCCAATGTTGCTATACAGGAAATAACCCCTTTCCGCTCGCACCACCCCAAATAAGTAGGTATATTTATTTCGCAATCTCAAAAAAATCTGACGGTGTGTCAGATATTGAATTAGACTATTGAAGAGTCACTTAGGAGAGCTTCAAAATGATGTACTAGACAACCACCTTGAAGCGGTCGGGAAGGTATAAATCTACCCCCAATAGAAATAACTTAATACGCGTTTTATTTATTTCGGGATCTCAAAAAAACCTGACTTTGTCCCAGATATCGAATTAGACCATTGAATAGCCACTTAGGAGAACTTTAAAATGATGTACTATACAACCACCTTGAATCGATCGGGAAGGTGTAAAACTACCCCCAATAATGAAATAACCAAATATGCGTTTTATTTATTTCGGAATCTCAAAAAAACCTGACGTTGTCCCAGATATTGAATTAGACCATTAAAGAGCCACTTAATAGAGCTTCAGAACGATGTATTACTGAACCACCTTGAAGCGGTCGGGAAGGTGTAAAACTACCCCCAATAACGAAATAACCAAATATTCGTTTTATTTATTTCGGAATCTCAAAAAAACCTGATATTGAATTAGACCCTTGAAGAGCCACTTAGAAAAGCTTCAAAATGATGTACTACACAACCACCTTGAAGCGGTCGGGAAGGTACAAAACTACCCCAAATAATGAAAAAACCAAATATGCGTTTTATTTATTTCGGAATGTCAAAAAAACCTGACGTTGTCCCAGATATCGAAGTAGACCATTGAAGAGCGACTTACGAGAGCTTCAAAATGATGTATTAATCAACCACCTTGAAGCAGTCGGGAAGATATAAAACTACCCCCAATAATGAAAAAACCTAATACGCGTTTTATTTATTTCGGAATCTCAAAAAAACCTGACGTTGTCCCAGATATTGAATTAGATCATTAAAGAGCCATTTAGGAGAGTGATGTGCTACTCAACCACCTTGAAACCGTCGGGAAGATATAAAGCTAACCCCAATTATGAGATGCCCTAAAATTCGTTTTCAAATGGTTGTCATTTTTAAAATATTAAGCACATCCTGAATATTTTTTCATGTTTTATTGGCATGGTTCATTTTAAGTTAATTTTCAAAAGGCGTATGGGCCTGTCTCTTTTTATTTTTGAATTACTTGTACAACCAGCATAATAATTATTGCTCCTCATCCGGAAACGATTCAAATAGTTTTTTCTTTAAATTGGACACCCTGTTTCTCTAAACGGCATCAAGTACAGAATTTTGTCTCCTGTCGAATATTAACGCTCCCTATAATGGAAATATTTTGTAATGTGCAATTGACATTAATCCGAGGAGCTCAAATTTGTGCGCATATGTTGTCCCTCAAAACTTTAAATTAACGAAAAATACAAGTAAAATTAAGAAAATCTTCTGAATATCGCGAGCACCCATTATCGATAGATGCGTCTTTGTGGGTAAATTACGAATCAAAAACCAAATCTCTACTTTGATAGCTGCGTCAAGGCGGCATCGTCGGCTCACATCACTAGATACGATGCGGAAACTTAAATCACTAAGCGCGACAGCTTTATTGCTGTTTTGATTTAGTGTTGCCTTTTCGATAAGCCACGCATTTTTTACAATATCAAATCTGTTGGTTCTTTTCTGTGACGCTACCGAACACTGTGTTTAGTGGAAATAGATCTTGATTTGTGAGAGTGAGCAAATTATTAATTATTGGTTTTTAAAATTTGTATTGACTACAAGCAAAAATGACTAAGAAAAAATTGAACGTTATTAAAAATTAAAAGATCATCGATTTGATAGAAAAAAATCAATCAATCAATCTTCTAATGATTTTGAGCAGAGTTATAGATCTAATGCCTATAGCAGAATATATAAGGTTTTAAACATTAAAGACAGTCTAAATAATCGAAACCGTGTTTATATGCACTGGCGACGTCATAAAAGCGTTATATGCAAATCGTGTTATAAGAATATTTAAAAAAAAAATCAAGACGACTCAAAGTAATTCGGAAATTAACATACCATTCATTCAACTGCCGAATACTAAAGCTAAAAGTGAAAATATATTGAATGACCATGAAAATTTAAAAGAAGAGTCTCAAGAGGAAAACAAAGTTGGATTAAATGAAGACACCCCACGTGTTACAGATAATTCAGTTTAATTTTCTTTGAGGAAAAGTCTTGACCCCACCCTCAACAAGAGCAAAAATAGCAAATCTGCAAGAACAAAAAAGAACGTGAGCGCTTTTCCCTATGATATCAACATCGATATTAAAATTACTTATGATGATTTAAAAAAAATTCATAGCCTTTTAACGCAAAGAACTTTAATCGACATGGGAGTATATTGTGTTCTTGCTTTTAAAGGTGTCCATGATCGCAAAAAAGGGAATGGCCCCCTTTTCATTGAATATGCTGTATGCAAGCATAAAAGTTGCAAAAAGTTCAGATTTGACTATTTTGGCAATGCCACTTATGTCACAAGGATATTAATGCATTTCGATAAACTGGAGCAAAATCATCATAGTGACAATCAAGTTGCTTATAGTTTAAAAGGAGAAGAAAGACGTTTAGTAAGAGATAGACTTCTTAAGTCTCTACCAAATCGAATTCGTAGCATTGGAAGATGGTAATATGCACATTGTAAAGTCCTTAGCCGTTTATCAAAAGGCTCGTTCTGAAGCAAAATCTGATTTAGACTTAAGTGCAAATTCTTAGTTAGATTTGGTTTTGAGGGGAGCTGAAGACGGTTCTTTACGAAACTACATTCAAAGCCCTTCTGGGGAAACCGAATGTTATTTGTTTAGTAAGCAACAAGTGGAACTATTGGCTTCTATGAAAAATTGCGTCGGATATTTTGATGCAACTGGATCTGTAGTTAGACCATTTAAATCTAAGCCAACTGTGTATTAATACGCATTGGTTATAAATATCGAGCATCGCATAATTCCAATCACAGAACTAGTTACATCTGAACATGATCACTGTACAATTGCTCGTTTTTTTATGAAACACAAATATTTCGTTACTGTTAAAAACAGGAAACCTTGGCCTCAATTCTCTTGCATTGTTACCGATGGCAGCATGGCAATAATATCAGGAATCTGTTTTGGATACAATAAGTTTACGCTTTATCGATATTTAAAAATCATATACCAATATTTAAGCAATCAATCATGCGATATATCTGGACTTATCATAATCAGAAATTGTTGCGCGCATTTCATCAAAAAAATTAGTAATCGTCTTTCTAAAATGAAAGTTACGAAAACCAGTCGTCGAGTAATAATAGCTACATTAGCTACATTAATGTTATCAGAAAATCTGACCGATTTAAAATCAAACTTTGGTGCTTTTGTTGCGGTTCTTTTAAGTCCAAAAAATAGTAGCCTTGTTAGGGAATCTTTAAAAATTATGAAAAACCCCCCTAAAGAACAATTAGATGATGACATCGAGCACTGTAACTTGGAGTGGAACTTTAGGCACGAGGAGAAATGTCATGAAAGAGGAAGATTCACAGAGTCACCATTTTATTTAATGTTTTCTAAAATTTTTAACGATGTTTCTGAAAATATTGCCAATAATCAAGAGATTGATGATGATAATAGTCTCCAAATAAATCCGTTATATTCGAAGGAGTTTGCGGTATATATTTTAAGTTACTGTATGCCATACGCCCCTCTATGGACAAGTCTCCTCGACAAAGTAATTTGTAAAATTTCTGATATTCAGACAAACCGATTTTCGAATTCCACTGCGGAATGTTGGTTTAAAATCGTCAAGAAAGAGGTTCTCGAATCAGAACTGCACTAAAAAGTTGGTCGGTTTGTCGCCAAAATGTGGGAAAAAATTACTACCGAAATCAAATCAATTCTCAACCTCTTGAAAATGAAATCTGGCTACCAAAAAAAGAAAAATCAAATTATTTTATGTTAAAAAAACTTAGACTATGCATTGCAAAAGCAAACTACTAATTTGAAAACAACGCAAACTTCTCAGTATGTGAGCACAAAAGCAGATTTGGACCCCACTCAGACTACAAGTCAATTTAGTCTTAACAGGGATCCCAAAAATGAATGTTGAAATTGTTACTATCTCAGACTCATCAGATAGTGAGCTTAACGTGGAGCCATTTTCACAAACCATGCCCCGCAGAGATTTTTATCTACATAATAGACTTCTTTTTAGTCCCAGTTATTATTTACAAAATTCAGTACAAAACGATTTTTTCCTAGCACTTTACAATTTAAGAGGACACACAGTTAAATTGTCTAGTAAATCGTTTCTAAGTCTGCAATCAATTTATGACACTTACCTAGAAGAACCAGGAAGCGTAACAAGAAAATGGCTAACTGACAACTGTATTGACTGTGCGGCATTTCCGTTATTAAAAGGAAATTCGAATATAACTTATATAGATACAATTTCTTCTCAAATAATTTTTTTCAAGGCCTACGAAGATCTTACATGGAAGTCTAACCTGTTGAAACCTCTCTCAGATTATTCCTGTTCATCAGAATAATCACTGGTACCTCTTAGCAATAGATATGGAAATAAAAACTGGGTATATTCTGAACTCAGCACCGATCTCAAAAATCTCAGTTTCTTATATTGAGGAAATAATATCCAATTTCTTCCGGTTCCGCAACAAACGCATGATGGGAATTGATTTGAATATTGATACATGGAGAGTTCAGGAAATAAAAAACATTCCAAAACAAAAAGACAGCTACAATTGTGGAGTGTTCGTATTATATTTTATTGATACCATAACTAACTCTGAAAATAAATTATTACTTATAAGTTTCAATAATGCTTTTGACTCGGAAATGTACAGGATTCAGCTAAAACAACTCTTGCTGCTAACGTCCGAAGATGTAAAATTATATTGTCTGATGTGTGGATTTCAAACTGCGATTCAAAAATTATTTCTATGTACTTCATGTGACAGATTGATCCACAAAAAAAAATGTTATAAAGAACCACTTTCTTCAACCCATCTTAAATGCAAATTGTGCAAGGACATTTCACCACTGAAAGGACATGCAGTAGCAGGGCCGGTTCGAGGCTTTCGTGGGTGCCTACCTCGTACGTACATGTTGGCGCACACGAAGAAAAATGGCTTTGAAGGAATGTAAAATTAACTTGAGTCACAGTGTAATAAGATAGAATTTGTCATATTATTCATTTTGCTAAAAACAAATGAGATTAGTTTTGTTTTGAAGAAGAGGTTGTTATACGCATTTTTAAATAATTTTATACTTTAAAAAGCAGAATAAATGGGTTTTAGCGTTCCTTTCCGTTCCGTTTCCGATTCAAAACAATTATTCCATTCAAATTGGCGGGAAATATATATACAATGTAAAAATGTGAAATAAACGTAGTTATAGCCACATCTAATTATTACCATTCATCGGCATACACCCTTTGTTTATATTTATTTAAACACAGCCCGTTCAACAGGCGGCGTTCTACCATCACACTATTGCAGGACAATATAAGGTTACAATTAGTTTACAGTGAAATACAAGAGTACATACGAACAAAAAAGAAAGCAAAAACAAAAGGTAACTCTATAGTCATAAGATTCTTTATCCTTCCTTCACATACTCTTTTCATCCTTCCATTCTTCTTCCTGATATCTTCCTTTTCCTCATCACTTATTAGAACCGTTTAATCTTAACTGAAAAATACCACAACATGATACCAATGTTGACAAAAAATATCATAACAACTTTTTTTTATTACCGTCTGTAAAATTTCTAATTACATATCCTTCTAGCGTGCGAAAAGCGTCACTTTATCACGTCAGTTTCGTTTCCCACGGATCCGAGCCACTTCGTACATTTCCGGTAATTTACCGCGTGGGTTTGGGAGCAATCGGATGTTTTCTGAGGTATTTCTCACGCTTTGAATTTTTACGTTTGCCAATTCTGACGGTCACGTCAGTGAACGTATTCGGTCGTAGAAAAATATAGTATGCAACACGTTCGGTAAACTTTTTAAATCACTCGTTTATTAAACATTAGCTCCTCTGCGCTCCGCTCGTGTCAAATAAACTCGTGAGTCATATGCTGTTTACCGCACTTGTTGTATAATATACTACTTAGTGGTAAAAAAACGGCAATTTTTTTCTTCTGATATACGTAGTTGCAATAAAGCGCAAACAACTAATACAAAATGGCGAGTCTAAAGGCTATTAACAAGATAATTTACAAAAGGGATATCTTTCCGACCGTTTTAAGGTTGTTGAGTAATACATTATTTTGAAGCTCTCTTAAGTTGCTCTTCAATGGTCTAATTCAATATCTGGGACAACGTCAGGTTTTTTTGAGATTCCGAAATAAATAAAATGCGTATTAGGTTATTTCATTATTTGGGGTAGTTTTACACCTTCCCGACCGCTTCAAGATAGTTGAGTAGTACATCATTTTGAAGCTCTCCTAAGTGGCTCTTCAATGGTCTAATTCGATATCTGGGACAACGTCAGGTTTTTTTGAAATTCCGAAATAAATAAAACGCATATTTGGTTATTTCATTATTGGGGATAGTTTTATATCTTCCCGACCGCTTCAAGGTGGTTGAGTAATACATCGTTCTGAAGCTCTATTAAGTGGCTCTTCAATGGTCTAATTCAATATCTGGGACAACGTCAGGTTTTTTTGAGATTCCGAAATAAATAAAACCCATATTTGGTTATTTGGTTATTGGGGGTAGTTTTATATCGTACCGACCGCTTCAGGGTGGTTGAGTAGTACATCATTTTGAAGCTCTCCTAAGTGGCTCTCCAATGGTCTAATTCAATATCTGGAACAACGTCAGGTTTTTTTGAGATGACGAAATAAATAAAACGCGTATTAGGTTATTTCATTATTGGGGGTAGTTTTGTATCTTCCCGAATGCTTCAAGGTAGTTGAGTAGTACATCATTTTGAAGCTCTCCTAAGTGGCTCTTTAATGGTCTTATTCAATATCTAGGACAACGTCAGGATTTTTTGGGATTCCGAAATAAATAAAACGTATATTTGGTTAGTTCATTATTGGGGGTAGTTTTATACCTTCCCGACCGCTTCAAGGTGGTTGTGTAGTACATCATTTTGAAGCTCTCCTCAGTGGCTCTTCAATGGTCTAATTCGATATTTGGGACAACGTCAGATTTTTTTGAGATTCCGAAATAAATAAAACGCATATTTGGTTATTTCATTATTGGGGATAGTTTTATATCTTCCCGACGGCTTCAAGGTGGTTGAGTAGTACACCATTTTGAAGCTCTATTAAGTGGCTCTTCAATGGTCTTATTCAATATCTGGGGCAACGTCAGGTCTTTTTGAGATGACGAAATAAATAAAACACATATTTGGTTATTTCATTATTGGGGGTAGTTTTATATCTTCCCGACCGCTTCAAGGTAGTTGAGTAATACATCGTTCTGAAGCTCTATTAAGTGGCTCTTCAATGGTCTAATTCAGGACAATGTCAGGTTCATTTGAGATTCCGAAATAAATAAAACGCATATTTGATTATTTCATTATTGGGGGTAGTTTTATACCTTCCCGACGGCTTCAAGGTGGTTGAGTAGTACACCATTTTGAAGCTCTATTAAGTGGCTCTTCAATGGTCTTATTCAATATCTGGGACAGCGTCAGGTCTTTTTGAGATGACGAAATAAATAAAACACATATTTGGTTATTTCATTATTGGGGGTAGTTTTATATCTTCCCGACCGCTTCAAGGTGGTTGAGTAATACATCGTTCTGAAGCTCTATTAAGTGGCTCTTCAATGGTCTAATTCAATATCTGGGACAACGTCAGGTTTTTTTGAGATTCCGAAATAAATAAAACGCATATTTGGATATTTCATTATTGGGGGTAGTTTTACACCTTCCTGACCGCTTCAAGGGGGTTGTGTAATACATTATTTTGAAGCTCTTCTAAGTCGCTACTTAATGGTCTAATTCAATATCTGGGACAACGTCAAGTTTTTTTGAGATTCCGAAATAAATAAAACGCATATTTGGTTATTTCATTATTGAGGGTAATTTTATACCTTCCCGACGGCTTCAAGGTGGTTGAGTAGTACATCATTTTGAACCTCTCCTAAGTGGCTCTTCAATGGTCTAATTCGATATCTGGGACAACGTCAGGTTTTTTTGAGATTCCGAAATAAATAAAACGCATATTTGTTTATTTCATTATTGGGGGTAGTTTTATATCTTCCCGAATGCTTCAAGGTGGTTGAGTAGTACATTATCTTGAACCTCTCCTAAGTGGCTCTTCAATGGTCTAATTCGATATTTGGGACAACGTCAGGTTTTTTTGAGATTGCGAAATAAATATACCTAACTATTTGGGGTGGTGCGACCGGAAAGGGGTTATTTCCTGTATAGCAACATTGAACATGGTTTTTGCGAGTTCTCTTACAATACTTCCTTGCTTACTTTCCCGGAAATTCCACGGGAATACGTTTTTTTAAAGTAAGCTAAATAACGAACTGGTCCACTGTAATATTCGCAAATCCGAATCCAAATCCAAATCTAACTTCAGCCACATGCATTTTGGATTTTACCGGAAGGAAGAAGACAAAATAATTAATTTACTTTGTAAATATCCTACTCTTTATGATACTAGTGTGGAGAATTATAAAAACAATTTGATTACGGATAATATATGGAAAGACATTGGAAGGGAACTAAAGAAAAACAGTAAGTATAACCTTTTGTTTTTATACTTATACCATAATATATGTGTACAAATGTACAAAATGTTTTTAAGTACGAGCATTTACTATTTTTTCTTGCCATATTACAGCGCCCTGTTGGCTCGAAAAAAATAGTATTCCAACTTATCTCTAATTTGTAGTTAATTAAAACTCGAAAAGCCACCACTACCGGTCAAGCTTACCATATTTATCTGAGTTACTTCAGCAATATCTTGAATATTATTATTTTCTTCGAGGTGAGCATCACGTAAATTTTCATGTTACCAGACGAGCACGACATAATCGATAGTTGAAAATTTATTTTTGAGCATCCACTCTGGCAAGTCTTCTACAATATGGTTAAAAAATGTGATATCTCCACATTTGTGCCAGGTAAATATTTTGATGAAGGAATGTTAAAAGCGTTGTTTGCAATTTTTCCCCATCTCTGATTATTGGAATATTCCACTGTCAACTTCTTTGCCATAGGATCCCACATCAATGGCAATAAATTTACATTTTGCGTCTACAATGGCCATTAACACAATGGAAAAATCATCCTCCTAATTAAAAAACATAGAACTGCTGTTTCTTTAGAACTTGCTTTATGATGCGTGATATATAAGAGGCGGATATGCGGTAGGCAAATGACATAAAAATAATGGCAATTTTCAATTTCATTTTAATTCAAAGTATATCTCGTAGAAAGAAAATATTTTACACTTTTAAGTGAGGACTGCAAGAAGAAATGGAAAATTCATAAGAGATGCCTATAGCAGATTTAAAAGAATAAGTTAAGAACCGACTCTGCAGCTCCAAAGAACTCTAAGAATAAAACTTATGACCAATTGAAATTCTTAGAAAATGTACCTCAACATCGTTCTGGGGGCTCGAATATTCCTTTGTCGGAGACTCGGTATAAGTTAGATATCATAGAGGACACATCCCAAGATATTCAGGTTGCGAAAGAATGTACCGAAGAACCGGATAATAAAAAACTCAAAAAAGTACCAGAGAGAACAATGCGGAAGAAAGAGACACTCAGAAAAATCGAGCAAACAAAAGTTTGGCTCGTAAGCGATGACTAAGTAATAGATGGAAAGATGAAAATATTGTAAAATATTTGAAAGAAGGGGAGAATAGACGAGAAAATTTAATGAAAAATGTAACAAAAAAGGACGATATTGAATTGTTTTATCATCATATGGGTGAAATATTAAGAAGTCTTCCTCAAGCAAAGAAAACAAATTAATGGTGTGTTATATTTTGAAATACTAGCAGCTACCGACATAAATAATTTGGCACCTAGTTCCTTGGCTTCTAATTTATCTTCTGGGCAGAATAAGTTCATACACACCATCTCTCATGACGAGAATGATTCTTCAGAATATAAATCCTAGTATCAAATCAGAATCAATACATATTATTCAAGAATTAGCGAATAATGAAAATAGTATTGATGAATTAATTTCCAAATACTTTCCTTAAGTTTAAAAATAGTTCCTCTTTCGCAGTTATTACTTCTCGAGTAGTTTTAGGTTGAAGTTCGTTACCAATTAAACTAAGTACAAAGTTGAATTGCTTTTATTTAACCGACAATAGCTTCTAAAAGTCGTCTCATAGCTGAATAAATGTTTTTTTATGAGTAAGGAATAACTTCCTTCCCTGTTTAATTTAAGTTTAAGTTTAAGTAACAATAATATTTCGTCCCCTCCACCATCGGTAATTCAAGTTACACATTTTTATCAATCACGTAATCAGACATGTTTGTTAATTATTATAACTACTTAGCGAACATCATTTAAATATGACAACTACACCGACAATGATATGATGACAGGGATAAGCGACACTGTCGCCTGCTGTCGTCTGTCGCGGTCGTTATCGCTGTTGCCGTCTTCGGAATCATACCTTCAAACAAAACAAATTAAACGCGCTATTCGTTAACAGATGTCGTAGGTAACACGTAAGGGGGAATGCCTATTTTTTTTTTTGTTAAAATTACTATCTACTAGTATTAAATGCTTTAAACAAATTGAATCTTCTTCAATTTAATTTCATTTGATCTGAGAAAGATCATGCTTTAGACAAAAGGTCAACAAATAAATTTACTTCACGTTTAGTACAGGCAGCATGGCGTTCGTTAGTGTGAAACTCTTACCAATTCGTTAACGTAAAACTCTAAAAGAAAAAAGGACTGATCTAATTCGTTAATATAACATATTTTTAACAAATTGATTTCGTATCGTTAGTTCGGCATCTGTTTGTAAAATTGTGTGCGTAATTATTTTTTAAAACACAAGACACGCTCAGCTGCTTACAGATGTCGCACAAGATACAATAATTATCTAGGGGCAGGCAACCTGCGATACGTACATAATCTAACCTCTAAAGTAATTTTTTTCGAATAATTTTAACATAACTAAATACTGAAATTACTATCAAATCGGACAATGTACCAAGTAATCCATTCATAACGCTTCACTTTCTGTCTGATATTTGAATAAGGATAGACAAATTTGCCGAAACATTGTTTGAATACCTATAACACGATGATAAAAATTACTATCTAGACTGTCAAGGACGTCGCCCTAATAGAATCGCATTTTAATACAATATCGACGACACCGTTATAAACTGCGTGTTATTCAGTATCGATTGCCATGATCGATTTGAGAGATCTAGGCCGAGTTTCACAGGGTGAATTAAGAAATTTCGTCAGATCTTTTGATCATGTGATGTGTGACGTAGATGGTAAGTGCGCATGTAAAGTGGGAAATGCAGGATTTGAGAAATATACGCATTTGCAAATTTACTTGAATTTATTTGATTTCAATTTAATTTAAAATCTTAAAGATAGCAGAAGACTTAATGTCCTTCGTCAGGTGTTTTAGTATTGGGGAATTCCTTAATACCAGGGGCCAACAAATGCATTTCCGCCCTAAGGAAACTGGGGAAACGGGTAAGCTTTATAACGAACAACGGTACTGCCACGACCGAGCAAATGCTGAAAAATTTAAGCGCTTTTGGCGCGAAGGAGGACGAAATAATTAGCCCGGTAACTTCAATAATCGCGTATTTAAAGAAAATTAACTTCAACAGGGATTTATACGTCATCGGAGGGTCGAATCTAAGAGACTCTCTTAAAAGGGCCGGCTTCAATCTGGTGGATTTTCAGGTAGATACAAGTGCGCAAATAAACTACTAGCAGTGAACTCGATCCAAACCGGAAAATGCTAGAAACGTGGGGCAAATTTTACAAAAAAAAACTAGTAATGGGGATTGTTGTCTTTCTCTTGCTTATTTATATAAATTCGTGAATGGACTGCTGTCTTTGTTTAATGATTTACGATTACTATCCGTCTCTCTGTAAATAAAATTTCAAGTTTAGTACTTCGAGTTCACTTAGTGCTGGACACTGGAAACGAGTCAACAAAATTTGTTTGGATATAGCTAAATCAATATTTATCCGATCGTAAGAGCACGTTTTTAAATGCTTGGAACTTTTATTGACTCACAGTAAATCAAATATGAATTTTGTGGAAAAATGTTTTTCAATTAAACGGCAATTAAAATGCTTTTTCTATAAGATAAGAAATTTTTTCCACTTATCAATCCATATATTGATCAAAATATGATCGATATGATTGCAAATTAATTTTGAAAAAAATAATTTGCAAAAAATCCATAGTCAATTTCTATTACTCATTACAATTAAACGTAATATTTGTTTCGTAAATGACAAATTTATTAACGAAGTATATAATACTTACGCAATTTTAAATTTAAAAACCATAAAGCGCTTGGATGTCTATATAATATAAAAGAATGGTGATCTTAAGCTCCGTTAACAAAAATAAAGTTTTCCATCCCTTCTATTCCAATGTAAACTAAACAAATGGCATTAGCAAATTATATATACCTGTGCTAAATAAAACGATCCACTATACGATCTGGAAACCTATAGGAGATACGAAAAAAGTTTCTTGGACTCCTGAACATTTAAAATACTATAATTTACACCATACAGTGTGTCCCAAAAGTGTCCCCCCACATCAACTTTGTTATTTGAAATGTATATTTCGACTTATTTGGAATCCTTGGTTAAAATAAAGGTGACTTTCTTAAGAAATTCCTATTCGAGTTTTGCATAACCTGATATTGCCAACAAGTGACCTAATGTGGGCAGCTTTAAATTCAACAAAAATTTATACGGGTGTTATTTTAAACATCCAATATCTCAAAATGTGAGTAAAATTTAAATATAAGACAAATTACAAACTCACATTATTTTTGGTCCTAGAATTGATATTTGAATAAAAATATAGGGTGTTCCATTTGAAAATCTTGAGATTTTGTTAATTGAATTCGACAAAACGGCACCACCTATTTGGAACACCTTGTACAAGCTGAGGCGCATCTGTCAAACTGAATAAGTAGTGCATCATCTCAGTCTATAACAACACAATTTTATAAGGGGCAATCAAAATATAAAAAAAAACACGTTTTGGCCGCGCGGAAACGGACTTTGGCCGCAGCTGGTGCAGCAAGAAGCCGCGTGAGGAAAAGGATTAAATTTACTCGATTATAGAGCTTAACTGACCCTACCTTGATTTGTGGTCCTCCTTTCCAGAGGGGCCGGCCTGTGCTGCGTCCAATGCAAAATTCAAGTACGAATTTCTTAAGAAAGTGACCTTTATTTTAATCAAGAATACTAAATATGTCAAAATATACAGGGTGTTCCATTTAAACTAACAAATTTGATATCGGGAGACACTTTTGGCACAACCTGTATCAACAAAATTATAATATTTTCAATTCAAGAAACTTTTGTACGAAACTTTTTTCCGTATATCCTATGAGTTTAAAGATCGTATAGTGGATGGTTTTATTTGTCACACGGTGTACATATGTACTTTACATGTATAATGATGCTATAAAGTGATTTTGAATTTGAATTATTATTGGAAACGAAATTCTAATTAGGAATAAGCATTTTATTTAATTATACCATATCCTCGCTTTCAATTTACTTTGGTTTGAAGTTTTGCTTCATTTTTCCTCCATATGACACAAACTAAACAGGTGAACACGTAAAAACACATGCTGATAATACAGGATATTTTTGTTAGCCTTAGTCGCCTTATATTACAAGTAAAACACAATTTCCAGTGTCCAGCAGTTTAGTGACATTTTTGGAATTATGACGCCATATTCACTAAAAACTTTAGCCAGACCAGCTGGGTCATTCGGAAGATTTGCTCGCCGAATTAAAAACGGAATGCGTCAAAGTGAAAAATGCGACCCACAATATCGGGGCTGTTTTGGTAGACACTGACTTCAAGTTGACGTTGCTGAAGGTCCAACGAGCAGTCGTGTTACTAACTTCGCGGGATGACATTCTGCTCATCAGCGGCGGTCCCGAGGATTGTATCCCATCCGGGAAAGACTTTAAAGTGATAGGTTCGTTCATTTACCGGCATTCTATACCTCCTCGGCAATAGTAAGGCATAGCAAAAAGTACCTGAATACACATAAATTAAGTTTGTTGTTACACATTACATATTTTTATAGCCATTACGACAATACGGTTGCAACTGAATTAACAACTGCTCACTTTCATCTTAAACAAACTTGACTCTCAATCTCTTTAATATGTAGTGGTAACTATTTCTTGAATAGTAAAAGGGTTTGAATTTTCAATATTGTCAATTTTCATTAAACCTCTAATTGTGACACCCCCTGAACATTAAACCATATTTATGTACTAACTCGAAGTTTTCAAAATTTTTAATGTTTATCTTAATACTAGCTAAGAGCCCTAATTCTGTAACAGATTGAATTTTGTTTGTTGAGAAAGTGAATTATCTGAAATGGCAAGTCCAAACTTCCAACCTGGAAAACGTCTAAAACGGTATTTCCGAATGTATGTTTTATTTTAAAATTTTGATATTTATATTTCGTTTTATTTGTATTACGAATAAAGTAGTTTATTTGATTATAATGAAGTAAAGTGATAAAAAACAGTAGTGCCAAAATCGTTCGTTATGTGAATTTTTCTGTTGAAGGGCCTGTTATACCATCTTATTTTATTAAAGTTACGGTAAACTTAACATGGACACTCCCAAAGTGATTGGCACAGTGTTACCCTAATTTTTGTATTGACTAGCTTACATACAACTTTTTTTTTATAACGGTAGAATATTTTTGGTGGAATGTTTTTTATCAAAATACCGTAAAAAAAATTTTAACCAGTGTGCACGTTGCTGATTTAGGACCGAAATTCTACATCGACGCCATCGAAAGGCTGAGTCAGAAAAAGTGCACGGTCCTAGCTAAACCGAGCGTTCACTTGCAAGACACCCTCGAAGACCAGTTCAAAATTCGAGATCCAAAGCGAATTTTGTTCATCGGAGACTCGTAAGTCATTCACCATTGTACGTTAGACAGAGATCTGATATTTTCGGTAGATTTTAATCCCGGAAGGTATTTTAAAGTTTGACGACCACATGACTCATATTCGTGCTGCTTTACAAAAAATGGTCTCAGAAAAAGTGTACTATGCAACACACAGAAATTGATGGCAGAAATCTCGTAAAATCGCAAAATTATTAAAAAAAAAACATTCTATCAAAAGCTGCTCAAAAAGAAAGTCGAGTGTTACAATGAAAATTTATTTTTCTACTCCCTTCTGTAAAATACCTAATTATACACCGATCTAGTGTGCGGAAAGCCTCACTTAACCACATGAGTTTCTTGTGCCACGGATCCGAGCCCATTCGGATTTGACCGCACGGCTTGAAGTTTGACGTTTGTTAATTTTGACAGTCATGTCGTGAAAGTGTTTATCTTTTTCGGCAAAAATTCACCCAAAAATTAACGGTCGTAGAAAAAATATAGTACGCAACACACCGATCTAGCGTGCGGAAAATGTAATTTTACTGCGTCAGTATCGTTTCTCACAGATCCGAGTCCCTTCGGACATTTCCGCACGGGTTTGGCAGCAATCGGATGTTATCGAAGATTTTACCGCAGAAAAGTTTTGGTGTTCTAGGGTTGGCACGGACATGGCGTTCGCGTCGCAGTGCGGGTTTCAAAAGTTGCTAGTGCTGACGGGAGTTACTAGAGAAGGCGATCTCGAGAACTGGACCTATCCGGTCGAATACAAGCCCCATTATTACGTAAAAAGCCTAAACGCTCTTAACGAAGAACTAATCGACTTTTGAATTTGTCGTTTTAGTTAGTGAATCCGTGACAGATAGATCACAAAAAAATGATATCGACCAGTCTTTGATTTTCCAAGACTCAAATGAATGGTTTTTAAATTTATAGTTTATTTTTCTTTTTTTTAATGCATTATATCTTTTTACCAGCTTACAAGATTACAGATTTTCAACTTTGTCTTCTCTACTTTGCTTATACCGTTGTAACAGTAAATGGAATTTTGTTTACAAAAATTAAAAATTTGTTTCGATTTCTTGAGTACTTTTAGTTCTAAAATATAAGTTGTATAGTTTTTAAGTAATACAAATAACGAAAAGAAGAAACTATTGTACTGAAACAGTGTTGTATTAAAAACCATTAGTCATATTAAGCATCCACCATCGCGTCAAGAAAATACGTGCTCTTATTGACGTGATGGTGGATGCGCCAAAAGTTAAATTAACTTGCCAAATTTTCTAAAAACTCATTGGAGGTTGCGGCAACAAATGGCATCGTGAAAAGCGTATTCAACAGGCCCAAATTTTAGAATTGAGAATTGACTACAAAAATAGTTGTCAAATTCCCGACAAAAATTTAATAAATGAAAAAGTGTAATCTAAACTGGATTTCCAAAAAATGCCTATGTAGTCAGGCTTCTAGCTAGAGACGGAAAAACTTTATCCAACCTTAAAAAATGATATTAATTACCAGCTCGTATGATAGCAGTCTTTTATTCAAGACATAGTTGGTATGCAAATTACTACGGACAGTCTTTGATTTTCTAATACTCATTTGTCAAACGTGTGTTTTTTTTTCAAATGCTTTGTTAACATAATCACTTTTCAACTATAGCAATATAAGAGTAGATGGAATCTTCTTTACACTTTGCACTCGTAGCGGTAAGATGCGTTTTACCGTTGCGCTCCTATGGCACCGTATAGTCACCACAATACGTTTAAACATTTGTTAATAACAATCCGCGCCCTATTGAGTAGTTTTAATTCAACAATTATAAATGAACCTCCAAAGAATCGATTTCTCTACAGCAATGGGTGTTGTCGACAATTAGCTGAAAATATTTGAATATTCATTATTAGATTTAAATATGAGTGTAGTGCATCCACCATCGCGTCAAGAAAATATGCATTTTCTTGACGTTATGGTGGATGCGGAAAATTTTAAATCAATCTAAGAAAGCATCAAGGGAAAGTCGAATCCAAGTACGATTTTGATGTCACAACATGTTGCTGGAATTTGACGCTGCCATTTGCCATCTTTTCTAGTTGCTGCAGTTTATTATCACATGAGTATTTACAGGCTAAAGGGTGTCGGGCGCAATAACGCTTGCAGGAAATTTACTAGGTCAAAATATTTCCTGCAATAAATCTTGCCTGTGGCTTATAATTAAAACTTGATTTTTAATATACCCGCTAGGCATAGAATTTTTCAGCCTATCCTGACTGATTATGAAAACAAAAGTGATAACGACTTTCAAGCGGCATTCAACAACAACATGACCGCTGACATCGTCAATAAGTTTGGATGCGATATGTTTACCGTTGTATTTTCTCAAAATATGTCCAGTTTGCATTAAAGTTTCGGGAGAAAATATGGCGCAATTTGCAGGTTGGTGGGTAAAGTGTAAAATATGCAAGAAAGATTAATTCCATATCTACGAAATTATCACAGCGACCCGGCTGCCAACCGCGCAATACCCTGGGTATTCCATTGCATAAATCAAAACAAGGTTGTGGTAACCAACCTCCAATAACCCAAATATTACATTACAAATTACATAACCCTAAAACCCTAATGTTTCAAACCCCAATTTCAGGTACTCGCAGTCAATTTTGGCAACAAAAATTACCGAGTCGCTGCAATTTCTCGCCTGAAATTAGAACAAGTTCTAATTATTAATAAACAAATAATTAATTAATTTTAAGCAAGCCCAAATTATGGAAATGAAAATTGAAATGTTGACGATACTTAGGTTTAAATAGTTGGTAAAGTCTCAACAAAAATTTAATAAATGCAAATGAATTAAAAATGCCTTGGTTGGGCGGCTTCTAGCTAGGGAAGGAAAAAACGTTATTCATTTAATCCATTTTATTCAATTAATAATTTAAACTGACCTTAAAAAAATAACATTACTGCAGTCTTATTCAAGGCACGGTTGGAATCCACTAAATTAAATATAAAACAATACTGTATAAAAAACATTTAAAAAAAATTATGACAAATAACCACTAAAAACCGAGGAAAACAATTTTATTGTACTTAAAAAGAAACAACACACTCTTCTTTGCGCTAAGTAACTGGTAATTATTTGGCCAGGGAGTTTAGTACCTAATCAAGTTTGTAATTAACTGGTGCCCTCTCTCTGAGTTTTCGCGCATTAGGATTCGCCGATTGGCTAACGAGGCCCATCTTGCTTGTACCTGCGACTGCAATTGGGGAGGGCTTGTCGCGAGCTTTTTTCTTAAACGCGATTTCCTTCATTTCGTCTGTGTAACCGTCGGTGTTCAGATCGTCTGCCACACGCAGCGGCGGTTGCTTCGACGTCTTTTTTGTTTTTGACTTTGGTCCTAAAAAGAAGATTCCAATCCAGTCTCTCCGGTACCACCAAATTCTAGCCCGTTTCTCTTAGAACGAGACAACATTACAGCTTTGTCCACAGAACCTTATTAATTTTGTCGATACAAAAAATATAGCTCTATTACTATTAACTTGATTTTAGGGACCATTACAATTTTCATATCTTAGAATGCAACTGCAAGGACAACGTAGATTAAAATAATATATGGTTTAAGTGTGAAATAAGGAATGTTAGTTATTGTAAAAAAGTATTTTCTAACGTTCTAAACGTGAGAAATACACTTACAACACCCACCAGACCTTAGCAACGTAAATAAATTAAAATTAAACTTGGAACGTTTCTTATAGGGCCAATTTGTTACGATGAAGTGATTTCTATCTGCGTGGGAGAAGTAAATAAAAAGCGTGTCCACCACTTTCAGGGATTACTATTGTTGTTTATATTCCTCCCTATTTCTGATTTTTTAAAGTTATATTCTAGTATTTTTTCAAATAAATAATATATAAAATAATTTTTTAGCAAGCAGCAATTGTTTGCTGGAGTGTCTTTTCTTTATGTGCAAATATGAGAGTTTGTATAATTTTTTTAAAAAATGTTATCAGGTAGTATGTTAAAACATTATTGTTAAACTATGTTTGACAGGATCTACACCCCTCCCCATATTTAAAATATTTAAAAGTCCTTATTTATTATAAATGATATATTATTATTATTATTATAAAACAACATTATTGTTATAATCTAGTGTTCAGAATAGTCTTCGACAAGGTAAGGTAATTCACTGCTCACATTCACAAATTACAAAATCATGGAATATGGACTAAAATTTTTCACTGGTTTCAATCATATTTGACAAATAAATTTCAATATGACTAGTTATATGGTGATTACAGCTTTGTGTCACACTAAAAATTAATTATTTAAAAATATTTTGCGCTGTTGATTAGCTGTGATTAGTTAGTCAGAATCTATATTTTATTGTTTCAATGTACATCTTTTGAAATTGGTGTGACAGTAATTTGACTAGACCATAAATAAAAGTTTACCATCTTGCATTTTCTTCAAAACCTCCTTCATGGCATCAGTGTATCCCTCTAAATCATCCCCTTTTGCCTCCAATGCCTTCTTCTCTTTCTTCTCAGTCTTTTTTGCCGGGTTGCGTTTTCGAACAGGTATTGCCACTGGAATGTCTGTATCGCTGTAACCGTTCACTACCTCTTCATGCTCTCCCGCCACCTTTTCGGCCTTTTTCCTTCTGACTGACGCTTTGACTTTTACGGTTTGTTCCTGTGAACTTTCCTTGGATTTTTTGCCCGAGATGTTATTAAGCGATGCGCTTTTTCGTTTCAATTGTCCTCTCGATTTGGAAAACTTCAATGACCCTCCCACCGCTCCGCCCGCGTCCTTGACACCGGAGATAAATTTTTTTCTAATTTCTTTATAGTCAGGTTCAGTATCGAATTTCATTGTGGTTAAATAATTCAAGAAATCCACTAAGGCTTCTGGGAATTAAAAAGCGGAGAATTAAAGTAAAATTAAGAGGAAATAAAACCTACTTGGAGGAGTTGCGGCTTTAAAACAAGCCTTAAGTAATTTTGACACGTCCTGCATGTGCTCTTCCTTGCTTTTCTGCACCTCTTTTGGATCGCCCAGGTTATCTTCCCATGGCAAAGCACAACCCAACCAATGAATCAAATTATAACCCAAAATCTCCAGATCTCCACGTCGCGTTTGTACTAGAAACATTTAAAAAATAAGTAGTAGTTCAAATGTACAGAATACTTCTAAATTTAAGTGTCTCCCTAGACAAGCGATATAAAATGATTAAGCCAAAAGCGGTTCAAAATAAAACCTAGAAAAAATGATAAAAAAATGTTAACTAAAACTAGTTTTTGAACAGCCCATAAAAACTGTATTTTTGGTTACCCAAATTTATCTGAAAATTAAATAACTATCTACTCTTTTGCAATCTTAATAAAGCAGACGTTTAATTCAAAATGATTTTACTGTATTTTACATTTATAAAAAAAAAGTTTAATACAAAAGTTGTAGGATTTATTGTGTATATTTAATATTACATACGTATTTATATACAATATGTGCTAAAAGACATAGTATATCAAAGTTATATTTCTTTAAATTGGAAGTCCTGTACATTATTTCATAAAAAGAACAGTCCTATGCTCTGATTTTAGAAATACATAGTATGTTATAGTTGTTTTTAACATTAAGGATTAATGGATTGCCAGTTAATTTACTTACCTATTCAAGCAAACCTACAACACTCAAAATTATTAGCAAGTATTACCTCCATTATGTGCATCTCTGCTCAAATACTCAATAGTCCCATCGTGAGCCTTCTTAGGATTAGGTTTGAAGTCCTTTTCAAGGGTATATTTAGTAGACAATCCAAAATCCACCAAGTACACCTGCTTGCTTTGTGTTTCACTTAACAAAATATTTGCTGCTTTAATATCAGCATGGACATATCCTCGACTATGAATGTATTCTAACACATCCAACTAAAAACGTTTGCCTAGCGTAAGACACTAATTAAAAATGACAAACATACAATTTGAATGGCCAGCTGGAATACTGTTTCGGTGGGAAACATTTTATTATTTTTCAAATACAATTTGTGTAAATCAGTTCCAAACATGTCCATCACCAGAAACCTATACTTTTCATTATTATATTCGTGAGAACCAGACCCATGATATACCGGCATTCCCAATGACTTTAAGCCCCTCTGCTTTTGAAATTCCTCTACTGCAAAACAAAACAGTGCTTTTATATGCCCTTCATTTTTTTCTTGTATGCTTACTATCTGCAGCCTTGGCATGTCTAATATAAAAATTAATCTCAACAAATAAAGGTCCATTGCTATGGGGTTCCTGAAATAGTAGTCTTACAGGTGTGCAAATATCAAGAAAAAACTCTCACTATTTTAAGAACGAAAGGATACTTGTTATTCGATGAATCACTCGCTTGAGCACTATAGATCTCCCCAAAGCCGCCTTTTCCTATTGAAGGGCCCAAGCTCCACTGCTTTTTGGCAATATCAGTAAGAACAGTGCCTTTTGGCAGAGATTCCGCAAACTTATATCCGTTGGCCGGTTTTTTTTTAGGTGGCATATTCGATCCGCAGATATGTAAAATACAAATAAGATAAAAATACCCACTTAATGTTAAAACGAACTTAACGATCTCAGATTTTAAGTTACTTCAATTTTGACAGAAAATACCGCCACCCCCCACCACTCAAAATCGAATACATCTTCGTTTTTCTCTGCTTATCACACGGCAAGAATAATTCGCTCCTCTCATCCATGCCATGTCGATCACCGACGACAAGAAAAACCTCACCGGATCCGGAAAATGGGCGAATAACCACAGCAAACTTGCCCAGCCGAGATAAATTAGTATTTCTCTCACACTTATTCTCTGATTTTGATTAATAAATGATTTATCTATATTGCTTTTAAACATCAATTTGCAGTGACTCAAAGCTGGGCTGCATTCGAATATATTTTTGTTTTACAGTAGCTAACGCTAATAATTTTTGTGAAATTTTAATTGAGCAACTATAAATTTAAAAACATTCAAAATGGGTGATATCCAAGTTCTAACGTCGGATTTTGTCAATCTTCAAATATCAACTTCTAAAAATGATATTTCCTTTGGCGAGAGACGATTTCCAAAAGACATTACCATATCAGAGTTGAAAGTAAGTTAAATTTAGAAATTCATTAGCAAATATAATTCGATACTACTATGCAGGCCAAACTAGAACTAGTAACCGGAGGGAGTTGCGCCACAATGCGAATAGAAACTTACACCAAAGACAATAAGCTGGTAACAAGTCTGGATGATAATAGTGCGCTTGTCGGGTCTTATCCTCTAGAAGATGGCATGAGGCTGCATATTGTCGATGACTTTCAATTACGAAATGAACTGGATTCTGGAAATGTTCCAAAGTTTGAGCTGACTGAAGAAGAGTATTCTAAAAGAAATGATTCTGTTAAAATGTTCCTGATGAAAAATAAAATGGGTAAGATAAAAGGAAGAGAAATGTCGATGAATGCACTTCTAGACTTATTTTATAGGAAAATACAATGAAGAATATGCAGAAAAAAAGAAGCAAATGGAGCAGGAGGAGAAAAAACTAGCAGAAAGTATTGAGGCTGGTTTGCGGTGCAAGGTATCAGTTGCCAATGCCCCATCTAGGTTGGGAACAGTTATGTACAGTGGTACAGTTGAGGGGCTTCAGGGTTATTGGATTGGTGTGAAATATGATGAACCCCTTGGCAAACACAATGGAACGTAAGTTATCAAATTTACCTTGTTAATTAAAAGTAAAAATGTTACCTTGTTGCTTAATTGTTATCTTTTTAGTGTCAAAGGAAAAACCTACTTCGAATGTCCAGATAAATATGGTGCATTCGTCAAGCCCCAATGTGTTTCAGTTGGAGATTTTCCTGAAGAAGATTACGATTTAAATGAAGAACTTTAATCATCATACACTTTCTCAGCATTTACTACATGAATTGTATTTATAAGTTGTTTTAACATGTGATATAGGCTTATATTTTTTTTTTATTAAACATTTTCAAAAAATTCAGATGTTTGACACTTAAAATAGGAATTTTTTATGAGTTCATTTACCCATAGTAAAATGGGACATCATAAATTATTACATAATATAGCGGAGATCTATAAAATTGATATTTTTGGCTCTGGCCATCAGAATTAAACAAACCCTGAAACACACACCATGCCAAGTGTTTTTTTCAAATACATTTTTTTGCTCCACTGGACTCACCTTTCATTTTATAGTTGTGCACCTATAAATTCAGGTAAGATAACAGGATAGTGTAACGAAATAAGATATAAAATAATATTTAATTGTTTTTACAAATTTTAACATTCCTTAGGATCACTACTTGCTAGAGTGCTCAAAAAATAGACGGAAATTTTTTAGACTGGTATTCCTTGTTAAGAATTAAGAAAAAAGTTTTTACAGACGTGGGTCAAGAAATAGTTTTCGAGATTATTTTTTTTATTAATACCTAAACAAATTTGGCAATGTTATTGGGTGTATTACAAGGCTAATTTAGCGCTAATACATTAACCATCCATTTCCACACTTGACCATTCAACAATGAACAGGCTATAATTTAAATTTTAATCTATTACAGCTAAATTAGCCTCTTCATACAAAAAATAACTTCACTAACTGATTTGCAAGTATTTACAAAATGGTGACTATGCTATACTATGTACAGGGTCAGACGATGATCCTCACGAAATACAGCACGCCGTGTGTAAAGTATTCACGAAAGAAATTGAAGCTTCAGCCAAAGCAACTATTACCAGACAGCTTAAAGGTGTATGTTCGACTAGTAAGCAAGCAGTATATGCATTATGCATTTTTTGGTTCTCCACATTTTCAGTTTTAGGAGATTTGAACAGGAAGCTGCAACACATAGAAGATAAAATCCTTGATCAGTTACAGCAAATTCAACAGGCTTTAGGCAGCAAGGTCCAAAAGAGACCTTTAGCTCCGAGTACTGAACCACCAATTGACTATCATGAATATGAAGAAGACTTACCAAATAACACAGAATATGGTTATTTCAAACAGTTAAATGGAGAGAAACCCGCTATTTCAGAAGAAATTGCCGTTTATAATGATACTATTATCAATGCTAGGGAAGGAGATGTGTATTTTTATTACTGGAGGATAGAGGAGATCAGCAACACTATGGCAAAAAAAAATCTTTATATATCCAGTCCTCAGTTCTCAGTTTTAGGTAAACAAAACATAGGCCACCCAAAGAACTGGAGGTTGCCATATTTTCCTTTTCTTTTTAGGTCACACATTGCATCTTCATTTCTACCCAAACTATTCAGGTGGTCAGATTGGGATAGTCTGCAAACCAGACAGCAACAGTTTTATGAAGAAATATAAGATCTGGTTTTTAGGTCACAACCAAGTAGACAGTGAAATATCATCAAAAATTTTATACACTTATGGAAAAAGAGATAATATATTTTTAATTGATCCTCAAATCCTTGATGAAAATTTTATTGTTAAAAATAATGTTTTAATTAAACTTACAATCTATTTGAACTCATAAATAATTAATTTGGAATTATATGGATAAAAAAAGTTTAATTCACAATAAACCATATGTACTCGAAACATTAAGAGAATAAATTAAGAGCTTTAATATGGCCTCTGTCTGCTATTGTAATTGTTATTATAACCTTTGCCCCTATTCGAATTCCAGGTGTCGGGAGGGGTAATTGCAATATCCATGTAATCTCCGATGGTAATCCTAAAGTGCCCCAAAGTTTTAAAATCATCTGGACCCTTTATTCCTGTTATAGTGTTCCCAACTTCTCTTAACCGGAAAGTCGGGACTCTCTGGTCTGGATACACCAGCGCAAAACTGAATTTTGTACCTTTTCGACGTGCTTCAGGATTCACTTCTTTCACTAACTGGGTAAGCTCATGGAGTGTGGCGTCTTTCCATGTGTAGATCTGCAATTCATTTGTCGGCGTGTTCCCTTTATGGTATTCGGTTAATTTGTGATGAAAACCCGTTGAAGAAACGAAAACTCTCAGCAGAAACGGGCAAACCTAAAATTGAGAACTAGTTGCTACCGCTACATCAGTTTTACAATAATAAACCTTTTGACGGTCTACTGAATCGAAGCCGTCCTTTTTTTCTTCCACTACAGCGTCAACTCCAGCCATTCTAATATCGAAAAAACAATATTTTTATATGAAACAAATATCAACACAGTTTTTAAAATAATATAGACGCTAAAGGTTAGCCTAACCCTTCTTCTTTTTTAATATTTTGAATGGTAGATATATCGAGAATCATTTGACCATGATTTGCATAATAAGATATCTTCTTAGGAAATAGGTATAGTGATAACAACATTATTTCACATTTCTCTGGATATACTTGTTAACAATACCTGGTTGTGTTGATGCTCACAGGGTGTGGATCGTGTACCTTTTACATTTTTTTACAAGAGAACCCTGCACTATTTTTGAGGTGGCATATTTGGTGACGTTGGTCTAATCGGTAATCACTTTACTCGTCTCGCAAGGGCAAACTGTTTTTTTCTTTTTATCGGTCTAAAGTTTTGCAAATATTTCAAGTATAATCCTCGAGGATTATCAGCAAAAGGCGAGTGTCCTCAGTAGATTGGCCCAGCCCCAAGAAATGAAAAAAAAGCGTTCTTGGCTGTGGCATACTGTTGCCGAATATTTGCCGATTGGTTCAAATTCGGTGGCATGATTTCATGTACCTTCAAATCAATAAATTTTTTCGACATTTTCTACTTATTGAGTTCAAGTGCAACACACAAGATTAATTATTTCTGAATCCACTAATGATTACAGTATATAAAGGGAATTTAAATAAAATGATAGCAACTTTAATCATTGTTGATAAGATTTAAAAGGTTGCACTTGAATTATTCAATTTATTTGCGAATCAGGCAAATTTTTTTAGTACGCGAAACTTATTGGCACCCAAGTTATATGACAAGTTAATTAATTGAAAGCCATGGCCAGTTCTGATAACCACCCAAATATAATCGTAGGAGATGAGATTGATAGATTGGTAGATGCCTCCTTAGGAGAATTACTCTTAAATTTATTGCAAACGCACGAAAAAAATGTTATTTTAGTAAGTACATACTTCCATTTGCACTATAACTTTATAAAATTGTTTTTTCAAAGGTTGATGCTGCTACAAATGAAGAACTCCAAGCCGACGCGCTTTTAGCTAAAGGAATACGACTGGCAAAATGGTTTAAAAACTTAGGCTTAGGAATTGGTGATAGTATTTCCGTAACTGCCGAGAACAGGTTAGAATTCGCCATTGTACCTGTAGGAACCTTTTTTGTTGGAGCAACATTTGCCCCTTTCAATCCAGATTATACTCCCGCAGAAGTTAAACATGTGCTCGGGCTTTCAAAACCGAAAGTGGTGTTTTGTTCGGAAAAAACCATAAACAAATTGTTGGCAGCCTTGCCTAATCATCCTCATATACTAAAGTTGGTCTTATTTGGTAACAAAAGGAGGGTAGACAAAAATATTGTTATGTTTGAAGACATTATTCAAGGTATTGGTAAACAAAACATATTTTTCGCCTATATAATTATTGCAATTTCATTTAAGGTCCATTTGAGTTTGATGAATCTTTCCAACCTCCACCTTTAGATATGAAAGAAACGGTTGCCACAATATTGTGTTCGTCGGGCACAACTGGGTTGCCGAAAGGTGTCATGTGTACTCATGACAATATGGCGGCATTCATAGATATTGGAAGGTAATTTACCGTGATTTAAGCAATTTACATTCATAGTGCATTTATTTTTCTTAGGACTCGACTTGCTCACATTGCAGAATCAGAAGGGGATGACGCGATGATGGGTCTCACCCCGTTTTTCCACTCCTTTGGATTCATGCTAATGTTCCTGAACATTCTACGGGGCAAAAAAATGGTCGTCTTAAGTAAATTTCACGTGAAGTTCTTCTTAGATGCCATCATTAAGTATAATGTAAGGTTTTGATATTTCGCCCATAATCATATTGTTATAATTTTCTATTTTTTAGTTGAAAAGGTTGATAGTTCCCCCTCCGGTATTACTGATTCTGCTAAAACATCCCCTAGTCAAACAATACGATCTTTCGGGTATTGAAGAGATAAGGAGTGGAGCGGCTGCTTTAGGGAAAGACATGCAGAAAGAGCTCAAAGAAAAGTAAGTGCAAATAATTCAGATATTTTAAAATTCTCATTTAATATCAGAAATTTAAATGGCAATGAATAAAAATTACTAAAAACGAAGGCAATTTGCATAGTAAAACTTTCATTGATTCACATTTCCAATTTCGCAGACTAATTTTCAAAACAAGGTCACGTTCAGTATAATTTCTCTATTTTGTCAGGTTACAATTAAATTGTTCGTTCATTAGCCAATTATATGTTTATGCAATCATTTTACGTGAGTAATACTAGACTTGCATGCTATTCATTACTACAAAAATCAATATTAACGTTTTTTTGTAGAGGTTTTCGAAGGTAGCATAAATATGTCAAGCAAATGGTTTTAACAGCTGTATACCACTGCATATTTCTGAAAAGCCCACATTATGGTCAATCATAATAAAAAAGAATACAGAGAGTGTTTTCATTGAAAATATTTTTTTGATCTGACAATTACAATAATATAGTAATACTGCCTATCCAATAAATTATTATGAAGTGCCTTTCAAATAACCTCTCAACCAAACTACAAAGGCATATCAAACTTTGGTAAATATAAAAATTTATACCACTAATGGTGATTTCTTCTTCGGCATGATAGACGAAAACTGTAAATACAAAAATTGGAGCTCTCGACATAGTTTACAATTCTTTGTAAACCAAATTAACTCACCTTTCACAATTTTTGATTTTTCATAATTTACCCGCGCAAATATGTTTTCAGGGTGTTTTAGATTTTTGCCCATAACCGGCACACCTTGTACACAACGGAATAAATGCTCCAAGTAAATCTTAAAAAATTTTCTGGTCCATGATTTTTTCTAGTATGATAAATGGTTTTCTTAAAAAATTCAAAAATATGTTGGACAATTTAAATTTAAACATTTGTCAAAATGTATAGGGTGGGTCGTTTATCTTGGGGCACCCCCATATATCCGAAACTATAGGGGATGGAGCCAAAAGTTAATTGAGATATGACTAATCTTTAATTTATTTTAATTTTGTATATACAGGGGGTTTAATTTCTCGTGGGCGAATATAAACTGTCTTATTTAAATGAAACACCTAGTATATTACTTCACTTTTGCATTCTAGACATATTTTGTGTATAATGTTCTACACCCAAGTCCAACCGTTTTAGATATTTTTAATTTTGTATGTGAAAAATGATGTTTGCAAGATGTAAAATATTTGCCAATTTCTTCATTCATTCTATATTTTTATATATATATATATATATATATATATATATATATATATATATATATATATATATATATATATATATATATATATATATATATATATATATATATATATATATATATATTTCTATAAACATTTTAAAAACCTAAAAAAAAACTATTTTTTTTTATGGAAACTACATATTTTTATAATCTTGTCATATTTAGCATTTTATATAACGTTGTATATGCCTAATATTTTTACTTAGATATTTTTCCAAATAAAAATGTTAGTCATCTGTCCAAAGAATCCAACCTGATGTTGTAATCCCGTTGCTCTAATTTCTGCACTGGACAGAATTTATAGGACTTCCAGATGTTTATTTGAAGGATGCAACAAATTATTAAGTTGCTCGTCATTATTCAAAATAAGACGTCTTTTTCTTGCTTCAAGGTTTGATATATTCTAAAGTGTTGCTAAATCTTTTTTTTTTTGGCGTCTCCTTAAGAGCCAGCCGATATGTAACTTTCTAATATTTCTTTTCCTCTGTGTTAAACACGATACGCAACCCAGCGAACAAAATAAATTTATAAACCAATAAATAACTCAATAACGTGTCAAAAAATATTTGAATTATGACAGTAATCAACAACAAAATCCGTTTTTTGGCATTTTTTTAAATTTCGTTTTCAATCTTAATTTTCGCGTACCCTGTATTAATATGTATCGAAATTTCTTATGAAATCCGTTATTCGAGTCCTTTGTCTACAACAAAACTTACTCAAGTGAAACAATAAAAGCTTTCGAATGAAGAAATTGGCAGAAGTTTTACGTCTTGCAAACGTATAGGACATTATACACAAAAAATGAAGCATTAACTTAAATTGAAGGTTTGTAATATCTCAATCAACTTTTGGCTCCATTCTCTATAGTTTCTGGGACATAGTGTCCCAACATAAGCGGCCCACCCTATACAGTGATATCAACTTGTTGGCGCCCTTTCCCATAATTTTCCACCAGTTATAAATGACCTAAATGAAATATTTCCCAATTGTTGGATAGGAAGAACCAGTCCTAACCACTACGATTCCACGATCTTTCAGTTTTAACTGTAAAAGACAAGATTTGCAAAGAAACCTATGCTACAAGCTGCTATAACTGAGACTTTTACTAATTTTTATTGGCGATCTGTAAGGAAAGCAACTAATTCAGTTTCAAATAGATGCGATGTAATTTATAATAATAATGGAATTATTAGGTAACCATACTAAGCACGATTTATTATTCGCAATAATAACTTTTTTAAATATCTATTGACGGCTGTAAAATCTGAAAAACTAAAAATGTTGTTGAGCCGAGCTTATAAAACTGCACTTCTTTGCCCATTTATATTTTGCCCTTTAAACTAAAAAACTCACTCTGCGTGATTTTTTTTATTGTTTTATGAAAAGCCTTACTTATTTTTGTTATGGGCGGTAAATTTTATAGAATTTGAAGATGAGAGAGAGGATTCAAGGAGGGGTGTAAATAATTTCAAATATTTTTACGTTCGCGATTAGTGCGACGCGAATTCGGAATTTCATCCCTTTCAGGTTCAAAGTGAAAATGATATCGCAGGCATACGGAATGACCGAAACAACATTGGGAGTGCTAATGGCTCACGACGGCAATACAAAACTCGGCTCCGTCGGTAGAATAGTACCCGGTATGAAGGTCAAAGTAACGCCTGCAAGAAAACTTGCGTTTTAATGCACTAATCGCAATTGCTCGAAGGTTATCGACGAAAGCAACGTGCCGCTGGGGCCGAACTGCGAGGGCGAACTCTGCTTCAAGGGCCCTCTCATCATGAAGGGCTATGTCGGCGACGTGCAGGCGACCAGCGCCACCATAGACCCAGACGGGTGGCTCCACACGGGAGATATAGCGTACTACGACGAAGATCGCGACTTTTTCATCGTCGACAGGATCAAGGAGCTGATTAAGTACAAGGGATTCCAGGTAACGAATCCGTTGCAGAAGTCGATATATTTGTTGCGACCGATGGATCCTAGGTGGCGCCAGCGGAGCTAGAAAATCTGCTTTTGACCCATCCGAGCGTCAAAGACGCGGCGGTCACCGGATTGCCTGACGAAATCGCTGAGGAACTGCCTCTGGCCTTCATCGTGAAGGATGGTCATCACCTCACGGAGGAGGAGGTGGTTAAATATGTTGCAGGTAAGTGCAACTTTCAAATACAGTCGAACTTCGATAAGTCGAACTGCGATTTGACACATGATTATTTCGAATTATCAATAAAAACTACAAATGCATGTACTTTTTTGTGAATGGACATTTATTCATTCATTTTTAAAAATGGGTTATACGTTGCATAAATGCCCTAATATCTATGATTTTTGAACAAAAAACGAAAATTATGAAATATTAGTACATATGTATATATGTATTTACATAATATATGTACATACAAATGTATTGTATATGTACCCACTATATATAAACATAGTATGTATGCACATATTAAAGTTTACTCTTTCACTGGAAAAAAGTCAGTTATTTGTGACTGACGAACGGATTTCTTATTTTGGTTTTCAACAAAAGCTTCAATTTTATTTAAACAATCATACAGGGAATCGGTTGTGTATTTACTGGTTTTCAAATAGGAACGCAAGACATTCAACGAATTTTCAACCAATTCATTTGAAGGTGGTTGCTGAGAATCATCTTCCAATTCCTCCTCCATCGTGTCACTTTCGCAGTCATCTTCGATGTTTAACTGTACCGGTTCGGATCTGCAGGACTTGATAATATCTTCATCAGTGGGAAACTCTGAAGTAACAATATCCTCATCCACATGTATAAAATCGTTGATGGTGCTACCTTCTGCTATACCTCTAATGTTTGTCCAAGTTTTAAACTCGATTTCTATTTGGATTTCGTCTTCTTTCTTTTCTTTCAGGCGTTCACTTAGGAAAATCAAGGGAATCTCATCTTCATCTTCCCATTCAGAATACTGACCAAAACCGGCTTTTTTAAAACAATTGGAAATTGTTTCAGGCTTAACTTCGATATTCCATGCGGTAGTTACGTCGTCAACACAATCCATTAGTGTAATGTTATTGTTTTTTTTTTCTTCGAAACGTTCCATTGCGGTGATGACTGAATGTTTATTTTTCAAAATTGTAGATACTGTGCCGAAATCCCATACTTCACAGCTACATCTTTATTTTTTCCACTTTCCACTTCTTTGATAACCTTGAATTTTTGATCAACAGGCAAAGCTTTTAAAGTATGTTTTGATGACATATCAACAAATGCAAAAATCCAAAAGTGTATTTAATTTTAATAAAATGTGTAAATTGCAGGGACAATATTTTTCACTTAGTATTAACTAGTAAGTCATACAAGTGAACTTAGCAAGCACAGAAACTAAACTACTTGCAAAGATACGTTAAAAAGACGGGTTAAGATCGGTCGTAATTAGGGGGTTTTCCTGAGAAAATTCGACTTATCGAAGTTGGCACCAAATGTTTCGTTGGAGTTATCAAGATATTCGAGTAATCAAGACAAACTAACACGCATTTCCTATTTTTGAAGCTATTGCCAACCAATTTGGTTCGACTTATCAAAAATTCGAGTTATCGAAGTTCGACTGTATTGGGGATAGGAGATTATCCGATACGATTTTGACATTGGCAACTCGCATTTTACAAGGAAAAGTTATAATATTTACAAAACCTCTGGATACCTGCTCTCATTCCACTCTGTACCTGCTTAATATATTGTTTTATTCCTATGTCATCAAGTTTGACTCAACAACAACAGACCCAAGAGGAATCCAGCAGTTTCGTAAATAGTATTACAGTAGCTTGTGGAAGTTTATTTGAAAAATTATTTCGAAAAGTTGTTGGTTCAAAATATGTACCACTTAATTAAGTTCCATGTATGGAAATGGTTTTAGAGACTTCTCTGGAGTGTTTAAACTCAAGTAAACTATTAATTTATTATTAAACCGGTCAGGTTTCGGAGGAGAGTATTTAACAAAATTGAAGGAGATGTCTTTTTTTACTCTAGAGAAGGCATATGAAATGACTGATAGAAAAATTTAATTAAAAATATTGGTCTATTTTAATTAAAAGAAAAGAAAAATACTTCCCAATTCATCAAGGTAGTATTTTAGCAAAGTTGTTAGCACAAAAAATTAAAACTGGTAAACACACTGACTGAATTTTGAAATTTTTTACTATGAAAATGGCAGAAGAACAATATCTTATAATGAAATCCATACTATGGTGTTTTTTTGAAGATCCAAATGTTGTTGAAACGAGATATTCCAGTGGTCTTCAAGTTGAGGTCAAGTTTAGCAAAAGCGAGTTAAGTAAAAAATATACCCATCACCCTATTGGCATTTAAATTTCAATGAGGATAGTCGATGTTTTGTTGAAGGCAAATAGAAGACACATTATTCTAATTGGGTTTACTGCGGGGACCGATAATTCAAACATTACAAGCACTTAACAAATTAAGGTCCAATTATATATTGCATAAATCCAATCTATGTTATGTTTGAATTTCGAACAGGTAAGCTTTTCCTTTAATGTTGAAGACTCAGATGAGTCCATAAGGGTACTGAATGGCAAACGAATATTCTTTTATCAGTAAAATATCACAGGAAAGCATAGAACGCACATAGAAAATTAGTATCCGAAACCTTTTCAAGTTTTACATAGAAGGACAATCAAAATTTGTTTGCCAAGGGTCTCATGGAATTATAAAATGGTCAATGTAAAAATCGTTGTACCATAATTCCTATTTAATAAACGTGTTTTAACTTTCTGCAGATAACGTTTCGGATACGAAACGTCTGCGGGGCGGGGTCGTCTTTGTCGACGAAATACCTCGAAATCCTACCGGAAAAATTTTGCGGCGAGTTTTGAAGCAGCGCGCGAGACACATGGCCAAACTGAAGTCTAAACTGTAAAGCGCAAGAGTTTTAGGGGACGGATTAGCCAGACATCAATTATTAATACTATTTAGTGGTTGTTTTCACAGGCAAAATCGTCGTGCCCGATTGTTGTTACATGTTCCTCAATAAACCTTTTTATCAATTTTTGGTGTTTTTTCGTGTAATGAACAAAAACAACAAAAAAAACAGACGGGAGTCTTTAAAATACGTAGTAACACACCTACCTAGTGTGCTGGAAGCGTCAGTTACGTTTCCCACGAATCCGAGCCACTTGGGACATATTTTACCGCAGGGGTTTAGGAGCAATCGGATGTTTTTTTTTTTTTATTTTTTACGTTTGTCAATTCTCACGGTCATGTCAGTGAATGTATTCATGTTGTTTTGCGAAAATAAACCAAAAAGTAACGGTCGGAGAAAATAGTATAGTATGCAACACGTTCGGCACTCGTTTATAAAATGCCGTTGAATAATATACTGTTAATATGGTTATATCAGCGACAAAAACAAGATAGATGGTCATTTCAAAGTCACCTATCAGATGCCAATATCTGGATACCCAGACGTTAAGACAAAAGTAAGGAACCAAGCTGCAAGAGCGTCTAGGGCAGCAGCACGACACCATCTGGCGAAATAAACACATCCGAACTGAAGCAAAAGCCCGGATATATAAAACAGCTATTCGACCTATACTCACCTGTACAGCAGAAACCCGACCTGAGACCTCGAAAACAAGAAGAATATTAGAAACCACGGAAATGAAAATAGTTCAAAGAATAGCGGGAATAACACTCATGATAGGGAAAGAGGTGAAGATATTAGGCGAGTGTGCGGGGTAGATAACATCAATGATTGGGTGCTGGATCAAAAGATAAAATGGAGCATATTGATCATGTGGCCGAAAAATTAATAGTGAAAATGTTGACAAGCTACCAAATGACTGAATGATGGCAAAGATGTGAAGAGAAACAAAAAGAAGACAAAATTATGCGTTTCTATCTTGAACTGCAGTAAGCATTGCATCGCTGGGGTCACACAGATCGGACATTTGAACTTCTCCCCATGTCCGACATACTTCCATATATATTGAGATGTAGATGGAGGTATATGGAGGAGTAGGAGAGGTATGTAGAGGTATAATGGGGATATCTATCGAAGTATGTCAGACATACAGATTGGTTCAAATATACCAAGTTGTTTAATTCTAGCGACACCATACCTACTATGCCATCAAAACTCAAAACGGTTCTTATCCTCCAACGTAACAAAAAATAATTTAAAAAAAAAATCATCAAGTATGGAAGAGCCCCTCTAGGTTCATATTATACCATTTTGCAAATTAACCACTAATATTTGCCGCCACATTTATTAAACAAACCTTATTGTGTATAGTGTTTTGTTCAAAATGTGTTATGGGTTAAAAGTAACAGGACATTGTGTTCACTGTGTCTGGGAAGATTCAAATATGCATGGTTCTCGGTTCCTTTCTGGGTTGTGTTGAAATTTTACCTATTAAGAAAATCCAAATAAACCTTTTGAAAAAGTGTATAAAATTCATTCAAAAACTTATATTGTAAATTAAGTAACTGCTTAAAAAAACATCTTTTTTAACTATAGTTTGTATGTGCTTCCAGATTATACACCATAGTTATTTTATCCTTAAAGGGTAAACAAGGCTTGATATTTTTATCAGATGGGATCAATTAAATATAGAAACTGTACGCTAAAAAATATATTTCATGTTTTCCGACATACGCGCAACTCACGGGAAATATTCCTTCGCCCTGCGCCCCTTATGCTTCGGCAAATCGGGCCGGAGGGCTTTCGGAATGTATCTGGGTAATCGGTGGTTCAAAGCTCTCTTATACGGGTTCTTCAACAGCTCAAATGGTCTCAGTCTTTTTTCCAACGGCCGCGTCTTGTGATCGATTTTGTAGATTTTCTCCCAACTATAAATTTCATCCACTTCCTTCAGTCGTGGCCTATTGGCCACCAAATACTTGTATTCTCTTTCTAGCCACTGGCGTTTATCATCATCCTATTGAAAATGGTGAACAAACTTTAACTATAAAATAGAAGGACCAACAATTTTTTCTTACCATTTAAGAGCTTTTTAAATGTGACAAAATTATGTAAAAAATGTTTTTTGGAACATTTTTTCGTAGGTGCCAATTTCACAAAATTAAGGGAAAATTTTGAACAAAAGCTATTAATAAGATCTTAGAAGTATAAGGCACAATTCTTTCAAATGAATTTTTAAAATATTTCTGAATTGCCATATTCAAACCTCATCCTACACAGATTTCAAAGTAACTTTTGTTATAACTATCTCAAAAAAGGATAAATAACAATAATATTGTGAAAATGCAATAAATAATAAATATAACCCCATACCTGATAATCAGCAGCCAGTTTTTCTTCATTGCTCAAGTATGGCCTCATATTGACGGCTAGCCTCTCTTGAGGTGCATTTGCATAAAACTTCACAAGCAGTTTCAATGTGTCTTCATTAAACCCAACAATTTTGTCTTCATTTATCTCTTCAAACAAGTTCATCTGACCTGTGGCCCAGCAAACATTTTTTTTTGGATTTTCCTGGGCAGTATTGTGCAGTTTTATGGTGTTTAATTGGTAAACGTAAAATGACCACTGCTTGCCATTTGTTATCACTGTTTGTGTAACCAAAGGGTAAGTAATATCGTTAAAAGTAGTGAATCCTAAGAAATTGGCCTGGGCATGCAGCCAAGCATATGATGCAAGGATAGCCTGTCTGTGAATGGCTTCCTCTGTATCCTTTGGGTCTTTAAATTGCTTCAAATGCTCTTCAATGTGACCGCGCTTGTGAAAAGAAACCAAGCCAAACATATTTGGATCTCCTGGCCAAAACCCTGGGATATTCGCCACATGCCGGTATTCAGTGGGTATTCCCAAAACTCTGGGGTCATATTTAAAATGTGGTATCTCAAATTCTGGATTTTCTGCCTCAGAATGAGACATAATGGGCAGAAGAGGCATACGCGATCTTACACTCAAAAGTGGAGAACCTATGTAGTACATGAGCCTATCTATAGGATCATTTTCAAACTCTTTTTTATAAACTATTTTGGATCTCATTCTTTTTATATGATTTGGAGGATCCATGCCTCCAGCATACCAGCAAGACTCTATTCTAGGTGCAATATCTGCCTGCAACATGTCATGTTTCAAGTTAGAATATGCTTTGACTAAAAACTTTACCTGACTATCTACTATGTGGTTATACTTGGGAGCCAAATTGTTACTTATTATTCTGTTAATTTGTTTTGCAATTGCCGCACCTGTAAGATTCTCTCTATCCGCATTTGTTATTTCTTCTTTTTTAATATCATATAACCTCCTAAAATAAACATTTAAACAGCCATAACAAAAGTGGAATTACATACTGTATGTAATCTATCTCCATTAGAAGACATTCCTGGATGTCTCCAGCTAGATCTAAAGCCCCATCGCTATTGATATTTTCGTAGAAATTTGGTAAACCGAGTTCATTGATCAAATGGGTACGAGTTACATACTGAGAAAGACAAAGACCATTGTAAGGTATTTTTTCTTCAAAAAGCATGTAGCTCTTGAAACCGTAATATCTGGGCATGTTCAGTTTTATCTGCTTTTCTTCCACTGTTTTTACAGCCCGCACCATATCGTGCCTGGTTTCTTTCTTGCGCTCTAAACGCTTTCGAATGGAGAGATCTAAAATGGGGGGATACTCCGGCACATCTGTATATTCCTCATCATTCTGCGTAGCCACATTGGATAAAGCTTTGCCTGTATTTAGAAGTTTCAAGGCAACGTTTCGTTTTAATCGAATTAAGCCCATTTTAAAGAAAATATATTTTTAATTTAAAGCTAACCTAAATTCTTCTTCTTTAACCGACCGTGGCTAAGGATTTCTCTCTCTCCTTTACTTCTATTGGCTGCAACTACTAAGGTCACTCAGCCACTTACAAAAATAATTTGACACTCTATAGTTTTGGAGGGAGTCACCATACCGGCGTTGACAGGAAAAAACAGCATTCAATAATAACATTCACTAGGCATTTAGAATACTTAATCCACATAATGGAACCAATTTCTAGTATTTTGAGGACGATTACAACGGATTCTGCCGAGAGCGGATGGAGGTTAACCTGCCGTGTGCAACATGCAATGCTCACGACAGCGGCTAAGGATCCAATTCATTTTACAATTGATTAAAGGATCAAGAATCAAAAGGTACAGTTAATTTTGTAAAACATTTGTTGGTGTTTGGCAATACTGAATTATTGGTTGGAATAACTTCAAGAAGCAAAAAAACGCAATAATTAAAAAAATACTTTGTCCGATCATTTTACTCCATTTAAAATACATCTGCACTGTTGCATTAATGGCAGCACTTCTGATTTGTAGAGGGAACTTGAAGACCCATGGGTGATTTTTAATATCTGTGTGCCACTTTTTAAGTGATTGATTCCTTCTGTCACTTTACCTTCATACAGCAATAATTTGCAGAGCTTCAAATGCAACAACCCTCTTAGAGGATGTATTTCTGGATAATATTTCCTAAAAAAAAAAACTCCGTCTCCAGCTTATGCACTGAAGGTGAATCAATTTACCGGTAGGCTTCAATCAACTCTAGTCCATATTGCAATGCTTCATCAAATAAGCCCAAATCAATTGCACTTTCAAATGCGAGGTCCAAGACTTTCACGTGTTTTAGATGAAATTTAAATAACACTTGTTGGTGACGTTTCAAGCACACTTTACAAACATCCAAATCTAATGATTAATAAGCATAAATACATTTTTTAAGCTACTGAATTTGTGAGTCGTATAGTTTGATGATTATGAACCTGATTTTGTAAAAAGGATACAAGTGGTTTGCTTCATTGTATCTAAATGCATTTCTGTAAACTCCAAAACGTCTTTGAAATTATTGGCAAAATCTTGAGTAACAACCGTGCCACACTTAATACACTGTGTAGGGTTGTTGTTCATATTTATGCTACTATTACATTTGGGATTTGGACAAGCTGCCCCGTACATGTCATCTACACATTCGGGTTCTATGCATTTAACACAGTCACATAAAAAATAATAGGTCTTTTGCAATTCCCTAAGCCGATCTTCTGTAGACCCCATTACGTCTATGTAGCTTATTCTCACTTTAGACCAATCGAGGCAGGACATTTTTTCTAGAGACCGAACATATAAAGTGGTTCCTTCAAATACAGCTAATGCATTTGGCTCACAGGAATGATCTATAATTGAAGCGGCCAGGTAAATACCTGTTCCTAAACTTTGTAATTCCTGGTTACATATATTAAAACTATTAATACACATCTGCAATTAACACTGGGTTTTGTCTAAATGAATTAAAGAACCAGAACATTTTTACTCACTCTTCCATATATGCCCATAAATTCTGCGGAGTTTGGTAACATATTATCACAAAATTCATACAGGACTCCATACAGAGAAGACAGATGTTCCATCCTTCTCTGATCCTTTTTTAGCTCAGGGTAATCTATAATGTGTATAAATTTCATAAAAATGTTAATCAAATCTATTACAGCCAACCTATTCACCCCTTATGGTTAACTTACGGGACATAAGATCTTTATAAGTTCTGTAATCTTTTTCAGTATAGTACGACTTTTTGGTACTTCCCCCATTTTCCAGAATCTTATGCAACCTATATAGCAACCTCGCTGCATCTGGCAACAATTTTGGGGAAATTTTTTTAAAATTTTTACATTCCCACCTATGTAAACTCCATCCTTCTTTCTGGCAAGGTCGACCACAATAATACACATATTTGCAGTTTGAACACTTCAACAATTCATTGGATCTATAAATTTATTTTTATATACATTTTATATTATATTTAAAAATAAAACTTACTTCCTGAAGCAAAAATCGCAATAATCAGTCCTATATTTTGAACTAAGGATATAAACGAAAGGACTCTCTTTCAGAAGCAAAGTACCTTCCAATATGACTTCTTTTTTTATTAGCATGCCAACTGCAAAATATCAACGAATAAAATTTATCACAGGAATTTGTCCTATGAACAAAATGAAAAAAATGACGTAACTAAATTCTATTACTGAAACAATTAACATATAGTATTTTTGGGTGAAATAAAAATAACCGCTGGTCAGGGATTTACTACTATATATACTTCTAAATATTGTTTGTTGTCAACAGTACGGAAGAGACAGTCGCATGAGTTGTCATAAATATTTCAATAAATGGACATTTGAGTAAAAAACGAAATATATGCATTTAAAAAACTTGAAAATTTAACCTTGTCTTTGTTTTATTGATTCCCCCATTTTTCTTTTTTTTTAAATCTAGGCATCCGTATTCTAACCTTAATTTTTATCTTTGTTAACAAAAATTAGGCATATATACCAGGATTACATGTTCATTGCCGATTTCCTCGAAGAAGAAGAACAAAAATACTTGTTTTTTTGCCACAATAAAGACATTCGACCAAATATCGACACGCGCTATTTATACTCCAATTTATTATTCAATGCAGGAACACTTCTTTGACTTTACTAATCTATGATAGAGAATTTGTTTGTCAAGTCATATGTAGAAAACCCAAATTACTCTATAAACCGCAATTCAAATTTTAATTAAGTTGAGATTTATAAATAAACATTACTTCACATTTTTCCTGAATGCATATTTTGGCGAGTACGCAACTCCTTTTTAAACCTTTTAAAAACAAAACAGTGAAGGAACTGTGTTTTTACAGGTAAGCTTCTATACAATTGTAGTTTACTCATTTGAAGTTTCGCCGTTTATATTTTAGTTCATTTACCCTGTTTGGAAAGGCAAATCCCAAAATGTCCAAGTCAGATCTAGTCTATCGTCGCCTAGACAACATAATAAAATCACAAGAGGACAAACGTTTATACAGGGGTTTAGAATTAACCAATGGCATGAAGGTTTTATTAGTTAGTGATCCTCAAACTGATAAATCAGCGGCTGCAATGGATGTTAATGTAGGATTTTTGAGTGACCCCAAGAATGTAAAAGGACTGGCCCATTTTTGTGAACATATGTTGTTTTTGGGCACAGAAAAGTACCCATGTGAAAATGACTACAACAAATTTCTACAGGAACACGGTGGCAGCAGCAACGCTGCTACTTATATTGATCACACCTTGTATTATTTTGATATTGTGCCAGATCATCTGAAAAATGCTTTAGATAGGTTTGCTCAGTTCTTCATATCACCTCTATTTACTGAAAGTGCAACGGAAAGGGAGATAAATGCTGTGAACTCTGAGCATGACAAGAACATTCCTAGTGATGTTTGGAGGATCAATCAACTAGACCATCATCTGTGCGATCCAGATCATCCATATCACACTTTTGGAACTGGCAATACTTACACTTTAAGTACATTGCCAAAGGAGAGTAGCATTAATGTTCGTGATGAATTATTGAAATTTCATAGTCAATGGTATTCATCCAATCTCATGTGTTTGGCAGTTTTAGGAAAAGGTTGGTTATTTATATTTCACAGGGTGTCACTTAAAGGGAGGTTTAACAGTTTTTTTTTTTTGTTTTGTAGAAAGCTTGGATGAATTAGAAGAGGTTGTAGTTGAACTTTTTGGTTCAGTTAACAATAAGAATGTTAAAGCTGCCAGATGGGAAACCCACCCATTTAAAGATGACCAATTAAGAACTGTTGTTTATGTAACTCCTGTGAAAGATTTAAGAAATTTGAATATTGTTTTTCCCTGCGATGATTACACTGATTTTTACAAATCTGCGGTAAGTGTAAATGAAAGAATCTTAGTTGCCTTTATATGTATATTTTAACAATAACAGTCATAAAACAGGACATATGGAGTTCTAAAATTAAAACGGAATTGAGATTTCTACTCTATTTTTGGGATGTATATTATACAGATCATCACAGTATGGAAAACACCTTATTGGTGTTTTGTTATTGCATATTGGAAATACTATTCTGGTTTAGTAAGGTATAATACTAAATGTAAATTGGAATCTTTAGCGTATTGAAACAGGTCTTTACATGAGTCTAGTGTCATAGGGCAAAAACTTCCGGCATTTGTTACTATTACACAAACATTTTGTTCTGTCTGTTTCGCTGGGTTCTTCTAAATGACTTACATCTGTTATACCATAGTCATAGGTTATTTCCTCACCCGGTTCAATATCTCTGCTAGCAAACAAACTTAAAATTGGAACGGTTTCGTTTATTCTAGCTATTACCATTGTGGAATTTGGTTCACAACTGTGATTCACATATCTACCAATGTTTCCATAATACATCGGGTCAATAAACGTTTTTACATTTTTGTCCCCAAAGTATTCATCGATACAAAATATGTAATTCATTTTTTTAGCATTGGCATTGATTTTGTATCTTGCAGAAGCTTCAGACTCTGATATTATTTCCCCGGCATATTCACAAATGAAATTCCCAGACCCTATCGCGCTTTCTGTAAACAAACCTTCTCCTTTTGTTTCATTGCTGCACAATTTCACAGTTAAATTCTTACGAGGGCCGCACTGAATTAGTTTGTTGCCGCACAACAAGTCACAGCAAGAGCATTGATCATTACATTCATATGTAGGTCTAGCCGTAGGCTTATCATTTAGTACATAACTTGCTAAGTCTAATAGGGCCTTATAGCTGTAGTAGGAGCCGCTTTGTTGTACGCAAGTACAACCGTTTACTAGAGAACATTCGTTTAAACATTGACAAAATATGCTAGTCGGTCCAATACTTGCTTCAACTTCTTTCGTGGGTATTGATCGCGGGAAATATAAAATTTGAGAGTTTTTGTGCATGTATTCGTCTATAGAGTCCATTTGGTTCTTTTAATAAAATTATTCGTTCTTATAAGAAAGTGTAGGTTAAGTAGTAATCTTCCTCTTCTTAATATATGGCCAAATTACAGTGGTCATTTGCAAAAGCAAATATTCAGAAATCTCATTAGTGACGTCATTGGGCCTGTGGATTGTTGTTAGTTGTAATTTTAATTATTTTAGCCGACAAATTATTTGAGTCATTTGATTGGACACGAAGGGCCCGGCAGTATATTGTCGGCTTTAAAAGCTCGTGGTTGGTCTAATCAGTTAGTTGGAGGAGTCCGAACTAGTTCTCGCGGGTTCAGCTTTTTCGGCATATCCGTCGATTTGACCGAGGAAGGGATGAACCATGTTGATGATATCGTCAAACTGGTGTTTCAGGTGTGCATTTAGTCGGCGACGTCTATATTTTTTGAAAATTCGATTCGCTTTGTAGTATATAAACATGTTAAAAAAGGAAAAACCACTAAAATGGATTCAGGACGAGAACCGGGATATAGGCAATATGACATTTCGGTTTAAGGACAAAGAATCCCCCAGAAATTATATTTCCAACGTGGTCAATAACTTGCAGTTGTATCCGTTAGAGGACGTGTTGTGCGCGCAATACATGTTGAATGAATGGAAGCCCGAACTTATTGAGAAAGCTTTGAAAGATTTTGTCCCAGAAAAAGTGAGGTACGCAGTCCGTAATTTTTTTATTAAGAGATTGTGAAGTGTAGTTTTTTAGTCACCCTAAGTGACTACTCATGTACTCATATGATTTATTGTGAACTTTTCCAATCTGGCAGAAATTGTTTATTTCAGATTGGCAGTAGTTGCGAAGGCATTTGAAAATATCTGTGATGAAACAGAACCCTGGTACGGTACCAAGTTTAGTAAGCAAAATATCCCGCTGGAAACCCTCAAGGTACTTGAGTGCTCAATAATTCCATTGTTTTAATTTAAAATCAATTGGTTCAAGGTATGGAAAGAAGCCGGCCTATGTGACGAGTTGAAGCTGCCGGAGAAAAACGAATTTATACCCACCGACTTTTCTCTGTTTCCTTTAGATAATTCGGTTAGTGATTCTACTAAATTGCCGCTCATTTCGGACTAATTTAATTTTGATTCTAGGTGACGGAGTATCCGGTTATCATACAGGACACTGCATTAACCAGGGTGTGGTTCAAGCAAGACGACAAGTTCCTGCTGCCCAAAGCGAACGTGATGTTTGACTTTGTAAGCCCGATGGCCTACTTGGATCCTCTCAACTGCAACTTGACTCACATGTTTGTGCAACTCTTCAGGGACGCCCTCAATGAGTACGCGTACGCCGCTGAACTGGCGGGCCTCAAATGGGAACTGATCAACACCAAATATGGTTTAATAGTGAGTCGTTCACGCCTTTTTTATCGCCTACGCAGGGCATTTATAGAACATTTCATTAATTATGTATGTAACACAACATAAACAGTTTCCGTCCCATTTTCTGGGGGGTTCTTGTAATTTTGCTTAGATCCTCATTAAAACTGACTCGGTTTTGGATTTTGGAACTTTTCTAAAATATAGCGTCATCTAAATGATATTAATTTTAAAGTTAAATAGATCGGTGCGTTTGAACTACTGATTCGAATTATGTTCGGTTACAATTTAAATTGTTTTATGGCAGTTAGGCATTGGAGGCTACAACAACAAACAGCACATCCTGCTGGAGAAAATAATGGACAAGCTGACGAATTTCAAAATCGATCCCAAACGGTTCAACATATGGAAAGAACACGTGAGAGAAATTCGCGGCGGCGACGTGGTCCTCGCTTTTCCAAAAATATTTTTTTCTACTTTTCAGTACATCAGGAATCTCAAAAACTTTTCTGCCGAACAGCCGTACCAGCACGCGGTGTACTATCTTACCGTACTGTTGACGGAGCATTCATGGACCAAAGAGGAGCTCCTGGCGTCGACCGACCGTAAGGTCCATGATTTGCTTATTTCATAAACTGACAGCTTGTTTCGATTAATCATCAGTGCCGTTTTCTTAAAAAAAAACGAGTTTAAACCAAGCCACGCAAATTTAAACCAGAGATTATTTAGTTTCACTCTTGTGGTTGTTTGGAAAAAATCAATGGAACCAGTTTTTAAATACGTAAAAAAATGAAACCTGTTTATAACCCCTAAACCCGGGTTAAAAAGTTTTTCGTACATGCTTGATCAAACTAAGCGCATGTTCGGTATAGTTTTGACGGTTGCGCCATCTGAATTAAAAATTATTTTCAGCGTTTACCCTGTACATTCTATTATGCAACCTCACGTTTAACTGGGGCGCGCTGAAGTTTAAAGTTCCGGTAGAGAGCAAAAGGGATCATAGGCCAGTATTTTTGTTAAAAATAGTTCCTTCATTGCTTTTTAGCTATTTTGTAGTTTTTACCCATTGAAAGAATTTGTTCTAAATAGGGAACTAGAACAAAATTTTAATTTGAAAAAAGTTGTTTATAAAAGTTAGTTTATAATATTAAAAGAACCACAGTTCACAAAAACATAATATTGCATTTTCATGTAACAAATATAATCAATTAAACATTGTAAAATTCGCTCGTTAGACTACGCGCCAGCCGGACGGTATTTTAGTCTTGATCCTGTCGCTTGTGTTTAGTATCAAAAAGAAAGTTTTGAAAATGCTCGAAACCGATTTTTTAAAATAAAAATTTGACAATTGACCTTTAGTGGAGATGTCTATGGTGACATCTTACATACAAAACACCGAAAGTTTTTCGTTTACTGAAAATTTAGCCATCAGTTTTAAACCAATATAATATTGTAATCAGCTTAAGATACATAACATAATGTTAACAAAAAACGGCGGCTTTTATTCTCTGGTAGACGAATAAAAAGTTTATCTCTCGTTTTATGGGTTGTACTCAAACACAATGGGACGATTTCTAATATTGTTTTTGTGTTGCTTCCGTTATTATATGTAAAGCACACTAAGCACAAATACAAACTGGCGTAGATTAAATACAAACACACAGGCAAAAGTAAACGTAAATAATATAATTTTCGGCCTATAACCTGAGAATAACATGTCGCCGTATCGATCGAAATGCAGCGGTATGACGTCACGATCATTCCCCGCGCCTTTAGTTTAAAAGGAATAGCCAATTGTCACAACTTGAATTATTTATTGATATTTCGTATGCATTATTTCTCTAGATAAACAAATGTATTAAAGAAATAAAAAAAAGGTTCAATTTCCCTATTAAATGGGTATGTTTAGAATAATTTTTATTTGTACAAAGTGTGGTCCGGTCAAATTCGACACTTTTAAAGCGAAACTCCCCTTTCCAAAGGATATAGACGAAAAGTACTGTCAGTCTCAGTTACTGTCTCAGAGTTAAAAGGTGTTTTTCGAAAATGTGTATTTTTGAAAAATTGCTTCCACATTGTTGCAGTGAAAAATTTCCATAAAAATTTTTGCAAATGAAAATTTTTCGTTGATTTTTACATTACATTATACATATCTGTTTATTTGCTCTCTCTTGTGAATGAACATACTATAGCAATGGACTTGGTTGTCGATATCTCCGCCTACTCCAATCTTTTCTCCCTAGAACTGACGTTGGAAATGCTGGAGGCGTTCATACCGCAAGTGCTCTCGAAAATGCACATCGAGTGTCTCGTGCACGGCAACGCGGACAAAGCGAAAGCGCTCGACTTGGTGCGCATCGTCGAAGAGCTCCTCACTGCAAAAATGAACATGTCGCCGTTGTTGCCGCGGCAACTGCTGTTGAATCGCGAGCTGAAGCTCGAAGACGGCTGCCATTACTCGTACGAGAAGCAGAACGGCGTGCACAAGAGTTCGTGCATCGAGGTCTACTACCAGTGCGGCTTGCAGAACCGCGAGAACAACGTTAAGCTCGAACTGTTCTGCCAGCTTATACAGGAACCGTGCTTCGACGTACTTAGGACCAAGGTTGAGTGTAAATTTCTTAAGGGTAGTTTACAAAAGAATTCCATTATAAAATAGCCCTTTATCAATGCTTACGAAAACCATAAAGTGACTACTTATCTCGGTTGTCATTCGGTCGCCATATCCTCGTTAGTTAGTAGACAACTAAAGTTGTAGCTCGTGTAGGTGAGGTTGGCATTTGTATATGAGAGACTATGTATTGCGCTTCTATATACCCTACACCCCCTCCTAGTAGATAATATAGTGGCCCAAAGACCGTAAAAACTGAAGCGCCTCATGCGAAAATGATATTTTTGTAAAGAACAGAATAATTTTCCGCGCATGCTATTAAATTTCACACACTTTGTGCCCTTTTCTTTCTAAATAAGTGGCTAAACACCTTAACCCGTTTCCTTAGATCATTTAACGAGATCCGAGCATCTTTTGGGAAAATGTTGCATTAAAAATGCAACTAAACTAAAACCTGTCAAATCGACGATCTGTGAGCGACCATGTTAATTGTTGAACGTCAAAAGGACGGGTGTTGGTGTTTAAAAGCGAGATTCACTAGTTAAATAAATCTATATTCCATAATACGACCAAAAATATAGTGCTTTTATTGACGTTTTCAATATTTTACAGTAACTTAACCGCAAACCTTCGCAGGACCGTGGTAAAACCCATCCCATCTTGCCTGAAATGGACTGTAATGAATATTTGTAGAAACTTGAAATTTTTATTTGAAATATAAATGGACCGTTTTAAATTTGATTAAGCGTTGATGCGCGGGGTTTTCCGAATAAGTAGAAGCGTTTATTTTAACATCAGGTGATAAGTATCGTTCTTAAGAGTTTAATCTAAATTGCAATATGTTCGTATATATTACGGAGGTATTTGACTGTGATCCTTCCAGTAAGTACTTATTTATGTACCTGATTCCCGAGCTTTGACCCTGCAAGACTGTTTATACTGGATAGTTCAATGGGTAAGGGCAAGGTGAGTTTGAAAATAATCATTTTTGTCTTGTGTCCCCGTCGATTAACAACATTGTTCTATTTTTTTGTCTTCTATATAGTTCTTCGATAGTTCAACATAGTTAAACATTTTTTGATGGTTCCTTTTTTTCTCCCGAAAACATGGAAAACAACGCAGAATTTGAAGAAGAAGTGGAGATGGTAGTCGAATCTAATGAAAATTTAGAAGACGAAGAACTACCACGGCAAATAAAAAACGGATCCATTTTTCTTCAGATGCTAAACAAATTGTTATGAATGTTTACAATTTTATAAGAAATTCAGAATGGGAAATAGGAGCAGCAATATGAACAAGCGACTTGACCAAAGTTTTGAAGTCAACTGTAAGAAAAATTGTTGTAAATGGGATAGTCAAGAGGAAAGTGAGAGAAGAATGCTGGTACTTCGCGAGTTTTTAAAGAGCAACACGCTTATAAAGTGAATAGTGTTTTAACCCTAGAGGAACTGCATAAAAAAGTACTGACAGACTTAAACATTAATTGTGCCAAAGAGTCGTTGCGTACTTTTTAAAAAAAATGGATTTTCAGTTCCAAACAATTAATAAACGTCAAGTGCTAATGGAATTTCAAAGAATTTCGCAATGGAGGGTGTATTATTTAAATGCAGTTGAAAAATTTCTAGAGCAAAATAGCCCAATAGTGTATTTAGAAGAAACGTGGTTTGACACTCGCGACACAGTAAAAAAAGGATGTTGTGATAACAGTAACCAGTGTGTACTGGACGTGCCGCCTTCACATGGAAAACGCATAATAATTCTTCATGCTGGGTTCAAAAATGGTTGGGTGTCTTCCAAAAACGTCAATGATTAAAGTGTGGAAATACTTGAGGACTGGTGTGAAAACAAATTGTTGCCAAACCTATTGCCAAATAATGTTATTATGTTGGATAATGCCTCGTATCATTCAGCCTAAATTAGAAAAATTCCAAACACTTCTTCAAATAAAGAAGAAATTAAAGAATTTCTGTACGAAAATGATTTATGTTTTGAGGAGACCTAAACGAAAAATCTGCTTCTATAATTATTCAAAATAAAACATTTTAATAAAGACTTCAAAATTGATTCGATATCACAACAAAACTGACGTGAAATCTTGAGATTACCCCCGTATCATTGTATATTTAACCCGATTGAGATGATTTCGTCTGAGTTGAAAGAAATAACACTACGATAGTACAGTAAACGTAATTCGGCAAGTGGTAGCCAAAATATCAGATGAAATCTGGTCTAACTGTGAAAAACAAGTAATAAAAGAAGAAAATATTTATCGAGAACAATTAGTGGCGGAGTTGATGATTGAACTAAGTGACGACAGAAGCGATAGTGACGATTTTTTAATTGACTGATACTTTATTACTTTTATATTCAATATTTTGTATATTAAAAATGATACTATATAGAATGTAATGAAATAGAACGTAATAAATTGTTACTTTGTACTAATTTTTTTATGTACGTTTCAAGAATTGCTTGGTGAAAAAGATTGAAAACGTACTTATATCCAGCTTGTTATTGTCGGTAGATAAATTCATAGGACGGTCCTGGAATGGTTACGGGTAAGGGTCTACTCGTCAGGGTGTTCTATAAGGGGCTGCGATTTTGGCGTAATAAATAGACAAAGTTACTCACGGGGTCGCTTGTAAAAGCACTATATTTCTGGTCCAAGTATACCAGATACTTCTATAATCAGTGGACTGTTCAACCTATAGTGTCACTAAATGGAACATAACTTGTGATTGGTTCTAAAATTAACTTAGGGCATTTTTAATGTATATACCACAATACGCAAAAGTTTTTTCTGAAAATTTCGTAGCCTATTGATGTGAGTTTTTTAAAAAGGAGACCAAATCTGACTAGCGTATTCCACTGGTACTTGCGTTGTCATAATTAAATAAATCGAGAACAGGAGGACCACAATATAAACCCTGTGGTACATCTGAGAGAACGTCAATGTCTTGTGATATAAGACCATTTATTGTCACTCTCTGCTTTCATTGCGAAAGGGAACTAAACAGCCCATTTAGAAACTTTCCACCCAGATCTAAAGCATTCGTTAGTTTAACTCATAGTTTTGGTTAGTTTCCAATGCATTCCAAAAATCTCAGATTCTTTTGGTTAAGTTTCGTCAATATCTCAGGAGCAACTGGGGTACATCGTGTTCAGCGGCGTGCGCAAATCAAACGGCGTCCAAGGTTTGAGGATAATAATTCAGTCGGATCGGCACCCGGAATACCTCGACAGCAGGATCGAGGAGTTCCTGCACAGCATGCTCGGCTACATTAGCGACATGACCGAGGAGGAGTTTTCGAGGCATCGCGAGGCTTTGGCCGCCCAACGGCTGGAAAAACCGAAGCAGCTCTCTGCGCAAACCAACCAGTTCTGGTCAGAGATCACCGCGCAGCAGTACCACTTTGACCGCGCCAACGTAGAGGTCGCTTACCTAAGGACGCTGACGAAACAGGACGTGATCGCCTTTTACGAGGTATCTTAAAAGCAATTAATATTTGCCCTTTTTATTTTTGAATGCTTGTATACATTGTTCCTTAGTGTAATGTAAATTTGTTATGGTCATTAAACAGGGTGGACAACTTAAAGGTTATATCGTAAAGTTCAGGCAAATTACAATGATTTTTTTATATATTTCAGTTCAGACCTACTCCTTGAATCGTTGCTAAATAAAAAAAATTTTGCCCAATCAATTGTTCTACCAAAGGAAAATCCGAGAATCTAGAGATATCTATAAGCAACCAAACGATCTTAATCGCGATTCAGGTCATTTACCTTTCACCAATATGAGAACCAGTCATCCGAGACAATGTTCATGTCCCTCCTTTGGCCAGCCCCCTTTAAAGAAGCCACCAGCAAGTTCGATTCATCAGCATCGATTGATTCATCGTAGGAAGAATCCAGAAGTGGTGTAATTTTTATTTTTTATTTGCCCAGGAATTGCTGAAGAGCGACGCCAGCGGCAGGAAGAAGCTGTCGGTGCACATAGTGTCGACGGCAGAGGGCGGGGCCGGTATAAACAACGGTAACGGGGAGGCGGGTGACAAATCCAAGGCCGCGAGCGTGATCAACGATATCACGGTGTTCAAGAGTGCTCACGAAATGTACCCGCTGGTGCAACCCTACATGAATATCACCCGCAAGGGTAACAGATGCAAGCTTTAAACGGTATCGTAGCTTTTAACGAATTTACGTCACATAATTAAATTAAATGTAAACGGTTTTATTTAAATTGAGCGTTAATTGTTTTTTTCTGATTGTTCGTTTTCGGAAATAAAAACCAGAGTTAGCGATAACACATGTTTCTTTTTTTTATAAATAATTTTGCCCACGGGAACGTTATTTAAAGATAAACATAGCTTTATTTCCATGAGACCTGAGTTACAAGTGTGGAATATTGTTAGTAAATACAAATATCAAAATATAAAATTATGTTAGTATAATCAATTAATTAATTATTGTTATCAATAATGTTGGATAAATAACAAATATATAGACAATAATAAACAACGAATATGTATTAGAAGATACCACAAGAAAGAAAATCCTCAATATCGTAATAGGCGAGGAGTACCAATTTGTTTTTAAGGTACATTTGAATTTTTTTGATCAGCTATCTCCTTCATTTCGATAAGCAATTTATTATAAATTATGAATGCCAAAACATTAGGACTATTTGATGTAAGTGTTACTGAATATCTGAGTTTCTTGAGAGCATATAAAGATTAGAGTTGCCTTTTACATAAGTGGCACAATTTAGTATGAACATACTAGGAAGTGTCAATAAAGAGTGTTGTGGAAATAGGTCTCGATATGAAAAATTCTTTGCTTTGCAAACATTAAAATTTTATCAGAGTAAAAATTTATTAAGAAGCAAATAAACAATACCGAAATATTGTGTGCGATATACATTATTAAAAATATGAGATGCTTCTCTGTCTATTTATCACTCAAATTGGAAATAAAAATGTAAAGAAGTTATGTATAAATGAAACAAACGAAACAATATTAATATTCCATAAAAAAAAAAGAAAACTGTGGACACATTACTAGGCACTGTGACTATAGAATGTGACAAACGGGCTGGGTCCGGGCCTGTATGCGATCGAAAATTCGGGAACGTTAAAGTTATCGCGCGACCTATTACAGCGAATCACGATTCAACAGAAAGAGAAAAAACCAATAGACATTAATCAATTTATTCGTAGTGTCGGATAAATTATAAATAAAGGATCAGTGAATTATCGAATGAAAGAAAAAAACGTAGTTATTTTCAATCTCCCCATCTGGACCAATGGAACCAGCTGAATATACTTCCTTATACTTCCTTTATCGTAAGCAGATTGTTCCTACCTTGGATAAACTGAAAAAGTAACTGTTGCGTCTAGGGTTTGTTCGGTTTTCTGTGGTGTTCCTATTCTGCGGCCTTGAGAGGTTAGAATATCGGAGTCGGACTCTCCGTCATGTTTTCGCGCGCTTATGTCTGAACCTCGTGACCCTGTTTAAATAAAGGACTTCTAGTGGAGTTTCTTTTATTAGAAAAACCATCCAATACTACAAGAACTAGAATATCAAACCAATGTTATTATTAGGTGTGTTACCCTCCATAAAGTTATTTGTAAAAAAGTGGTAACTAAATCGCACAGATTCCGCACAGATCTAATTACCATCAAGAATTTAAAACGTATAGAACCGAAAACAGATATCACTTACCTTGATGAAAAGTAGTACACACGATCCCAAAGATGAATTGATTTCGGTAAAAATTGTGAGAGAAAAGCACCCTCAGATAAAGTAAAACCAACACGACCTCTACATGGTGTAGGAGGTGGTTGGAAAAACGGATTGTAATTCATGCTGGAGAAGAGGGATTCATTCCAACCTTGCTTGTGCCTGCGTAGAAAATTAATCACTTGCTAGGACTAGCATGAAGGCACAAGTGCAAAAAGGGCAAGATCTAAAAAATATTCTGGATAACAATGCCATTGTAGTGGATAATTGACATTTATTTTAAATCTAATTACAATGAAGGTTTAGCTGAAGAGCATACATTCAACCACATAGAACATTTCGGATGTTAGTTAAAAAGTTACATATTGTTCAAATAATTAAGCAAAAATAAAATATGATAATGGATATTATACCCTACTTCCTTATTATATTTTATATATTAATATATATTATAATCAAAATAAATAAGAACTAAAAGTTCAGATTTTCACGAAATTATATATTATGACATGACAATTATTTCGACAACACCGTGTCTTTATCAAATGTAATATCTACAAACTACCTGCTACTATATATACAATAAATCGAAATGTCCAAAATTCCAAAAATCAGGTGTCTACAAACAGGTAGATCCTTCAAGAAACGCATTAACGAACATATCTCTCTCTCTCTTCAGTCGTTGTCCGTTTTCGGACGTCGTGACTCGTTCATGGATGTTGTGTAGTGACCCTTCGCCAGGCTTCTCTGTCCTCTACAGTACGCATCACTTGTGAGACCGACATTTGTGTGAGCTCCTTTATTTGATCTATATATCTCACTGGTGACCTTCCTCTTGCCCTTTTTCCATCAACCTTCCCCTGTATCATGAGTTTTTCCATACCGTCCTTTCGTATTACATGACCGAAGAATTTAAGCATACGTCGTTGTATTGTTGGTAATAATCTCTCATTTTCCCGTACTTTTAGTTCTCTTAAGATGGATGCGTTGGTGCGGTATGCTGTCCAGGGTATTCTCAGCATTCTTCGGTAGCATATCATTTCAAACGCCTCAATTCTTCTTCGAGATGCAGCATTTATGGTCCAGGATTCCGAGCCATACTCTGCAATGGGGAACACTAAAGATTTCACAAGTCTTGTTTTAGTTTCCTTGCGGATACGGTGGTCTTTCCAGATTTTAACCAGCCTTCCCAAAGCCTCCTTTGCCATCCCAATTCTTCTTTTAATCTCTTGTTCTGAACCACCTCTATTTGTTATCTTCGTGCCCAGATAAATAACCTCTTCTTTAACTTCTATGTCATGGACTTGCTGCAGTGGTAAAGGAACTGTTCCTGCCCGGTCTATTATCATCAGGTGGCATTTAGATCTATTTAGTCGCAGTCCGCACTCCAGGCTTACTTGCTCGATTCGTTGTAATAGTACACACATTTCTTGTTCGTTTTTAGCCACTGCGATAGTGTCGTCTGCGTACCGAAGGTTTGATATCTTTTTCCCTCCAATAGATACGCCACCCTTCCAGTTCCCCAACGCCTTCCTCATTATCCATTCTCCATAAATGTTGAAGAGTATGGGGGAGAGAATACATCCCTGCCTTACGCCTTTTCCGAACATATAAGAGCGTTTAAAAATAATAGTCTAGATTCTTCAGCCACAAAAAGTAGAAAATTAAATTTATTGGAAGCCATTGAGATTAACAAAATGAGACATTCAAATGTATTGCTTCACGATGTATTAGATTTAAATACTTCTCCTTTATTGAACTTAAATTCTCGCAACATTTATTAAGGTTTTATGGTCATCTTTCGGTATATGTAGTAGCAGTAAATATTACATTTGATAAAGACACGGTGTTGTTGAAACAATTGTCATTTCATAATATATAATTTCGTGAAAATCTGAACTTTTAGTTCTTATTTATTTTGATAAATGGATTTTCATCAAGTAAAAGCCACCTCAGTTCAATTATATTATAATCATCCGGAAAATTATAAGTGGGTAATTATTTACTTTACACAAGAAGGAATTAAATGATGTTGATGGTTGCGATGCAGAGTTCAATTGGTAAACGAGAAAGGAAAGGAAATATAATTTATTACAAAGTCAATAAGGCTAACAATAAATAAAATAAATAATAAGTTATAATTCAGATGACTATATTTTTAAAATTTGCTACTGTTTGTTGTTACGATTTAAATTTCACTAATTCTTTGAGTCAGACGCAAGTGCAAGTTGTTCCGTATTTACAATATCCACTGTTCTTTCCTGAATCCGTGCAGCTCTTCCTGCAAACCCAAGAGATACAGATCCTCTTTTCCGTTGCCACATCTAAAATAAAAAATTGAAAATGAAACCAATCAAGCATGGATAAATTTAAGCCTTACTTTCTAGAAAGTCAAACTTGGCTTGTTTAATTTCTTCGGATACTTTATTGTCCGAACTTTCGTCATTATTTGTCCGTTTCCTATTATTTTCCTTATTTGCACTTCTGTGATTTTCAGCTGAACTTTCATTTGAAAAATGTTCGCCGCTTTGATTGTTGTCGCTGTTTTTGTTGTTTCTATCTCTCTTATTTTTGTTGTTATCGTTTCTGTCTCTGTCATTGCGGTTCCTTTCTTTGGAGTTGTCATTATTTTTCTTATTATGCCTGTCTCGGTTGTTTCGGGAATTGTTTTTCTCTTCCGAATTATCTCTGGTTCGCTCCCTATTATTCCTATTTCTTTCCCTGCTATTTTCATTGTTACGCCTACCTTCCCGACTTTTATTATTTCTGTTATTCCTATTCCTGTTATTATTATTTTCTTTCAATTTTGATTGGTTTGCGTTTTCTTCGCTTTCATCTTCTTGCGTACCCGAGTTATCCTTTTCGTTGGATCGATCTTCTTCCTCAGTGTTATTAGATTCATTTTCATTACTTTTATTGTCCTCGTCGCTTTGTTCCTGGGTTCTCGAGTCATCATTTTCGCGAGTGTCTTCTTCGTAGGATCGATGTTCTTCCTCAGTGTTATTAGATTTATTTTCATTACTTCTGTTGTCCTCGTCGCTTTGTTCTTGGGTACCCGAGTCATCATTTTCGCGAATGTCTTCTTCGTTTGATCGATCTTTTTCTTCAGTGTTATTAGATTTGTTGTCTTTGCTGTCGTCTGACCTGTTTTCATCTTCATTCGTATCATTTTCGTTTGATCCGTCTTGTTCTCGGGTGTCATCGTCCTCCTCAGATTTATTTTCTTCACTGTCTCTTTCATTGGTATTGTCATCTTCTTCGCTTTCTTTACGATCGGAATCGTCTTCATGGGTGTCATTTGAATCGCCCTCGCCAGTTTCATTGTCGTCATCTTCTTTTGTCTCATTGGTGTTATCTTCATCTGACCCATTTTTCTCTACATTTTTATCGTCACTGCGTTCGTTGGACTCATCTTCGTCATTGCTATTCGTTTCAGTGTCTTTATTCCCATTTGAATTTCCCTGGCCGTTAGTTTCATTGTTTTCACCCGTTTTCTCATGCGAATCGGATTTGCTTGGCCCATTTCCATTTTGAATATTTTCATCACCATTTCCATCCACGCCATCGTTTTCTTCATTTTGTGGCTTATTTGGGTCACTATTCGCATTAGATGTATTTGTTTGGGTGTGGCTCTGTTTTTCAGGTTCATTTGCCACTTTCTCTGGTTTGCTCTCACTTTTCGATGTTTGTTCGTCATTTTGCGATTCATTTTGTTGCTCGTTTACCGCGTCGTTATATTTCTGGGTACTCCCGTCATGAACGTTGGAATTACTTTGCTTTCCTCCTTTGTCTTTGTCGTTTGCTGCATCATTGTCAATTTGGTTGCTATTTTCTCTTCCATTGTTGCTTTCCTCATGACCTTGATCAATTTGGGTGTTTTCTTCACGTGGATCGGAATTGCTTTCTACGTTCCCACTTGCCAAGTCATTTGAATCTCCATTCTCATCATTTTGTTGATTTTGTCCTCCATTATTCAACCCACCACTTACAACCGATTCATTTGTCTGACTTTGGTGTTGAGGATCGTTATTTTCCGTTTCTGGTCGATTAGGAACTTCACCATTTGATACCTGTCCGTCATTTTGTTGCTCTTTATTAACTTCTTCTTCGTGAGGATAAGAACTAGGTGGTGCTCCTCCTTGATTTTCATGATCACCGATACCCTCTTCCGGGTTGATTAAATTTTGCCCGTTTGCTACTGTATCCTCTTTCTCCGGTTGGTTCAAACCCTCACCTTTCGATGTTTGTCCATCATTTTCTGGTTCATTTTGTTGCTCGTTGTTTACAGCCTGGTTAGTTTTTTGGGTGCTTCCTTCATGAGTGTTAGAATTACTTTGCTTGCCTCCTTCGTATTGGTCGTTTGCTGCATCATTGCCTGTTTGGTGGTCATTTTCTCTTCCATTGTTGCCTTCCTCATGATCTTGATCAATTTGGGTGTTTTCTTCACGTGGATCGGAATTGCTTTCTGCTTTTCCACTTGACGAGGCACTATTTGGATCTCCATTCTCATCATTTTGTTGATTTTGCTCTCCATTATTCGACCCACCACTTACAACCGATTCATTTGTCTGACTTTGGTTATGAAATTCATTATATTCTTTCTCTGGTTCATTGGGAACTTCACCGTTTGATATTTGTCCGTCATTTCCTGATTCATTTTGTTGTTCGTTTTTAATTACTTCTTCGTGAGGTTTAGAACTAGGTGGTGCTCCTCCTTGATTTTCATGTTCACTATTACCTTCTTCTTGGTCATTTGCTATATTATTGCTTGTTTGGCCTGCGTTAACGTCTTCCTCATTACCTTGATCATTTTGAGTATTGGAACTGCCTCGGCTTGATTCAGTACCTTCGTGTGGTTGGTCGTTTGTCTGATTACTGGAGGTTTCAGATTGCTTATTCTCTTGACCACCACTTGATTCATTGTTGTTGGTCTCATTCTGTGCATTTGCAGCAGTTGTTTGGTTTTGCCAAGAGACCTCGTTGTTCTGCTGTTCGGTTCCTTGGGACGGTTCGAGAGATGCATTCTGTTGATTCTCACTCTCCCAACCACCTCCTCCGTCCAATTTTGGTACGTCAGTGGGCTCCTCCGTTGTTTCGGACTCCGTCGGTCCGTCATCAGTACACAGTTCTATCAGGTCGTCTTCGACTTCATCGGGCGGCAGTTCTTCAAAAGCCGGGACTTCCAGTAGGCGGGGTAATGCACAGCTAGCTGTTAAAATGGCGGCTAGCACTATCAATTCGAACTTCATCGCTTTGCAATACTTTCGTGAGTTAATCTGAAGCGGGTGATCTTACTGTCGGGTTTATATAATTGCGTGGAAGTGTGTTTATTCAGCTTAATGCCGTTGTTTTTAAACACGATAACGACACCAATTTAGTGAGTAATTTTTATATCAACACTGCCGAGCTGTTTGGTACCCGTTTACGAGAATCTTAGTACACGGAAGGATAACAATATTGTCACGTTTAAAGCGTTTTGGAAAACATTTTTGGTTACCTTTGGTAAGGGAAACTGGTTATGCAGATTTGTATGTTACGCATTCATTAATGCAATAATAATTTATTAATCATATACATACATAGTGGAGGCGGGTGTATTACAAAGAACAAAAAAAAGAAACATATTTTTTTTATTAAAGAAGAAAAGGGCAGTTGCAGATTTTGATTGCATTATAGGTTTAGGTTTATTTATTTAACCACAGTATACAAAATGTATGTGTAGCAAGTTAAAACAAAATAAACAAATACATATAACACAATATATGAATAAAAGTCACGAAACAAATGTGTAACAGTAGACAGTACTGTAAAAACTGTTTATTGTCAGTAGATTCTTGACAGCTCTCTTAAAATAATTGTTACCAAGGCGTTTTATATAACAAGGCAATTTATTGTATAAGTTCAGGTTTGAAGAATTTCTGTTGGATTTAAGACAGCGTAGGAATGAGTATCAGACTGAGCAGTAAAACTAGATTTATTAGAGCGAATCTCGATTAGTCTATTGTCTCCAATTTGTAACGAATAATCTCACGTATCGCTTTTATAGTTGGCTTTCCGGGTAAAAAAAAACCCCACTGTTCACTAGCAAAAAATATTATTTTTTTTTAAAGTGAAATCACTTCTGCATATTTAAATTGATGTGGGAAAGTGCTGGAGGCTAAACATAAATGTGTTAGACGCATGGAGAAGTCACAACATTCTGTAATTAATTGGCTCTTCATATTATGGCTTTTAAAATCGTAGTTCCAGATATATGAGGAAAATTCAAGAATTTATCAAAATAACTGTGATTGTTAATTAAATTTCGAAGGTCAATTGAGTTTAAGCCTGAAAAAAAGAGTCTATTATATCATCTGAAACGTTGGTAAAATATGAGTTAAAATCATCGCAGCCGATGTCACAACTTGAATTTAATGTATATCTATTTAGTTTAAAATTTATTAGTCTCGAAGAATCTTTGCCGTTTTTATTTAAGTTAAAAATAAAATTGTTGAATACAATTGATATATCAAAAAGAGAGAGAGATACAGGTTGTCCATCCTCCAGTTTCTCCAATATGTCATAAACAAATGCGCACACCGCTTTTATAGTTAACTTTTCGGGTAAAAAAAAGCACTGTTCATTAGCATGGAGCGATTTTTTTAAAAGTAGTCTAACAGCAACTCTTTCAGTATAATTTCACAAAATTTATGACTGAGCTCCGACATCTAGCTGTAGCATACTTGTTTCTACATCTGATGCAGCCTTTCATCGTGCTGTCTAGTCTAAATTCTTAAATTTTATTTGAAAAAATATATTTTGCTGCTACGGTAAATAGATTTCTTTAAGTTTTGATGTTAACCCAACGAAGTACGCATGAACTAATCAAAACTAACCCAATATCTCGTACACAAACTTTTTCTTAGTCTTTTTTTTTAGATACCATATTATGTAAAACATTTTTATATTATAAAAAACAGTGTAATTGTACTGGACAGGTAATGCTGCTTAGCATAGACATCAAATAAAAAAAATAGGGAATTCGTTGAATATGGGAGACAATGTTGAAACTACTGGAACTTCGAAATTTAATTGCATTTTACAGGAAATATTAAATATAAATCATCCAATATATATACTAGGGGACGTAGAAACTAATCTTAAATCTACTAATCTTATAACTAAAAAAAATGAAGAAGGATAGAATGAGAAAGAGAAAGAAAAGGATAAGACTTATCGGTACGCATAACCCGACGCCATTCGAAGTTGCTGAAGTATGGCCTGGAGACCATCATAATATAAATCGCAGTACGATGATAGTTTGTTGAAGGTAGCACACATATTGTAAATAGGGTTTTGAAAATGGATATTGGACCTGGGTAACTGCGGTAAGAAAGTTGATTGATGTCTCCATTCCAGCCGCGGCACATGAAAACGTAATTGTTCCAGAAGAAACGGACAATCGACTCCGTAATGAACTAACTTTTAGAGAAATGAAACAGATTGCAAGTCTCTGCGCAAGCTCAGGGGCAGTATAGCGAACCTTCTTAGTAGAAGATCGTGATCAACTCCCCTCTCAGGATAGGAACCGTACTCCCTGAACGTTAGATACTTTAGTAACCTTCTCTGCACACTCTCAATGGACTGAGTGTGGCAGTTATAAATTGGTGACCATATCAGCGAGCCATAGTCAAGCTTGGTCCTAACGTAACAGTTAAATAACAATTTAACAGTAGCTGAGCTACAAAAATGCCTGCAATTTCTTATTACGAATCCTAAAATTTGCATTGCACTGGAAACCATTTTTGTAATGTGAGGTACAAAAGAGAACGACTGGTCAAATAAAATCCCCAGATCCTTCACAGTAGCAAGTCTAGTCAGGACAATACCATCCATATTGTAATTAAAGACTATAGGAGTTTTTGTGCTGTGGTAAGAAACCACATTACACTTGCTGATGTTAAGATGCAATTTATTTTTGGTACACCATTGACTGACAATATTGATGTTGTCCTGGAGAGTCATGCAGTCCATGCCAGTTTCAATGCTCACGTATAGCTTTAGGTCATCCGCATAGGCAAGCTTGTTGCAGATGATCGAAGATACGAGATCATCTATAAATATATTGAAAAGCAGAGGTCCAAGGTTAGAACCTTGAGGCACGCCAGAAGTTGGAACAAAAGGAACTGATCTAAACCCCTCAATCTCAACAAACTGTCGACGATTCACCAAATAGGACCTCAACACTGTAATCAGCGAATCAGAGAAACCAAATTTATGGGATGCTTTTTCAATCAGTAAATGATGATCGATCTGGTCAAATGCTTTGTGGAAGTCAGTGTATATAACGTCAACTTGACCTTGCTTGTTCAGAGAGTGACAGACATACGAAGACAGGGAGCATAAGTTAGTGATACATGATCTTTTCGCATAAAAACCATGTTGTTGCGTGGATAGTTTATTTCTAATTTGAGCAAAAATAAATTTATTTAATATAATCTCCAATATTTTAGAAAAGTTGCACAAGATCGAAATAGGCCGGTAGTTTTCAACAGAGGGATCACCTTTTTTGAGAATAGGATAAACTTTGACATATTTCCAAGGCTCTGGATAAACACCCGCTTGAAGATGAACATATGCAGATGGTGGAACAGATTAAAGGCAATGTTTACTAGAAAAAAGCGGTTCTAAAATAAAAGTGTTCAGGGTGTCCGAAATAAATGAAGTATAAAAATTAAATAATAAATTAAATTAATTATTGACCAATTAAGATATTCTAAAATAATTCTAAAATACGGCAATCATTCATTCATTCATTTTTCCTCACCCTGTATTAATTTATATCTATAATAGATATAGACCCCCTTCCAGAACGAATCCATCTATAGGAAAAACTGTTAATTATTTTAAGGTCCGCAAATATCATTTTTGTCATAAAATTCAAGATTTGTCCAAAACTCTTAGACTTAGGTATACGAATATTATACATCAAATATATCTATAATCTCTCGAGGAATCCAAAAATTCTATTTTAAATTAGAAAACTGGCATTTACTCCAGATGAACGGAACACCCTGTATACATGAAAAATTAAAAATTACGAAATCATGTTTCTTAAGTTTGCGGGTAATAAAAGTTTATCAGGTGTTTAATTTTACTGCTAAAAAGTGTTAAATTGTATTGGACTCAACACTTGTTGCACATTAAGCGTATAAGTTTCTAATAGGGAATTTAAAATTTTTATTACGGATGCAATTAAATTTGAAGCCTCTCATATTAGCTAATCTAAAATACCCAGCAGAATGTCACTTTAAGACGTCAGTATTTTAATATTAATATTTGTTGCAAATTATAGTTTTTCTACGACCGTTAATTTTTGGGTATATTTTTGCAAAACAACAAGAATGTATTCACTGACATGATCGTCAAAATTCAAGCCGTGCGGTTAAATGTCCGAAGTGACTCAGAAACGTGGGACAAGAAACTCACGCAGTAAAGTGACGCTTCCCGCACGCTAGATCGGTGTATTTTACAGAAGGGAGTAGAAAAAATTATTTTCTTATTATACTATTTGTCCCAAAGGTGCTAAATGTATCAAAGTTGCATTTTTTAAAAGGAAAATCGGTTTTGGATTTTACGGTTAAAATAAGTGTGAGTTTCAGTTAGGTTTATGGGTTGTTAAAATAATTACGTAAGAAATATTTAACTTATGTAAGGTAAATTTGCAACAAAGTGTAAAAATAAACCATGTCCCGATTTTAAAAATCTTGTGCGGGGTGACTAAAAATTTATTCTAATCTAATAAGAATTTTAGATTCCTGAACTAAGCAGAAAATGTACCCTTCGAAATTATGGGTTTTAGTTAGTTTCTGAATAACAGTTTCACTGTATCTAGTTGCCTATAATATTTACAAATAATAATAACAATTTATTGGAGCAGTAAATTTGACTTTGGTTTTGCTGTAAAATCTGTTTATCGGGTAGTTTACGAAGTTAATATTTTCATACTGTTGTCTAAAAAACCAACTAAGCAACAACTAGGTAACAATACTGTGTATATTTTTCATTTTCAGAACTAAAAATCATATCATTGGGTTCTTCTCTTGGGTAAATCTTTATTTGGGAAATCGTAAATAGTAAAATATCTGCAATTTTTAACTACTATATTCAACAAAATTTATTTAATGGTAATAAAATGCTTCTTGGAATTAGAAAGAAAAAGTGTTAATTCCAAGGGCGTCAAGTTATAAAAAATCCACTACTTTTTTGTGTACTTAATACCTAAATATATTTTTTATTTTTTTTCCATTAAAAATCCAAGCAAAACTTTTAAATCTTGTGCACCATGCTAAAATAAATAAAAAGTTGGGTGACGTGTTTTTGCAAAAGGAAAAAGTGATTTAGGCACAATCGCAGAACAACAAGAATCATTGTTATTGAGGATTTGTTTGTGTCAATGTTTTGGGTCACATTTAGGCCCACGAAAATCCTCATGCTATAAAAGTCATGATTTTGAAGCAGTCTTAGATGAGTTTCCCGTTTATTAATAGAACAAAGAGGTGGTTCCAGTTACGCTACAGTTTACACTTTAATAGTTCGACTATGGCTGTACCACACTTGACCTGCGTGCTCTTCTGATTTAATCGCTTTAGTTTTTTTCGTATGGAGTACGAAGAAAACAAAGTTTATGAAGAGTCTGTGGAGGGTAAAGGAAAACAGTGGCGAACATTTTGCACACGTATTTCTTTTCCAATGCTAAATGCTGATGTTGAAAAGTGATATTTCCTATTACAAACAACTTGGACATTTATTGAAACGTAGTGTTACATTTTAGTAAATATGTTTTGTACTTGAATTTTTAGTTATTGTTTTCAGTAGTCCCGTTTTTATTAATAAAAAAACGCTTTACAAAAGAAATAGATAATGCAAACAAAGCATATTTTAAATAGCTTAATCTGAGAAAAAATTCTACATACTAACAAACAGTGGCATAAAATGAATTTTCATATAAATATCAATTAGGTTACCCTCTGCGACGCCACTGGAATTAACACTTTTATTCTAATTGCTTTAAAAGAAGTCGTCTATTACCGCAAATTAGCGCGCCTGGTAAAATCAAAATCGGGAAAAAAGGATTTTTGAATAAATAATAAAAAACGATTTTTTTATGAAAACTTTGACACCCTGTATCTGGAAAACGAATCGAGTTAGGCTATACGCTTTTATTCTAATTACGTTAAAAAAAAGTCCTTTATTATCGCAAATTAGCAAGACAAGTTTAATAAAAAAAAGGTTTTTGAATAATTATCAAAAAAACGACTTTTTGAAAACTTTGACAAGCTCTGTATGTCGAAAACAAATCAAATTAGGACATACACTTTTATTCTAATTTAATTAAAAAAGTCCTTTATTGCCGCGATTTAGTATGCCAAATTTAATGAAAATCAGAAAAAGAGGTTTTTGAATAAATAATAGAAAAACGATTTTAAATATTTTTATTTAAAATCGTAGGTAGAACGTGAAACTTTTGTGTCACCTTCTACCTCGAAAGCAAATCAAGTTATGACATATGTTTATGGTAAATAAGCCTTAAACGTTTAAGCCTGGGTCATCCTGTATATGTAATTAAAAAGTACATTGCCTGAAAGTTGAAAAATATGGCGACACTTAAAGCTACATTACAGAAATTTAATTTGAAAACTGTTAAGCTGAAACTTTTAACGTTATATTTTGCACAGAATATTATATGAAACAATTTTAATAAAAAGTAATGAAGGTTTATCCGTGTTTATCATTTAGTTAATTTTACGCCTAAAGGTGTTACTCAATTTTTAATGCACACAAGCAATTAATGAAAAAGACGCAGAGCGTGCATGCACCAAACAACTTTTTGCTACTTTGGTTTAATACCCACAGTGTTTATCTCCCTTTGATTGTCCAAATATTTACGATGGTGCAGTGTAGGAATCTTTTAGAATCGTGTCAAAGATATTTTCCGAAAACAATCGTCACTTGTTTTCGAGTTTGGTCGACCCCCCGCCAACCGAATGAGTAAATATTATTTTCTTTGAATTACGGAAATCAAACACAACGCAATGGTTCCAAGAAAGATAGCTTTATTTTCGGTATACGGCATTATGCGCTGTTGATTTTTGAATTAAAATTTTTCCAAAGTCAACTAAACAGGGGGATCTGGAATTTTTGCGAAAGTTCTCGCATTTTGGAAGCAAATAAGAGATTATCGTTTAAAATAACTTTTATTAACAAAAATAAAATACCAAAGATTATACATATGGCGGACTATTTTACAACGTCTAATTGATATTAAGCTAGTTGCTCAGAAATTGGGGTTCTTGTTGCTCGGACGCCTGAGGCCTATACTGCTGTTGCTGCGAGGCCTGGGGCCTATACTGGGGCTGCTGTTGCTGAACCCCCTGGGGCCTATACTGGGACTGTTGTTGCTGTGCTACCGGGGGTCGATATTGTGGCTGCGGTTTTCTCGGCTGCGGAGAGTTTGCTTTTTGAGGAGCTAGTTCTTCTTCTTCCTCAGGCTGGTCGCAAGGCAATCCCGATTCGTACGAGTATTCCCTGAAATCGAAAGGAATTTATTTTTCACTCCGCGACGATCTATTCAAATTTACCTCTTGACATTGTCCGGATCGACGTAGCCGTATCTTCCTCTGATTATGCAATCTGCGCCCAACGTTTCCTCCTTGAAGGTGCCGTCGGTGAGCTCGAAGCCCCAGGTGATGCTACCGTCTTCGTTGTCCGTGCGGTATTTCCTTAGAGTCTCTACTTCGGAATCTTTTCTCCTTCTGTCTCGTTCCGCGTCTTCTTCTTCCGGCGTCAAGATGCGCTTTTGGGGGCGGAAAGTTTGTTTCGGCGCCGGTGGATCCTAAAATTTCATGGAACATGACAAACATTCTTTTATTGCTTTTATTTTGGTTACTATTAGGGTAAAATAATTTGGGCGTACGCGAGAATCGGAGCCACCTCTCCAGTCAGTCGAAAAGGAGAACTGTATCGCGTGGAAATATAGATAATAATAATCAATAGACGTTACATAAATTATATTTCGTTTCATAATGTACATTTGCAATGAAAGGGGTTCTTAAAAAGGGTGAACAACTTAATGGTTATATTTTTTTTTTGTTGATGGCTATACGATGAAGTTCTGCTGATGATTTGTTAAACCACGTTCTAGAGTTTGCTAACCAAGATATTCGCCTTCGACTCGGTGTTCTTTTACTGTTAATTTTGCCTTGGAGGATTTGTTATAATAATATCTTTTTGGATTCCTCATTATGTGACCGAGATACTGAAGTTTCCGACATTTTACTTGATACCGTCTGATTCTTTATTCATGCGTCGCAATACTTGTATGCCAGTAATTTTTTGGGTCCAAGATATTTTCATTATTCTCCTAAATTAGTCTCTCGAAAGAAAATTCACTAAATTTCTCTGAATTTTTTGCTAGGGCAATTGAGGGTAAAGGCCAGGTTGATGTGGTCTAATAAGGCATTCGACAAGGTAGACCGTGAAATATTGTCGATTAGGCTTGCAAAGTTTGGAGTGCCGATATTGCTAAATAGTCTAGATCTTATATTAGTGATAGAAAAGAAAGGAGTGACGGCCGACGGGCAGCCCTCTCGGCCCTTTGTTTTTTATAACATATAATAATTCAATACAAAAATGTTTCGAAAATTGTAAAATCTACTCGCCGATGACTTGAAAATATACACCTCCGATCTAGACGATCTAACCCCCCGATTACAGCGTTTCAGAATTCGATTAATGCGATATACTTATACTGTTATCTATACACCGGGTAAAGAGTTGACTGTGTCTGATGCGTTAAGTCGCAATCCTCTGAAGTATACCGAACCAGATGAGTTGCGAAGTGAAGTCGAGACACATGTTTCTATGATAATAAAAAATTTACCAATTAAAGACAAATTTTTAAAACTTATCGCGGAGGAACAAAGGAAAGATCCAGTTTGTAAAAAATTGATCGAGTACTCCTCTACGAGTTGGCCTGAAAAACATCAACTTTCACCCGATTTGACTTTTTATTATCAATTTAGAAATGACATTTCCATGAATGAAAATTTCTTACTCAAGGGTACGCGTATAATCATTCCACCCACACTGCAAAAACAAGTTTTGGATTTTACTCATTTAGGCCATCAGGGCATAACGAAATGCAGAGAGAGAGCAAAAATGAGTGTTTGGTGGGTAAGCCTTTCTACACAAATCGAAATTTTAGTAAAAAATTGTCCAAATTGCATTGAAGAGAGAATTAAAGAACCGTTTCAAAAAGATACAAATGTCACGACTCGACCCTGGCAAAAAATTTGTGTTGATCTGTATAAATGTCACGAACTTTGGTATTTAATAATAACAGATTATTATTCTTGCTTTTTTGAAATTAGTACTCTTGGACAAAATATGACTTCACGAATAATAATTGGCAAAATAAAAGAGGTTTTTGCTCGCTATGGGATTGCTGAAGAGGTGCGAAGTGACAATGGTCCTCAATTTTCGGACGAATTTAAAGAGTTTGCCAATAAATATAATTTTAAACATATCACTTCGAGCCCTCGGTACCCACAATCCAATGGAAAAGTCGAGTCTACTGTCAAAATTGCAAAAAATCTCATTAAGAAAAATAAAAATTCTTTTTTAGAAGCCTTGCTTTCATACAGATGTACTCCTCTTGGAAATGGTTTTACACCGGGAGAACTTTTAATGTCAAGAAAGTTGCGCTCAACTTTACCGATGTTGCCAAGCAAATATGAAAAATTTTGGTTTGGAACAATACTATCAAAATAACCACCTTTTCCTGAATTTGGACAAATGCTTTAGCATTTCTTTCACCAATAATGTTAAAAAAATAAACTGAACGTACAATATTTATAACACCTACTTAGAACTATTGGCGGAGATTGGAGGTCTAGGGGTAACACTATACGAAAAGTGGACTTTTAAGATTCATATGAAGATTGTAAGAAAATAAACTCAATAAATTTTAAAAATTTCAAAACTCTTCTTGCACTGCACTACGTGTTTCTTCGGAGTAAACTTTCGATCTCTTCAGTCGTTTAAAATCCTAATTATAACGAGTACGAAACAAATTTTTAATATATCTTGCAAATAAAACCGTCAATAATATTGAGGACCATTATTAAAACTATATTCGATCAAAATTTAACTTTAACTAACTTTATAAAACAAAAGAACGCCGTTAATGTCCCACAAAGTTTTAAACGGTAAAGTTATCATCATCATTAATAATTAATCTGAGAATACCAAGCCATAACGCAAGAGACAATGTTCTAGTTGAAGGTTTTTAAATTCCTGCAGGAGAAAAAGACAGCATAATAAGTAGAAGATTATAGGAAACGTCCGCGTATACCAGTAAGGTCCTGGATGAAGGCACCAAACGAATTCTAACAAAACTTAACTCTTTTTATATATGAAAAAAAATGGTCACCCCATATAAGATTTCACTTAAGTTTGGCTAGGATGATAGTATTCCGCAGCAGATCAGCAGTACAGAAAAAAGAAAAAAGCAGAAAAGTGTGGCATGACAAAAATTAACCAGTGTTCGTCAAAATTTCATGGAAGCCTTTCCAGGTGCCTTTAGGAAAAGGGAAGCGACTAATGGCACAGGTCTACAGTGATTTTGATGTTTGAAAGCTGTTTGCGCATTTGTGGCCCTTTTTCAAAAAAACGCCATATTTTTCCTCTATCACGTTATTTTTTTATAGAGCTCTATGTCTTAAAATGTTATTTTATTAATATCTATGCTTGTTAAATGTTATGCATGATTTTTATGAAATTAAATGTTATTTGGCAACACTGTATAATATTACATTTATCTGCAAAGCAACAGAGTTGCCACAGAAGCGTCAATATAGTATTGTAACCTGCTTATGCGCAGTTTGATTGTATTGGTCGTCGTGCTACTGTAAAGAAGATATTGTGTGAACAATCCAAATAACTTTTGTTATATCTGTGGTAGTTATGTCGCAAACTATAACTTCTTTTGTGAAAAATATATAACACGCTTATTTATGGCGTTTGGCAACTTCTTTTGGAGAAAATAAACTACCACGAACATCAGTGGATGCTTTGCCGTGACTTCATAGTGCTGTGCATGCTCCTAGCTCTTAATTCCATTCCAAATTTCCATGCTTTTGTTGTGAGTGGGGCAAGAGATAGAGATATTGGACTCAAATAGAAAGGCCCTCTAGAACAAGCCTTAAACCTGGTAGAAAAAATGTAATAAGAGATAGCTTAGTTGACCGCAAAAAAGTTTTACTGCCTACTCTTCATATGAAACTTGGCTTGATGACGCAGTTTGTTAAAGCCCTTCCCAAAAATGAAGGAATTTTTGCTGGGCCGCAGATATGAACAATATGCAAAAGGATTTTCAAAACACAATGACCAATGTTGAGAAAAACGCCCGCGTTTGAGTAAAAGAAGTAATTGATAAGTTTCTTGAGAACTCTAAGGACAAAAACTACGAAAGTGTTGTTCAAAATGTTACAACACTTTCATCGTCTAGGTTGTAATACGAGTTTCAAAGTGCAGTTCCTGTTTTCACAGAAAATCTTGAGCAGTTAGCGAAGGACATGGAGAGAGGTTTCATCAGGACATTAAGAAAATGAAACGGCGATATCAAGGCAGATGAAGCATAACGATAATGGCGGACTACTGCTGGATGTTAAAACGGGATATGCCCTTAAAAACACACAGCCGAATGTCCGGACAACGCAGCTTTCTGGCAAACGACAAAGATTTCAGTCAAAAAAGTCTGAGTAATTTTTTTTTTCACTTTTTTTAACTAGGTTTCTACTTTTTTACTGAATAAAAAAATAAATTATTTTAGAAACATCGTTTTTTTTTTCTTTAATATTTGCAAAAAAACCTCACGTGATACAAATGAATGCATAGACTTTTAGAACATTTGATAAAGACACGCTATTGTCTAAACAATTGTCATGTAAAAATATGTAATTTCGTGAAAATCTGAACTTTTAGTTCTTATTTATTTTGATAAATCGATTTTCATCAAGTAAAAGCGACCTCAGTTCACTTTTAGAAATCAGCCTACCAAAATTACACAAAATCAGTTTTCACAATAAATACATCTGTCAAAAAGGTGGATTTTGTAGACCTGTGTAATAGTTCATTTTTAAAAGAAAATATATTAATCTTTCAGTACTACGATACGAGAGATTACTACAAGGATATGGATGTTTCTGACGACGGTTTTGATGAAATGATAAAATACTTGGTCATGGAGAAACGAGAAATTATAGATTGGTTAACCGCCAATAATATTAAATTTGAAGATGATTTGATAAAATAAGAAACTAATTGCATATGGCAAATTTATATAAGCCTCGTTTTACTTATATTATGAATTTTAATATTTTATTTTCTGTACAATGGTTAAATAAAAATTAGTTCATACATAATGCCTAATTGTTATTCCGTTATAATAAAATTGTTTCCTTTTTACGAGTACATAACAAATATCGACATTTATTTCAGAAAATGTTCGAAGACCATTTTTTTTCTTAGAAGAAGGAGTGCAAAATATTTTGAATTTGTCTCAGTTTTAAAACAGTAGTGAATGTTCCCTCGTTGTCCTTATTGGGACATCCAATATATAAAAGCTGAAGAAATTCTTTCTGACCTCGCTCCACGTACCTGAAAGTGAAACCACACCATACCCCACAAGCGTTCTCGCATGCAAAAAGAATCCCCGTGCAAAATCAAATCTACATATTTTACAATTTTTTATTAACAAAAATAACGTACAAAAAAAATCTACGCCGCTGTTTTATTTATTCTAGCGTATCGGGTTAAGCAAATTTAGTTGGTAAGGAATTGGGGCTGTTGCTGCTGCGCAGGCTGCCTGTACTGTGGCGGTTGTTGCAATATTTGCGGCCTGCTGTACTGCGCAGCCGTTTTGGCTCTCGCCGGTATGTTTGGCCGCAGGGGCAGCAGTTCCTCTTCCTCCTCCTCTTCCTCTTCGCAAGGCGCGCCCGTCTCGTACGAGAATTCTCTAAAATGTCATTCCACCTCATACTATAGCGAAGCGATTTTAAACTAGTTAAACTGTTTTGGAAAGTATAAAAAACCGAGTGGAACTGACCACCAATATCATCTGATGTGATGTCCTGATTATTGGCAACACTGAGCGTAATAAACGCTTATGCAGCAAAATTGAAAAGTTTATTTACTGTAACTCTCTGTATATTATTTTAATTTTAATCACTTTAATAATTAGGACATGAAATCAAAACAGGAATGATGAATTTGGAATTCGATAAAAAAATATAAACTTGGAAGAATAGCAGATTCAAAATATAAATAAACGAAGTTATAACATATGATAACATTTTCTACATCAGTTATTTTATCTCTTTGACGTAAACAAAACCAAAAACAGGTCAAATATCGGCTAACTAAAGTTTGGGGATTTAATTGATTTTTAATAGAAAGTATGAAATAACAAGAAAACCGTTGAACTAGGAGTAGGGAGGCTTAGCCAAACACTGTAAGTAATATATCAAATCTCAATATCAATTTCAAAAGGATGTATCACGAGTAGAAAATTAATAAAAGGCGCAGTATTCAAAATAACGTGATTTTATTTTTAAATAATCAGGATATTTAAGTAACTGTTGGTATTCAGAAACCTGTAAAAACCTACCAGAAAATTTTCCCAGAAATTCAAGAGTTCAGTAATATACCCGCAGTTATGATCCAATTACGAAGTGTGTTCAAAAAGTAAGGGGACTCTTGTAATTGGGCGTGTTACGTACATTGGATCTTTGATATTTTTTTGTGATGTTGGTACACATGTCCCTGTCCCTGTTCACAGTTTCAGCCAGTTTCCACGTTTACTTTTTTTGTGAAAGAATTTACATAAAATTTTGTGTAGTGCTGCAAAACACTTGAAATGTTGACAACGGCATATGGTGAATCTACTTTGAGCAAAAAAAAATGTTTATAAATGGTACAAGCGGTTCTAAGATGGCCTAGAAGACGTCGATGACGAATCTCGCAATGGACATCCCAGCACGTTAATAACTGATGAAGGCGTTGAAGTAGTAAAACAAATGGTGTTGAAAAATGGAAAGAAACTAATCACAATTCAGATAGTTTTGTGACTAACTTAATAGGTTTTTTTTATTGTTTTGAATGAAACGATATTATTTTTTCTTATAAAATAAAGGTTTTAAATAAGCGATCGTGATATTACTTAGATACCAATCGCTCCAATTAATTTGTTGCATTTTTTAAAATGTTATTTTTTTTTTACAAAAATGTTTCTGACTAAACACACATTCAAAATTCACGAAAAAAAGTTGGTTTACCTTTTAACTCCTTCTGGATCAACGTATCCGTATTTACCCCTGATTATGCAATCAGCGCCTAACGTTTCTTCCTTAAAGGTACCGTCGGTAAGTTCAAAACCCCACGTGATGCTGCCGTCTTCGTTGTCATTGCGATATTTATCCACTACTTCCACTTCCTGCTGTTTCCTTCTCCTTTCTTGCTCGGCCTCTTCTTCTTCAGGTGTGAGCGGCCGTTTCTTGGGCCGATAAACCTGATCTCTAACCTACCATCGACACAAAATACAACCTAGAAATCTTGGTTTTATTGGGGCTCTGTCTCAGGCTTCACTGAACGGTTCGAAATTTTGAATACTGAACGGTTCGAAATTTTGAATAACCGCTGGTCCTTTCTTGAGAGTGGTATAGCAGCCAATCAGCGAGATCCAAAATTCCCTTTGGTCGAAAATTTCACTGTCGCACTAATTTTGAGTGTTTTTTAACACACATGTCCAAAATCGAACGGTACGATTATTTGCCAATTGAGTACTTCGACAATTTTCACGGCGAATTTTGGTGGCGAAATTAATTTTTCGGGGGAATAAAAATAGAATAAATTACAAGCAGAAAGGTACCAGTAATTAAGGAAAAGTCATTTAAAGCATTGCACGTATTGAGCGAAGCAGACAGAGAAGAAGAATATTGCGAAAGAAAATTAGAAAATGTTAGTGAAGCGGTATCTACGATTTTTACAGTTGGACAGAGCGGAAAGTTGTCCAATATACAGGTTATTACAAAAAAAAATAGTTCAAATTAAGGTTTCCGGAAGTTTTCGATGCATATATTTTTTTTTAAATCGTTATGTGCAGAGTCTTACAGGGTGAGTTAAAAAGATGGGTGCAAAAATTGGGACTTTTATTAGTCCATTGTTAAACTTTAAACTTTATTTACAAAATAATATTTTTATTTAAAAATCCCATAGTTTTTTACATATTTTGTTGGAAGCTATTACGCCATAATTTTTATTTAAAATTTCGAATAAAATCGCCATAGCAGCAGAAAAAAGGGTTGTCATTTACTCTATCACCACTCAAATATTTTCCTAAAATGTTTTGGTTTGTTTAGTCTTTACAAGTAAAAAGTTAAGAAGCAAAATAAATAATATCATGATGCCATTTTAATTTTTCATCGAAACTTCCACAGGTTGTTGTAATACTATAAATAAATATTCTGGAAATCAATTTGCTGACGTTTCAGCAACAATCACCTTATTGAAACTCAGTTTCAGTTAAGCTCAGAAGAAGCCAACAGGATGATTGGCGAAATGTCAGCAAGTTCGAATTATCATCAACCAATGTAGGATTAATCCAGAAGATTTGTAAATGCCATGATTGTAATGCTTATGCCAAATGTTTTTGACTAAAAAGAAGAAAAACGGAAAAGAAAGTTCTCTGTAAATAACTTAAGTTTTCTTTGTTTCGGATTTAGAATTTTAAGTACTGTGATTAACTTCTTTTCGACTCATCCGGTACATTAATTCTAGTTATATACAGTAAACGACATTTTAACGAGTCCTATCTATTATTTTATTGACGGCTCACAGGATTCCACTACGAAAAAAGTTTTATAACCTCTCGTGATTGATAATTTCATCAATTCTATATAGCTTCTAGACATATAGAAGCCCTGTCTATGCTGACATTACAGGAATTCATGAAGCAGTTATGTAACATTTTTTGAGAGGGTCCATTCATCGTGCGCATGCGCGAGTTTAAAATTTCGTTTTTAACCCAATGGCAGCTCTAATGGCAAATTCTGACGTTGGACCCATAAGACCTTGCGGCTTTCAACAAACAACATGGCCGCTGACAGATCGTCCATGTTTGGATGCGGCATTTTTACGGCAATATTTTCTCAAAATATGTCGAAATCCTATCAAATTTTCAGGCAAAAAAGGAGTTAAGGTGTGGAAAAGCAGTGCAGAATTGCAGCACCTGCGTTGGCGTCAGTATAATTCTGTAATTAATTTGGCGTTTTTTTACTTGTAGATACGATGCAGATAAGCTATTTTTTGCGATGTTTTCTTTGCTTGTAGACACAAAGCGTTAGCTTTCATAAGCTTATAGGTTTAACCTTTATTGAAATAACTTTGAGATGCTAGATATCGAACAAGAAACATCTAAATTGAAAAAATGTTAAAGAAGCACCTCCTATCGACAGTAGTTGACAGTGGGTATTTCTTATGCTTGTTCTAGTAAAAATTCAGCTTAATTTATTTTCCTATATTTCCTGTAATTCTTGTACACTGAAATATATTACCCAAACATTCTTCATAGTTATTTAACTGTACCTAAAAGTGTAGGGAATTCTGTTTAGTAATTTCTGTCTATTTTCCAGTTTATTAAATGTAAAATATATAGTGATCACTGTTTCTCTAAGATCTTATTAAGTCCCCATATTTGCCACATTTGCTGTAATTACGAAAGTATCGAAAGTACAAATTATAGAACTTTGTCAGTACAATGTCATAGGGCACAGACTGTTCTGGGCCAATTATGTTCGGATTTCACGCATTGATGTTGCGTTCTTATAAAAAATAATCAATTTTCCCGAAAAATTACGGCAATGCAGCAACTCAGACAGTTGTGGGGTGACGCATGCGCAAGAGATCCATACCTTCTCTATGCGGCGCATCACTTTTTACCGTAGTAAGGCTACTATATTATCTTAGAGCTCTATGGTTCTAACCTATCCATGCCAATAAAAAACAGATGCATTACGTCATAATTTTGACAATTAAAGTTTTAGTTGTTTTTCTAAAACAGAATCTTTCAATTTGTATCGAATTGTAAATAAACAATAATTAAAACGTACTCTAAAGCATTTGGTTCAATTGGTTCAAATTCTCATGCATCTCGTCATACCTGGGTTCTGATTGGCGCCTGTCTGATAACGGGTTCCGAATCTCTGAGATCTTGACGGATAACGTTCCTCGGTGGTGGCAGCGGCCTGGGTTTTTCCCGGATCTGTTCTCTCGCGACGGGAACTGGTCTCTCCGGCCTGAAAGGCAGCGGCGCAGGACGATCTAGAAATCATGTCGAGCGATGCACTTTTGCGTTTCGAAAAACTATTTTTCCTACCATCTTGCTCTTGTTGATTATCCCTCACCGAAGAAAGTACCAGTTTGTTAACTTCGTCGTCGAAACTGGACGATGACGACGGGTAATTAGGAGCTTCGTCGAAATCTTCAGTCACTGGTCGAACCTAAAATCACATTTAAAGTCGGACTTAAATTTTTAGAAAAAAATACATTTGAATCTTTCAAATCCATTGGTTTATGTGCCCTTTTATGTTCCCTTTATATATGGTACGGAATAATAAAACGTCGTTATATCATGCAAAAAGAGAACATGGTATTTGCAATGGCAGGTGGAACCACTCAAATATAGGATGTTTGCCTATTGTTATGAGTTCAAAAATAATGACCAGAAATACAAGAATCATTTGCGTATGATTATGAAAAACAAAAATCATAGAACATATGCACAGGGTGCCGGGTCATATTTGACTCACAAAAACCTCCAGGACCCTTTGTCAAATGAAATGAATGAAATAACACAACAGTCGGCAAACATTTTACCTTTTCTCCAAAGTAATCTTCGAAAATCTCCAGTTTGAAACGAAAACTAAGGTATTATTTTTTGGAAAAAAAACGGTAGCTCGTTCAAGAATATTGGTTTTAAGGTTGTCGTAAATAATGAGAACATTAATATTACCGATTCTTGCAAGAATTTGGGTGTGGTTTTTAATAGCAATCTTCGTTTCGAAACGTTTTTATCGCGAATCCGGATGGCTTAAGTTAGACCAAAGATTCTTTCTTCACTTATGTACATCATTCTTTATAATCGAGCAGTTTGAATAGCCAAAGTACCTTTTTGAAAAACTTGTCAAGGGATCTGATATTTATCAGCGTCATGATTCTCTGTGCATTGTCCCGCGGTACCGTACTGCCCTCTATCAGTGTTCTTTTAGCTATAACGTCACTAAATGTTTCAACTCCATTCCGGATGATATTAAGTGCTGCTCGGCCGCTTCCGATTTTAGAAAGCGTCTTGAAACTTATCTATTATCCAATACATTTTTTTTCTCTTTTTATTTTGCTTGTTTCTGAAGTTCCTTGCAGCACCTCCGTTTCATTGAAACGACTAACTATAAAAATATATTTGAGTGTTTTTTTTATTAAAATTTGTATTTTTATAACCTCTCTTCATTCAGGATGGTTAGGTGAGTAGCTTTGCTAGATCTCGCTAGCCTCTTCTCTTATACTGTTTTATTTCTTATTGTTTACTGATATATAAATAAAGACCTGTTATTATTATTTTTATTATTATTATTATTACTATTATTATTATTATTATTATTATTATAAATGTCCATCTTTAGTCTATTATCTTCTTATTGTTCTCAATTATACTTTACCAGCATTACACGAAAGCACTAGTAATATGTTTATCCGGCAAAATTTTTGCTAATACACATAAACCTCAGCGAGATAAAACATTTTCTTCTGCTCTGGTTTATACTTTTTAATTATGCTCTGACCAAAACCAGCCAAAATTCCCTGATTTTTCATAGCGGCTCTCCAGTGATTAAAGTAATACTCTTGTCTAAACTCATCTAAATTCTGTCTAGGGGTTTTCCTTTTTAAAATTCAAAAAGTGAACTTTTCTTCGAATCGCATATTTTGAGTCATCATCAAGAATTGTGCTGGAAGCACCAGTTGGAGAACTATCGTCCGGTAACAATTTCAAATGGTTTTTCTAAAGCGTTTTTATAGATAACCAACATGGCTTCAGAAAAGAAAGGTAAGATGTAAATTCAGCTAGTCAACGCATAGAGATGGATGTCCCTCAAGGTTCAGTTGCAGGTCTTCATATTATATGTAAATTGTATCTTGAAAATTTCACCTGATACGATTTTTGTGATGTATGCGAATGATCTTTCCTTGGTGTTGTCGTGTGGAAATGACTTTGACCTCTCAGAAAAGTGCACACACACACACACACACACACACACACACACACACACACACACACACACACACACACACACACACACACACACACACACACACACACACACACACACACACACACACACACACACACACACACACACACACACACACACACACACACACACACACACACACACACACACACACACACACACACACACACACACACACACACACACACACACACACACACACACACACACACACACACACACACACACACACACACACACACACACACACACACACACACACACACACACACACACACACACACACACACACACACACACACACACACACACACACACACACACACACACACACACACACACACACACACACACACACACACACACACACACACACACACACACACACACACACACACACACACACACACACACACACACACACACACACACACACACACACACACACACACACACACACACACACACACACACACACACACACACACACACACACACACACACACACACACACACACACACACACACACACACACACACACACACACACACACACACACACACACACACACACACACACACACACACACACACACACACACAATGCAAGTAGGGATACTTTGAGGTTTCTAGGATTGAGTTTGGATGAATGTTTAAACTGGAAGTCTTATTGTGACTCTCTAAATAGTTTAAATTATCTTTTCATAAATCTTCATGAAATTTTGACTAGGAAACAGTTGCTTAATATTAAGGAGTATTGCGCATATTTCCAAGTTTACATCTTGTAGGGGTTTAATTGTCCAGTACAAAATTCTCACATTGGTGAGTCTACTGATTTTTGAAATGTCATCGTATGTCTTTAACAATTTATCGAATTTTAAGTTAGTTGGTGACGAACATTATATGCATACAAGACACAGCGGTAAGCCGCATGTTCCCTACTTTAGGCTGTCGACGACCTCGAGATCACCTGATTATTTGGGTGTTCGTATTTTGAACTTAGGAGTTTAGAGACAAAAGTTTAAAATCTTGTCTATTTAAAACACGATTAAAAATATTTTTGTTATCCAAAACATTTTTCAGTCTAGACGAATTTGTTTAAGTAAATGTTTTTTTTTTATATATTTATGTATATTGTACCTATTATATATTTTGACTATTCCCATATAATTTTGTAGTTGTCTTCGGGAAAATAAATTTTATTATTATTATGTTGAACTGCTGCCTTGCTCTTGGTTCAATCTCGGTCATTCTCATCGTTCAACATTTTATATAGTAAAACAAAAGATTATCAAGTCCTAAAACAATTTCTACAGGGAGCATAATAATATTATTTTCATTGGAATTAATGGTTTAATAAATATGAATTAATAGGTTAATTTACTGCCTACGCCTATGGACCTATTAAACGGAATTTAGAAACAAACTTTAATAACTATTACTAGATTATAAGATCATTTACGCAAATAATAATGAAACTTTGATTTTGGTAATATACTACGTATGACCATCATTTTGGAAGAATATTGTAGCACCTGTTTGCTTTTGTGTCCACAAATTAATTAAACCGCACTGAATATTATTTATATCTGATGAAAAGTCAATCTCAAGAAATTGTCTGTTTGATTTGAGCTCGATTTAGTTCCTCCTGGTTATGAAATAACCGAAAACTTACACCAAAGTCTATATATAGAAAATACTAACTTCTCTCGCGTTGGAGATGGTATTTGGTCTTCTCAATCTAGGTGCTGCTCTCGGACCGCCCCCTGTTGACGTCAAGAGGGCCCCGGGGATCTGTAGTCTTGGAGGTATTTGGGCCGCCACATAGCTGGCGAATATCTGCCAAAGAATAATATAAATTATTGACCAAATCTTCGAGTCGCGATTGACTTATTATTTTTCTATGTTATTGCATCACTTTCGACTGCCATGGGCGTAGACACGTGACCTAGGCGAAGGTGATATTCTAATTAGGCAAGGAGACTAATGTGCTCCAGTTTTGCGTTTAAATAACACGTTTGCCATTGATATTTGTCGTAACTGTATCTGCTAGGCGATATATTATGCACACACCCGTCTGGTAGTATGGGGCGTTCCAGTTTACTATCAAGAAATAGCGCTAAAATTGTTTCTCAATTATAATACTTCATATACTATCGACATAACAAGTTTCAAAGTTCCATAGACTCCTCGGGAGTGTGTAGTAGAGTTCTTTGAACTAAACTGTATTCAGTTCAATAATAATAATTCAAAAAACCTGGTTGGTCCTCTCAAGTGTCATTCAAGGCACGTGGCATCAAGGCAAATTGACGTTTTTGAGTACAATGGAATATATTGTACTGTGTGGCCATAGAAATTGCAATCGGTTAATTGTCCGCGTGAAGTATACTAAACCATGATATTTATGTCGCAGTCTGTTAACAAATAACGAGAGTTTTTATTGCCTTTGGGCAACGTTTAGGGGCTGGGTTGCCTTTCTAGCAATTGAAAACATGATTGGTCCGATTGCTATGCAACTAACCAAAACTAACAGGAACCAGCGAAGTTTTTTTAGGCCTCCTTCAGTAAAACCAGCGCAATCAATGAGGGGAGAATAGCTGTGGGTCGACCATGGGCATTACATTGGAAGAGTTCGAAAATGGAATCAGGAGCGGGATAAGGTCGTTTCCAGTGATAAGTCAACTTCTGCTTGTGGTGGTAGAAAAATCTGCTGATGCGCGGGGAAAGGAGGCCAAGTAAAATTTTGGATTTAGCGTGAGACTGGGCCTACCAGGAGCGTTATAATTTTTGGCGCTATAATGATTGAAAGCAGATTACTTCTAGTCTCTTTGGGTAGAAACATAAACGCTCAATGCTGCATTCAGCAACTGCAAGAGCAATATCTTAGGAAGACAATGATCTGATTCACCAACTGCTTTCCAAGACATTAATAAAGTACATTTATATTAATGGGCATTGCAATACACAAATACATAGTTATAATAATAAAAAAATAGAAACACACACTCCATTTAAAAAAACCCATTTTCTTTCAAAATAGTACACAACGACTCTTTGGCACAACTAATGTTTAAGTCTGTAAGTACTTTTTTATGCAGTTCTTCTAGGATTAAAAAACTGTTCACTTTATCAGTGTCGTAGATTATAAGCCTAATTGGATCTGCGTGTTTCTCTTTAAAAACTAGCGAAGTACCAGCGTCTTCTCTCACTTTCCACTTACCCTTTGAACTATCGAGTGAAAACAGCCTCACAGAGTCAAAGCTCGAAAATCAAGTACATAAATACGTACTTACTGGAAGGATCACAGTCAAATACCTCCGTAATATATACGAACATATTGCAATTTAGATTAAACTCTTAAGAACCGATGTTAAAATAAACGCTTCTACTTTTTTCGAAAATACCTCGCAGCATCAATGTTTAATCAAATTTAAAATGATCCATTTAGGTTCCAAATAAAAGTTTCAAGTTTCTACAAATATTCATTACGGTCCGCCTCAGGCAGGACCTAGTTAATGCCGAATATACATCTGTTGTGATGGGTTTTACCACAGTCCTGAGAAGGTCTGCGGTTAAGGTAGTGCAAAATACTTAAAACGTCAAGGCAATAAATGCACTATATTTTTGGTCGTATTATACCACTATTATCATTTTTTGACTACCGAGGCCAGTGCTGTGCAAATGAAACATTTTTTTAACAAACGCCAAAATTTTCTGTCGCAAATGTGGTGCGGTGTATTAATGCGTTATAAAAAATGTTGTTTGCATCAACCGTAATGCAGCGAACAACTTCGATAAATCGATAAATCGAGGCATCTCTTCTGTTTTTGTGCGGATTAAATTCGAGAAAGTGGACTCCCGTGTTATATAAGCACGTATTAAAATTCAACTTGCGAAATTTCATTTTCATATTGGGACACGCGGGCACGCAGACTTATTGTGTCTTTAACAAAACTGGTTTTAAATGAATGGGACCGAATTATCAACCGAACATGATATATGCGTTTTAATACACAACTATACAGACGTCTGCAAGCCGGTCGGAAGGGTGACAGTTTTAGAAGAAGGGTATGTTACGTATTAAACTTGCTATGAACGGTTGTATTGACCTATTGTAGTTCCGAAATCCCAACTAGAGAAAATAAAACTAACGCAAATTATTAAAAAAACATAAGACAGTTAATAATAATTCAATAAAAAATTCTATTTATATTTACACGTTATAAATTATAACACGAAAGCTTGTTGTGAAGCAAAAAGTTTATAATGAAACAAAATGATAGTGATAATACATAAATTGCTATTCTGTCTGTCTGTCTAGATCTCTCTCTTGTTTTTCGCAATTGTGATTAAACTTTATTTGCCTACATTTTTAATATACAGTTAAAGCTACTTGTAGTATTTGCTCTGTTAACTTATTTCAATTTATAAGGTATATTGTTAGCTATGTTTTTCGTTATGTATATTTTTTAAGTGCAGGCAATAATGGTATTAATACATATCAACGAATATATAAATATGTTTTCAATATGGGTGGGGCAAGGTCCTAGCGCATAACGTGAAGCAGCTTCGTATTTCAAAAAGAAGCCGCTTTGCGGTTCCTTGTCATAGAGGGACGCATTGTTTTTCTATCGTGTTCTTGCGTACCAAAATCGATGTAATTTTATTGTGCGTACACCCTGTATAAAGCGTCTTTCACGTATTGCCAAACTTTAAAAACGAAACCTGAAACTCTCTCTCGACACAATTTACGATACTGCTTAAACCAAATTATTCCATGTTGTATAGTTCTTCATTTATGGCTAATAATTTACACACAAAAACGGCAAGTTTCAGGGACTCTTTGATTTTTTGCCCATAATCGACACACCCTGTACATAATTGAAAAAAAATCGGAAACAGAGTACTGGATTTCCCACGTTTCCTGGTACAAGAATTTTTTCAATAGAGTGAATGGTTTTCGATAAAATATTTTTTTTCTTAGAGTACGCCATAATAGTCGATGACGTCATCGCGTCGAGAGCCCGAGGAATAGAATTTTCATAAGGATTTTTTCAAATATCTCGAGCAGCGTGTGCGATACCGTAAATACAAAAATTGTAGCTTTTCATGCGGCCCATCACACTGTTTGAACCGATTAGCTGTATTTTTTACAAATTTTGACTAACGGTTAATAATTTACTCGCCAAAAAAAACATTTTTCAAGGTCTTTTAGATTTTTGTCCATAACTAAAACACTCTGTATATAATAGAAAAATGCATAAAACAAAAATTATAGCCTTAGATCTCATGCGTTTCACGGTTCCAAAATTTTGCCGATCGGGTGAATGGTTATGGAGGAAAACATATTTTTCTGGAAGGCAACATAACCCAAAAAAAAAAAAAAATCAAAAATTTTTAAAAAATACTTTACAATTTCTATTGTTTAAATGTGGACACGAACTTTTACTTCTCTGCTAAATTTGTTGTTGATATCTGCAAAGTTAGGACACTAAACACATTTCTTATATTGCACGGAATGTCGGGAACACCCCGTACAATAGGTGAACACCTTAAATACAAAAGTTTTAGCTGTTTACACGGACTATCGTAATGTAAAATAAACTGACATCTGAAACATAGTCTTTCAGTTATAGCCGATTTTCAATAATAGTATTTTTCTTTTTTTTTTTAATTTGCGGCGAACATTTTTGAAAAATTGTCAAGAATAAAAGTTTATGGAATCTTCAATAATTTTTTCGTTGCCAAATATGAAGTAAACAGCTTCAAATTACGGACAATTATCGTGTTTCATAGCAATGTCCAAAAAACAATCGAAAATCGCCAAAAAATAATGGATGCCGGCGTCAGATCGAGGCCATTTCTTATAGGCTTATGTATCTCGTGGAGGGTTAAAAAGGAGGTAAATCCCAATTTCGTAGCTCGCACGGTTACAAAGTTATTCCGGAATAAACAAAAGATAAGAACGGAGACAGATAATTTTTTTTATCTACCGCTGCCGAGATATAAAATTTTTATACGAGCGTAGATACTAGATACTAGATTTTACCGATTTTCGAAAGTAACAAGACGAAAGTAATGGAAAAGCCGATAAAGATGCGGTCGAAAGAAGGAAAATTAATTTACAGCAAATTTTGATTGAATGGAATGCGGTCGTCGCGGTAGTTTTCTATTTGCGGTCGGCCGACGCCTAGAGAATAAACAATCGAGTTTTTTTCTCGAATATTTCGTTACTGACAAGATCGATCCATCAGTATTTGTAACGGAAAATCAAGCGCCTACGAATTTAAATTACGGCCAGTGAAAGTAATTATTTATTCGGATGTTTTACGTGGGGCATACTATATACGCGTGTGGCATGTAATTTAGGATTTTATTTAAATTTGTAAATTGCTAAGATTTTGTTTGTAATCAATTTTTCTATAAAAAATATTTTGTTAATTCGCCCTTTTAAATGCATTGGCTCGTTTTGAAACTTTAACAAAAATATGATTTTTTTAAGCCTGCTAAAAATTATGCGAAATCTGTGACTCTTGTTGAAGATGGACGTGATCACGAATAGGTTGTAGGAATTATTCACTTGCGAAATATAAACTTGCGTGCATAGAAATCGGCCCACTGTAAATTTTTGGAGTTTAGTTTTTTTTTTCTAGAAACTATTCATCTGAGACAATTTAATATGCTTTAGTATGAGGTTAAATTTGTCAAGAGTGCTGATTTCTTAAATGCGTAGCTACGATTAAAGAAATGAAACGTGTTCATGTAGTAGTTATAGTGACAGTAACAAACTTGTTATAAACTTAATTTTCACGTTAATCATTCTTATCCATTTGGATAGCGTAAAATTGTGTTAGCTTGATGCATACTACACCGTCAAAAGCTGCTCAAGTTAGCGCTTTAAAAGAAAGTGGACTTCGCCAGCGAGCTGTTACTCGACAACTCTATATGACACGCTGAGCAGTTCAAAGAGTATGCCAACGGTATGAGGAGACTGCTTTATTGTGTCAATAATAATAAGAAATCGTCACCTTAATGCGGTTCACGTGCAACAACAGCTCCATGAAGTGCGAATATTGGCAATTAGTCAGTGGACAGTGAAAGCAGACTGAAAGGACCCCAGAAACCACTCCAATTGGTCCAAAACTTACTCCAGCTCATCGCCAAGCAGCCTACACTTTGCACTAGATCATCTGCATTGGACCTTGGACCAATGCTTTGGTTTGGTTGCTTTTTTGGTAGTAATCGACGAAAAAAGGTATACCAGATCAGGAGAGCTATTTGCAGAATGCTGCATTAAAGAGCGGAGCCCTTATGGAGGTGGTGATATGGGGTGCAATTTCTATGGGCGAACCGACCCTTTTTCATCCGTAGGAACCGTCGTGGTCAAGGGGCAGGAGGTTTAACAGGTCCTAGGTACATCGAGGATATTTTATGAGATCACGTGGTACCATATGTCGACTAGATTGGAGAAGAATTCATTTTTTTTGCATGATAATGCTAGGTCGCACACCGCAAGGATCGTGCAAGATTACATTACAGAAATCGGTTTTCGACTTACGGAGAGGCCAGCATGCAGTCCCGACCTCAATCCGATCGAACATTTATGGGATGAGCTAAAACGGAAAATTCGAGCTAGGCTTGCAGTAGAGGAAACTACATTCCACAAGAAACAATAGCGAACTTTATTAGATTTATTCCTAATCGAGTAAGAGAGGTTATTATGGCAAGAGGGAGTCACATCCATTATTAAAAAATGAGTGTTGCTTACTAATTGTTTTTAGTAATAAAAAAACATTAATATGACTGTAGTTATTTTACTATGCTAAACCTAAAATGCAAAAATAAATTTTTAATCAATTTAAACTCGAATTAAAGCGTATTAAATTGTCTTTCAAACAGCATACTTTTTTCTAAAAAAAAAAGAAATTGAAGTCAAAAGTTCACAATGGACTGATTTCTATATATATATATATATATATATATATATATATATATATATATATATATATATATATATATATATATATATATATATATATATATATATATATATATATATATATATATATATATATATATATATATATATATATATACGTTAAGCTAGACTTGCCAGACTCATAAACTAAGCTGTCACATTGACATATAGTTTGGCACCAGGCAAAATATTTTTTTATAACAACAACCAAAGAACAAAATGTAGGAGAAGGAAATGTGTTTAAAACATATTGATCAAGAAATTATTCGACAAGCTATTATTGACTAATCTTGTCCCCAGTTTACTAAGAAACTAAAAAAAAAACAATTTTGAGATTTTTAGAATTAAATTTAACTGCTTAACGACAAAATAATTAAACTTTAAACTAATGCAACTGAAATAATTAAATGAAATGTCTTTTTTTGCCCTCGTCATTCTCAAATCTAATTCGAAATCAATGAAATGTCAAAGCATTTTTTGCATTTGCATTTGTTTTAATTAATGTTGTTTATTGCATTTTGATTTTTTTCTTTAATTTTTTTGCAATAAGTTAAACTTTTGGCACGGTAAAAAAGCTTTTGCACAATCGCATTAAAAGTTCGGTTTTGATTATGTTCTATTACAGTAAAATCAATTACGGAAAAATTTTATACAAAAAAATTTTTAGTGAGCAAATACTTTTTTTGATATATTTACATTTCGGGCCCTTTTTTTCGCATTTCGAATACTCTATCTTGGAAAAAATGGTTTCCTATTAACTGCTGCAAAAACCTGACCCATGCTGTATAATTTACTAGCTAATTGATCTTGTGATTGAATTTAGTTAGTTATTATTTAACATTTCCATTTGGGAAAAATTGTAAATTTAAAATAAAAAATTATCAACATAATAGTTTATCTAAATTGCTATGCTAGATACTCTTTAATATAGTAAGTAAAATATCCGCTATTTAATTGGAATTCACCGTTACACCTTGTTACATTATTTCCGGATTATGTGTTTTTTTGCAAAATTTCGAACGCACCCGAGTTACCTTGGCCGGTCGACTGTAGTTGTAAACACACCTTCATCTTACAATTAAGAAACTAAATGCCTCGCATTGCTGTCGGCGAGGGCCTATGTCAAAAGCGATAAAATATAGAAAATGTTTTTAAGAAGGATAGCTAATGGAATATTTCATTTTCCACGAGACTTCAAAATACGGGCCGGAATATTTATAAGCCTAATGAAATCTTAATATGTATTTCATTGACATTACAACGAATTAGCAAACAAGTGCGCCAATGAAATGTGACTAGGAACTGGATTATTAAAATGTGTAAGTTCTCGGTTATTCGTCCTTGTCGCTATTTTAAAATTAAATTCCATTCGTTTTTTTTAATCGGAGACTCGATTTGCAATTTGCCGGGTAGTTACGGTTATACGTTTGATACGCATAAATTAGAAAACATTGTGCACGTATCTACATGAGCGTCGAATTCGACAAAGCAAAAAGAGCGACGTAAAAAACGTCTGCAATGCTCGTAAAAAAATTTCAATTACTCGATTCTTTGAATTCTCGATTACCTTTATTGTGCGTGTATTGACTTAAAGCTGAGTTTACTATAGTCGTTTTTCTCTTAAACTTTAACAAGGGTAGATTGTTACATTACTTTACACTCGATACAACAGAAATCGCTGTGTAATGCTGAGCAAAAAGGTTCCGTTTCGGTTGGCGTAAGAACGAAGATCGTTCTCGCTTGAACGACGGCGACATTTAATAGTATGAAGATTGTTTACAGGATGAAATCAAAGAAGCTGCCGTGGAAATGTTGAAATTTGACAACCGGTGCCCCTTTACAGTACCTCAACACATTACCGGGTGTTTCATTTCAGTTATCAGTTATTCCAACTTTAAATTATATACAGGGTGTCCAAGAAAATGTGAGAAATCTCCAAGATTCAGATACAACAAGGCCTTCCTGAAGGACGTCGCTGTTTTTTCTTGAACAGATTTTAAATATTTCACCTCCTAAAATAGTATTCTTGAAACATATTTAGGTTGTTTAGTTTATCATTTTTGAAATCCTTTAATTGAAGAAAATTATACCTTTTTAATATATAATAATATTATATTTTTCACACGTAGCTGAAAACACATAATATTTTTGATTTTTTCGTATTCTCTCTAGATCCCAGATAACTTCTCATACCGCACACTCAGTACAAAAATTGCCAATAATACACAACCAGTTCTTTTTGCATATTTTTATAATTTAATTCTTAGTTAGTTTAAATGCAATAATAATTTTAATTTTAACATTAAAATAAATAGCAAGAAGTTAAGAAAAATATGAAAGAGACGGAATAAACAATTTGACACTCAGAGAAACATAAAAAAAATTTAGATTTTTTTTAAACGCTTAAGGAGCACCACAAAAAGGCCGAAAAAAGTCATATGCAAAAAGTTCTTGGTATGGCTATTCCACTAAAACTCAAATTTTGAACTCACCACTAAAAACAGCGTCGAGATTTGCCACCGCATCTTGGGTTTATTGAATATTATCAATTAAAAAACAATAGAACACTGTCACTGATTTTACAAAAATTGCATCTCGCAAGAAATCCGCAAAATGGAATCAATCGGCACTGTACCCGCTATTATATATTTGCCACACCCCAATGAATTCTTGTAATGTGGCCGCAGTACTCGGGTACGGGCGTAGATTGTGGGTAAAGAGAAAGGTTTTACTTTTATAGCCGATCAATCGGTCTCGTGAATTGGGATGAACCAAGTCGCGACTAGCATCCCGATAATATAATTTGGTGGTGAATTATCCAATTCTTGGATTAAGGTCTTTAAGTGGACACCATTTGTTTGACAACAAATAGACCCCAATAAAAATGTGAAGCCAGCAACAATTATTTATTATGTACTATTAAAACAGGAACAAAAATTGTCCATTTTTATGAAGAAATTCAACTCTTCGATATAAGGCAGCAGTGCTTCTTTGAAATCCTAATATATATTGAAAAAAATAATAAAAAAATCACTCAATTACTTTTCTGCAAGATTGTACAATATTCTACCCGAAACATAGAGAAATTTAAACATACTATTTAACTAACATACCATTAACTAACTATTAAACATCATATTTAACGTAACTGTGTGTATGTGTAAATAATTTTGTAAAATTATACACCGATTTAGGCTGCGAAAAGCGTCAGTTTACTACGCGAGTTTCTTGTGCCACGCATACGAGCTACTTCCGACATTTCCCAGATATTACCGCACGGGTTTTTTAGCAATCGTATGTTTTCGGAGATTTTACCGCAGGATTTGCGTTTTGACGTTTGTCAATTCTGACAGTGATGTCAGTGAACAAATTCCTGTTATTTTGCAACATGTACCCAAAAAGTAACGGTCGTAGAAAAAGTTTAGTATGCAACACGTTTGGTAAACTTTTTAAGTCACTTGATTATTAAGCACTCAAATGCCGTTTGTAATATTTGTTGCATTATCTACTATTTTCTATTCCATTCTGTAAAATACTTAATTATACACCGATCTAGCGTGCGGGAATCGTCACTTTTGCCACGTAAGTTTCTTGTCGCACGCATAAGAGCCACTTCCGATATTTCCCAGATATTGCCCCACGGGTTTGAGAGCAATCGGATGTTTTCGGAAATTTTACCGCATGGCTTGCATTTTGACATTTGTCAATTCTGACGGTCATATTAGTGAATAAATATATTCGTGTTTTTTTTGCAAAAATGTGCCCAAAAACTAATGGTCGTTGAAAAAATATAGTATGTAACATGTTTGGTAAACTTTACAGGTCACCCGTTTATTAAGCACTCGCTGTGCTCGTGCCAAATGAACTCGTGACTCAAATGCCGTTTATCACACTTGTTGCATAATCCACTATTTTCGACTTCCTTCTATAAAATACCTAATTATACACCAATCTAGCGTCACTTTATCACGTGAGCTTCTTGTCCCACGGATCCGAGTCACATCGGACATTTCCGGAATATTAGCGCACTGGTTTGGGAGCAATCGGGTGTTTTTGGAGATTTTACCGGCTTGAATTTTGACGTTTGTCCATTCTGATTATCATGTCAGTAAATATATTAGTGTTGTTTTGCAAATATCTACCCAAAAACTAACGGTCGTAGAAAAAATATAATATGCAACACGTTTGGTGAACTTTTTACGTCACTCGTTTACTAAACGATCGATACATTTATGCCAAATAAACTGGTGACTCAAATGCCATTTACCGCACTTGTTGCATAATATACTAATTTTGCAATTTTTTTGCCCAACCCGACTGGGCTGATTTATATGTGACTTTTAACCAACCCTTCTCAAGACTTATGAACTTGTAATTTTGTGAACGTTTATTTGAGTTAGTTTTCTTGTATTTTTTGCTTGGATTGTCTTCTGCTATTTAGTATAGAGTGTATGTGTTGAAAAAACGTTACTATGTTATTATTAATCTTGGCTATATTGGTGGTTCGCTCACCCAAATTCTTTATAAAACTGCGATGTATCCAAAAACAATAAGTATTTAAAACAAGTATAAGTATTTATAACAACAAACGATCAGAAAATAAAAAGGAATACATTTTTTTCATACGAAAATGCATAGTTTTCAAGATACAGCGTCAAACTAAAAAATGGCTTTTTAATAAATATCTTAAATATCCCTTGACCGTTTTGTTGTAATTTCGTTGTGTTATTAGTTATAGCAAGAAATTAATTTAGGAATGATAAAATTAAAATAATTATATGTTTATATATTTATTAGTTATTATATTTTTATATGTTATATGGGCGTGTCACTGACTTTTTTTTATCTTTTTTTTCAAATTAAGCAACTAAAATTGCCACTTTTTGATTATTAAAGATATTAATAAAAAATAGACTAGAATTTGTTGCCAATTAGGAACATGCAAAAAAGTAACATTTGTTAAATGTTTGATTACACGTTAAAAACTATACATATTCGGACCAATGTTCACTATAATAAGCTAGAACATTGATATAAGATCTTCCAATAATGCCATATATTAACACAGATTAGGTTTCACTTTAAAACTTTAGTTTCATTAAACACAACCCATTTAAGAGTTAATAGAATAGATACCTTGAAGCATTTTAATATACAGTTCAATGAACATCTTAGCAAGCTCGTTTGAAATGTCAAAAATGTAAGCTGGGCAACGTTAACAAAAAAACTTGCTAACCATAATAGTGTTGCATACTATACTTTTTCTACAAGAATTAGTTTCTAGTTGCAGGAACCACAGATTATTCTTAAATCTTGATTCTTAACTTATTGCTTTATAATGAACAGCTGAAACGAGTTGAGAACTACCAAAGAAAACCTAAAATTTTACAGTTTGAAGTCGCTTGAAACTTGAAGAAACTGTTTTGATGGTGCTTTTCTTTTCAAAATTGCAAATAACCTTGTGGATTCTTCTTTTTGTATGAATTGCTTGAGCTTTAACGCTAATGCATAACATGTGTGAACGAGACCGACGTTTTCTATTGAGCGATTTGGGTCGAATTACTTTTCTAACTCTCCTATAACAAGATGTGCTTCTACTTATAATAATTGCGTTTTTTAAAATGGCATAGATATAGATATGTTTAATTTAAGCCTTAGTTTAATTAAAAAAAACATATATAAACTTCTTTAGCTCGTAGTTGTAATTTATTTATATCTAACCTTTGTTTTCATTGTAAAGATAAGAAATTTATTGCTCACTTTCCCGATTTTGTTAAATAGTTTAAGCCTATATTGTGTCATTCTGTAATTGGGTAGCTGCATCTGCCAATTGAATGGCCTGTGATCTATAAATAAATAAACTGTTTCCACTTTACCCGGACTACCAAGAATTAGTTTCTGGATACATGTTTGCAAAATATCACGAATACATTCACTGACGGGCGTGTAACGTGACCATCAGAACTGACTAACGTTAAAATAGCATCAATGACTAAAATCTACCGCAAACATCGGATAGTTGCCGATCCCGTCGCCAATATAACGAACACCTCTGAAGTTACTAGCGAGAATGGTTAATGGGAATTAGTTCTGCTTTGCAAAAATCTAACCAGAAACTAAGGGTCGTAGAAAAAGTATGCTTAGTATGCTAGTAAGCTTCTTCAGTCACTCGTTTATTAAGCACCCGCTTCGCTCGTGGCAAAACAAATTCGTGACTGAACTGGCGTTTACCATACTTGTTGCATAATATACTATATCTAAAAAAAGTGCTGATAACTCGACACAAGCAGTTTGACAGGGAAATTTCTTGATGAGTGAATCTTTGACAATATGTCGGCTAGCTATTCAATTGGCCCACAACAGCAAACTCCACTAAAATTTTATAGAAAATACTGATTATGATTTATATATTTTTGAGTTATTCCTTGGGATAACTGGTTTCAAACATTTGAGGGAAAGGGTTTTCACTAGTTGTGTATGTTCTTGTTTTTTTTTTAATCAATTGAAGATCGCCCCCATATTTTTAAAACTCGTTTGTCAAAGCAGAATCCCGAAAGGAAATATATTTATCTAAATTTCGTACTAAATACATATTTCAATTAGACCCAATTTGTTCATTGATTAAGATTTTCAAGGCCCGCAAAATTTATTATCGCGTCTTATAAATTAAGCATACGGAATTCTAGGGCACCGTTTTAAATGCGGAAAACAGAAATGGCTAATCAAAGCTGAATTCTTAAGCAACTTAACGGAGATATCTGACGTTCTTTTCAGAAAAAAAAAGAAGTCGCACGTCCATGCTAAAGTACGTCAAGGTGTCACCCTGCCTGTAGCATTTACTATTTTGATAAACTTTCATTTTCGATTCCTAACACCGCGCCGCGATGTAGGTATTTGGTGCAGGTTGGTTTATCGCTAACAAATTGCTTGGCTCGAACCATCTTGGACAGTTAATAGACGCGCTGGCATTATTTTTTTAAGCGGTGCCTTCAAGCGGTTAGAAATATCCAAAGTTTATATTAAAATGTAAAGTTTTATTTTCTAAAAAATTGCCGCACAATTTGAAAAATTAATTCTCGTAATATACTGTCATTTTTAACTAAAGAAATCTTTGACGTTACGTCCGCTTCAACCGAAATTTCTGGCAACCGTTTCGGTATAAATTGTACATATTTGGCAAAAGAGACTTTTTTACTATAATTTGTAGTAAATATTATGGGTTAAAAAAATAAAAATAAAATGTTTTGGATTTTATTTTAGTGTACTAGTCCTTATAATATTGTTCTTTCACTAGTTTTTTGTTTATTCTAAAAATAGGGTAGTTAGTGCAAAATAACCCGTGAAGTGAGGGTGAAATTTGAAAGAAAGGTGCGAAAAGTCCCTCTTATTACGTATTATAGGGATGAGAATAAGGGGAGGGGGATCAAACTAAATTGAAGCGATCTTCTGTCCAACTTCCCCTTGTATGATTTTATAGTAGAATAAAGTCCCTCTACCAACCAATATGCAGAAACGAAGACTTCATGAATCTTATTGTGAACAACTTTCTTGAAAGAAAAACTTTTACAAAATATCTGGGCATACTGATTGACGAATTGTTTAGGTACTTGGAACAATCATACTAATTATGTAACTAGCAAAAATCAGAAAACATATATAGTTCTATTAATGCATAATATGGAGGGGCTAAAAATTGTATACTTTTCTATAATGAACTATGGATTACTGATGTGGGCTAATACCTATGGGACGCATGTACTGGGGTTGCAGATGGCTCAAAAGTAGGTTATAAAAACCATGTATTTAAAAAAAAAGTGATACCCGACTAACTTAGGAGAGCAATCTGCTTGCTTTTAAGCAACTGTATATCAAATCAGTAATAAGATTTATGTTAAAAACCAAAATACATCATGGTATTGCCACAATGTCTATTGCCCAGCACGATGTGACTCTACAAAACCCCAAACGTGTGGCGTGCCAGAAACATATATACTGTACTGGACCAAAAGCGGTGAATGCTCTGCGCTCTGAACTAAGAGTGAAATCATATAACGGAATAAAAAAGAAGTTACCTAAGTGGTGTTGATCTAGTAACAAATCAGAAAATAATAATAAAAGCTCTTTGGTATAACTTTTAAATGAAGGAAACAACCTATAACGTTCCTGGGTGAACACACAGTGTGCTAAGATACCATAGTTCGCATAAAAAATTATTGTTGATAATTGTTAACTATTGATAATGTTGGCCATAATTGTTAATAGTAAATTAATTAAAAATCAAATCAAATGTAAATGTTAGATTAGTATATTCCTAGAATCAATATCAATGTTTACAACTTATCAGTTCAATTTCAATAATTAGTATATACAGTTTATTTACAAAATTTTATCTAAAAAAATACACGAACTTAATCATCGATTCGTGGAAAACTGTGTTATAAAAATCTGAGTAAATAATTAATAGCGGAAGCGATTGGTTGAACTCAAGTTTGTACTTAAGTGACGTCTAGATGGCTTGTGATCCATCTGTCGCTAGAAATGGACTATACTAACTATACCCACTTTTGGCAATGGTTATTTCTACTGCAGAAGAAATACGCAAAAAGTTAAGTGACAACAAGCCAATACTGAAAACTAAAAGCAACACATCAAAACAATACTATTTTTATCTGTTTATTTATTTATTATTGCTGTTTACAAAACTTCTAGCTTCCTCCTGCATCGGTTGTTGTTGAGTCGAACTTGCTAACGTTTCGCCAATCATCTCGTTGACTTCTTCAGAACTTAACTGAAACTGGCTCCATTTTACTCTGTACCTGCTTATATATTGTTTGAGGGGGCGGAGCTGAATGAGATGCAAGAATGCAAGAATTTTAGTTTTATCGAATAAAATTTTATGTCCGGTTTCGTGATTGTGTTGATATTATTCGTCCGGTCCCTCCAATGTATTCTTTGCCGCATCTGCATGGAATGCTGTAAACTCATGGCATCTCAAATGGTATTTTGTCTTTGACGGATCGAAGATGTTGAGAAATTATTGGACAAGTGGTAAATCTGGTTTTGACGTTATATTTCTTTAGAACTTTTGATATATGGTCGCTGCTTTGAATCTGAATCTAAGGAAGAACAACAGCGGCAAGTGTGGGATTGCTCACAGGCTCATTGCTATTGCTATATCCAGAAGTTTTGTAAATAGTATTACAGTAGGCTGGGGAAATTTCTTTGAAAAATTATTATTGCGTTTATATCTTGGGATGGTAAATTTACAATCAGATTGAATGTAAGCGTCCCTCAGACAGTACTCGCAATCTATAAAATTAAAGTTTAGTATGTCTTTTTTGTAAGCCAGCGAGAATTGAATTTACCTGGATTATATATGTATACATAAATATCAAATTAAAATCTTCAAGGTTCTAGAAACTTCATGTTTGTACAATTAAGAATTATTAATAATGTAATGTAATTGCTGACTGTTAATATACATAATGAAATGAACAACAATAAATTATTATTATTATTAAATGACTCGACCATGTGCATATTGATTGTCCCTTGTCTTCTTTTTTTGTGTTGACAAAACTATTCTTTTTACCTCTGACTTTTGTTTTCAAAATAGATACATACTTTTAGAATTCAAATTTCCGCATTATAGAGTACGTTTCCAAATCCAGTATCAAAAGTTTAGGGGTCATATTTTTCACTTTAAAAAGACTTTTGCTAAAAGCATGTCGTTCAGATCAATTATTTGAAATTGTTTTGGCAGTGACGTTTGCCAGTGATCTTTTAGGATCTTCTAATTTTTGTTTTTGTCGAGCAAATTTAAATTAATATTTTATTAATTTAAATGGTTTTGGAATGAGTGTTCTGAATTTCTTCTTTTTATTAGGCTATTAATTTAGAATTTTTGCTAGCCATCTTCCAGGCAGTTTATTGGTAACGTAACTATTGATATCTTTCTAATTCTTATTATATACAAAAACTATTAATTGCTGTAATTTGATATAATGTACTAACAAATAATTCTGTTAGTTATGCGGTACAAGGAAAATATCGCATTCATTTTGAGAAGCAATGTTTTTGTTTTTCGTTTTACGAAAGTATCTACACCGAGATCCATAATCAAAGCATAGACCAATGCCAACGCCCGGAAAACAGACACAACGCCGCGACATTGAAGTGAAAGAGGAAATTATCCAATAAGAAATTTACATTTGAAAAATGATCTGAAATTGCAGTATTATGGAACTAGGGGAATGTTTCACTTATTGTGGTCAAGGTTTTTTTTTAAATAACCAATTGCTAATTGATGGTGTTTTAAACCTAAGAGCATTAATATATTTCCGCAGAAAAATATAGGCACTGAGGTTTCGATTATGTCCCACAGAATAAATAAAATTTAGTTTTCCTGGCACTTTCCGTTGAAAATTCAAAAGCACTTGTCAAAATTGAAAAGAAGAGAAGAAATTTTTAGCAGAATCCAAGGAATTTGCGTTAAAATTTGGATTTGAAATCCTATGGTTCATATAACTTATATATAAAGGATTTTTCCAAACAGAGCGAGAATCTAATTAGATAATATGTGCATCCATTATGGTCAAGAAAAAATATTCCATTACGTTAATAGTAGACGTTCATATAGTAAATATAGCATGTTTATTACTTATGATAAGAAACTAGTTAACTTTTGATAAAGTACATCATCCAACTCTAAAACTAGGAAATTTCGGTGTACATGGCGACCTCTTCCAACTATTGCAAAGCTGTATTACGGAAATAACTCAGTTTGTTGTTGTCAATGGTCGAAAATATTGTTATGCAAATGTTACCTCGCTTGTCCCACAGGGATCATCTGGGTCTATTACTCTTTAATATTTTTGTTTTCGATCTTGGCCTTTGTTTTCCAGGTTCTATTCATGCTTCTTTTGTTGATGATTTAAAAGTAACAGAGATTCGTTCACATTTAGATGTATTGCAGCCCCTGTGCGATATTGACAAATTTATTGATTATTGCAGAAACCACAGATTATTCTTAAATCTTGATTCTTAACTTAATGCTTGATAATGAACAGCTGAAACGAGTTCATTTTGAGTACCACCAAAGGTTTCAAGAAGCATCAGTTAGTAATAATCGTGTATAATAGCATGATAAGGTCTGTACTAGAGTACTCATCCACAGTTTCGATTTTTAGTAAATATATCTTCAGAATAGAAAGCATACAAAAAAAACTTTTTAAGTTGTTAAAAGATACAATAGAAGAAAACCTTAAATTTTACAGTTTGAAGTCGCTTGAAACTTGAAGAAACTGTTTTGATGGTGCTTTTCTTTTCAAAATTGCAAATAACCTTGTGGATTCTTCTTTTTGTATGAATTGCTTGAGTTTTAACGCTAATGCATAACATGTGTGAACGAGACTGACGTTTTCGATTGAGCAATTTGGGTCGAATTACTTTTCTAACTCTCCTATAACCAGATGTGCTCCTATTTATAATAATTGCGTTTTTTAAAATGGCATAGATGTAGATATGTTTAATTTAAGCCTTAGTTTAATTAAAAAAAAACATATATAAACTTCTTTAGCTCGTAGTTGTAATTTATTTATATCTAACCTTTGTTTTCATTGTAAAGATAAGAAATTTATTGCTCACTTTCCCGATTTTGTTAAATAGTATAAGCCTATATTGTGTCATTCTGTAATTGGGTAGCTGCATCTGCCAATTGAATGGCCTGTGATCTATAAATGAATAAATTTTTTCCACTTTATCCGGAATACCATATTACCATATTTTGGTTGAGAAAAAAAGTGCAAATACTCTGATACCAAAAAAAAAATATCTTGAATTGGTGGATTTTAGATTGCACTGCGAAGTGGCAGTCTTATTAATACCTTTTCGCAACAATTTTTAATTTTTTACAGTAACATAGTGTCCTGGTTCAATGCATCATGCAAAACTGGAACAAATGAGAAAAAAAGCTTTACTCGTTATTAGCTATTTCAGATTTAACGAGAAACCACATTACCAATCCTAGACATACTTTGTGGATTTTTCATAAAGATTAAAATTCAATAATAATATATAAATTTATTATAAACCACAATTCTAAGCTAATCAATTAAATTAGAAATTAACAAAAAACTGTCAAGCAGCGTCAGTTCCAGGGAGTAATTGTAGTCCTGGACCTTCTGTATGGAAGTGCCCTTCTTGTAGGATATTGGCTATAACCATCCCTGATTTCTCCATATGGAAGTGCTCTTCCTGTCGGATGTTCACCATAAGTTTCCCTCGCATCATTAAATTTTATCATGTTTGGATCTACATTTATGTATGCGTTATACTGAGTAGCTTGAGTTTTACGTTTATCATAAAGTAATGAAAAAATCATTTCCAATGTTCCAAGAACAATAGCTTTGATGATGTCCATGCAAGTTGTTATTACTGGTGTTAAAGCCCTAATGAGCCCTGATAATTCTCTCATAAAATTCACTAGATATTCCATCAAGTATTTTACAACCTTTAGTCCACCCACTGTAATAGTGCTGATTAGTAAAAACATAAATATCAAAGTCTGTTTTGTATTTTTATATGTAATATGATCTCGACAGAAATTCATCAAATTTACTCGAACCTCGTTTAATATCCCATTCAATACAGCAGATAAATTGAATTCCTCAGAACCAATGCCCGATCTGTCCTGTTCATTGTTGCGTATTAAGGGTTTCATTATATCCAATTTAAGTCGTATTTCTTTTTCTAGAAATTCCACAGTGCTCACTTTAAACCAATACCTTCCAAATATTTCCACCGGTAATTCCACCCACAAGTTATATCCTACAGGTGCTCCGATCGTGTCAGGCTCTGTAATACCAATCCAAGGTACACTACCCGAAGGAAGCTCCCTGACTTTTCTTTTGACAGTTACCAAATTTTCAATAAATTTATCTTCATCTGGATCTATCCTCACCACGTCCCTGTAACATGCAAGAGACTCCACGAAACGCTTTTCATGAAAATTCCCGATAAAGAGTTGAGTTTTTAACATTCTCTTGGAAAAATTTTTTATGTACCTATAGTTGGATGGTGAAGGTGGGTCTTGCGATAAATCTTCCGTAATTATCGTCATTATGTACAATAGGACAGTCGGCTATTAAATATACATATTAAGTTTTTTTAAAATCATGGCTATTAGTTTTTACCTACTTAAAAACAAAATTTCACAGAACAGTGTGTCACAGACCATATGTTTTGCTGCCTTGCCTAGGGATATTCCGATACTACTGAATACGAGTAGGTACGCGATACTTTTGATTCGATACCAAGGATTTATAGCATCGAATCAATCTTGCGATACTTACTCCGTATCGAAACAAAAGTATTTGGTATCAAATCGAATCAGCCTCACCATTAAAAAAAAAACCGAACGCATCAAACAAACATAATCTCTATCTGATCTATGGTAACGCGTTGTCTCGCGCCAGCCAAGCCGAACTCGCCCTACTTCACTCGACTGAGCCCGAGCCAAAAGCGAGAAACATGTCCGCCCTTCATTTTCTTTCATTGCCAACCAACATAAATTGTCAAACATACAAGAGATTGCTTACGAATAATTTTATTTATTGTAATCATCGGCTTATTATTCCAATGTTATCATGGAGTTTTTTGTTTAAAGTACTTGCTTAACGTGACGCAAATCTTTATAATAAAAGTTTTCTTTTCCTTCTTAATTTTGTTTTAATTATTATCCTTCAACGTTCATTGTTAGTTTACTTAAAATAAATAAAAAAATAATAAACTGCTAAAAGTATCGATATCAGTAAGTATCTATACTTTAGGAGTATTTATTTGAGTTGTATCGAAAAAAGATTTGAGTACTATCGAAATGAGTAGGTATCGATACTTTAATGGTATCGGAACATCCCTAGCCTTGCCACAGTGATTGAAGGTCGTCTGTGACAAAGATATTAAAATAAGTGCTAATTAAATTTTGCCAAACATTATTCTGATTCATCAAATTCTATGCATACTACAAAAAGTTGCGTTAAGACTCTGCTTCAGAACTTCTTTTCGTTAATTTGATAAAATTAATATATATATAAAACAGAGGATTTTGCCAATTATTTTTCTTTGGTAACTACGCACTTACGAGTCCCACCAAAGATATCTGTGGTTAGGACGTCCTTGAATATAAACAAATTACACAATTTGATTAACCATATCGCAGGAAAGTTTTGTCGAGTCATTTCAGCGCCGACTACAAAATGCCAGTTAAAGCCGTTTGCGTATTAAAAAGCGAAGCTGTTAACGGAACAGTTTTCTTCACCCAACAGGTAATCACAAATATTTGAAATAGTCCATTTTTTCTTTTATCTAATTAACATTCTTGGCAGGATGGGAAAAGCCCGGTGCAAGTGACTGGTGAAATAACCGGCTTAGTCAAAGGTTTGCATGGCTTTCATATCCACGAGTTTGGAGACAACACTAATGGTTGTATATCGGCGGGGCCTCATTTTAACCCACTCAAAAAAGATCATGGAGGGCCCACCGACAGCGAGAGACACGTTGGTGACTTGGGCAACATAGAGGCCGGGGCTGATGGTGTCGCTAAAATTAACATAACTGACAAACTGATTTCATTGGAAGGAGATCATAATATAATTGGTCGCACTGTGGTAGTGCACGCGGATCCTGATGATTTGGGCAAAGGGGGCCACGAATTGAGCAAAACAACTGGAAACGCTGGTGGTAGATTGGCTTGCGGTGTCATTGGTTTGGCAGCCAACTAAGCAGATTCATGATAAGGTGTTAAGGGTTCATTCCAGTGGTTATTTGATTTACTTTTTTATTTTGTTGCTTTGAAGTTTGCTAAATAGTTTTCAAGTTAAAAGTTGTGTTAATAAAGCTTTCATTTAGGATGTTCCTGCGTTTTTTTTTTTTTTAATTGGGAATTTGCGATTGCGGTTTTGATGCATAGGATGCGGTTTCCTATATAATTGCTTATCAAATGTTTCAATTGTTCATAAAATCGCTTTGAAAAATTTAATTTATAATTACAATTTAAAATAAATTTGTTTACTGAATTCCAAGGGAATTAATATACTTGGGACACCTTGTACGTTGTACATATAGATTAATAGAGTAAACAAGCCTATCTATAATTTTTTCAGGGTTCCTATAATCATACAAGGTCAAGAGATCACTGAGTTAATAACAGAAAAGTCTTTCTTTTGATTCAGTTCAACTGAATTTATTACAAAGTTCATTCAAGAACGACAGATTTTGCTTCAATCTAGTGTATCTCAAAGTAATCCATAAAGACGCGAACAATTTTTTGATTAGAAGGCGCATTTTTAAACCTTTTTTAGGTAAACACGAAAAGCATATCGGTAGGCAACCAACGTAACATGGATGACGTGTTTGACAAAATTGATTTCGGCTAAACAATAAATTACACTTGCAGACCACGTTCTCTCTTCTCTTACATATTCGCTGCCTAATTTAGAAAAAGCTGTCAGCTTCAGATTGATTTAACCATAACTTAGAGAATTTAGAGCTTAAGGCATCCACCATTTATACATGAGCATAGAGCAAAATTTGAACTTCTGTAATGATGTGGTCCAAGTTAGAAATATAATTAAAAACAAGGAATACTCATAAGGTAATAATTTACTTATCCGTTTACCCGTTGCGTGGTGAATATTTTAACTTTTAAATTTTGGAAAAAATGCGAAAATATTTATTTTATGCAGCCAGACTTATAAGCGGATAATAAACGGGGCGAATTCGACTTTTTGCCTTTTCTTGGTCAAGTCTATTTCTTGACGTCGGGATTGGCCCGACAGTTTTTGAAAAAAGATCTCGTCGCAGAGCTATTAATATAATCTACTACTGTAACAATTTTTGACGATTGATACATTTCAAAAATTATATATCTCATTTGGTTTTTTTTTCAAGATCCGTTATAATAGAATTTTGAGCAAGAGACCACCACAACTCGTTTTTTAAAACTTTCGACTAAAGTTAGGTAGGACGCAATTGAAAAACAATTTCTGTAGACAGCAAATATCCTTTATTAACTTCGTACAGCAGGATTTCATAACAACATCGCCACTGTTTTTGAAAAAGCAAAAATTGAGCAATTTTTTAAGACCGATTGACGAAAAAATGTCAATGTATACCCTTAGAGTTAGCATTCTATACTTAAATCACATTTTGGAATGTCAAATGTATCTCATACTTTATTTCTTAAGTACATCTTAATATTTAATAATTCTTGAACTACATATTGGATAGAGTTAAATATATATTGTTTTAATTTTTGCCCTGGGTCAAATCTACATAAGCTAATGCTGAAAGCACATTTCACATATCCTCAGGCCACAATGTCTAAAAGAAAATGTTTTACAATAAGCACAGCCAAGGTATGGTTCGTTTTATTTAAAAGGCCACCAACGAATTCTGGAAGTGCAGAAGTAACTCAAATATTATTTTTTTGCACAACTCGTAATTTTATATGACACACTAAAATAATTTCATTGTTAAAATTGTGGCCCGAGAATCAATCAAAACAATAACATTTGTTTTTTAAATGTTTTTGCAATATCAATATCTAATATACATTGGAAAGAGACGTTATCAAAATAGTACTTTAATATTTAAAATATTCATTTTCATAAAATACAGAGGGGAATTAAGATTTAAGCCACATTTAACTGCTCTATGGCACTTGAAATTATAACTAAGAATTCCAGTCCTAGAAGTAATATATAAATTTTTATCCATTCTGTATATTACTATGTACCCAACTATACATAGATTCTGCGTTGATAGTCGATTTAGGCCATTAAGTAGGTACGAGGGACACTTTGGAAAATTGGTTTAATCTAACATATGTCAGGCTAAGGATTGGGGAAACACCTTCATTCTTACATAATCATCAATGATTTCTTTCAATTTGCTTGAGGTGGGTCTCGGTACATTTAGCATAAAGCCCAAACTCTTCAACTTGTTTCCATCCACATTTAAATGCTTGCCGAGAAGCACAGTTCCATCCATATGGGGAGATAGAGGAGTGTTTTCGATGCGGTCTCTGCGACACGCTTCAGCCCAAGGCACCTAACCATCACCAACAGTATGTAAAATTTCTGTTGTCCTGATATACTATATAATAATTACTGCGGGTAGTTCAAATGCAGAAAGAAATTTTATATGATGGAATGTTGGTGGCAATGTGTCAGTGAAGGAAACTGATAGCTGTCACGTTGCCAAACTAAATTCTTAAAAAGAACTAGCATACCAATTTATAGGTTATAAGGCCATGAATTTATCCAATCAAATTAAATATTATTAAGGAAATATACTTACAACATGTTTGTCATTAGCATCGTCGGCAGCCTCTTCTAAATCAACGCAGGAAGAGACAACATTGCCATAATATTCAACCTTGACACCAAATATCTCACTCAAAATATCTGAAATTGATCCTTGTGTGGAATTGGCATCATCAACCACATTATAAACCTGAAAGCATAGACAATAACTATGACATATAGTAACTATAGTAACTACCAATACCAACAAAAAGTAAAAATACATAGTCACTTAAAATGATATTTTTTTACCTGACTCATAGTTTGCTGTTTGTCATTTGCGAACAAAATAGCCCTACAAACATCTTCAACATGTACAGTATTCATCTTCAGATCTGCATTCCATAAAAGCTTCATTGTTTTTTTCAGTTCTTTGTAAATAGCAGCCGCCATTATGCGAGGTGTTAAATTGGATTTATCTCCTAAGCCGTACACCAGGGGCACCCTAATTATAGTGTACCTCAAGTTTGGAATGTCTGAAATTTGTTCTTCCACCTAAAAATTGGTTCTATATTGAGCCTCAATTATCAAAAAATATTACCACTGTTTACCTCCTTCTTCCACTTGGCAATATAGGTCCATGGCTCTAATGGTCCATCTTCTTTGTGGGGCACTTTTTCTGAAGAATACATATTACCTGAGGACAGTTCAATATACCTTCCAACATTCTGACTAGCCGCTTCATTTGCACAGTTCAAACTTAATTTTAATATACCCTCTTTGTATACAGGATCTGTCTGACCAGGTCTGGTTTCACTTGCAAAATTCACAGCTAGATCCCATGCTGAACCGTCTGGCAAACTAAAGGCATTTTTACATGAATCTGCAAAATATTTACTTTTATGTTTATTATGTTTTTTACTGGTTAACTTTACCTTGATTGATTAAGTTTGCGCTCTTGAACTTTACAATTTCATGTTCGAAGCACTTGGAGTGAATGTCGTTTAACCAAGCCACTTGAGGAGGCACTTTATCCACAACGGTTATCGCGCTGGCTAAATCGTGTTCTACCAAATATGAAACGAAATTTCTGCCGATAAAACCGCAACCTAAAAGACGTTTACCGCAAATATTGTTTTAAGTTACTTTAAAGTTAAAAACCATCACCTCCAAGAACCAATACCCTCAACTTTGTCATTTTAAAATAAGGTTTGTTGAACTTGTTTGTTGCTATTTGCAATTTTTATCTCGCTTCGCCGGCGTGATTCGGAGGAAGCGAACTAAAAACGTATGCAAAATAAAAAATAACCATTTCCTGTGTGCTTTCGCTTTTTTTTTTTTTTGCTTTACGTGCGCCACTGTGTGGTTGAGTGGAGTAAAATTGTTAAAATGACTGTTGGCAAATTCGAGAAATGTTTTTTTTTGTAATTTAATATCACCCCCTTCGTTAAGTTCTTACTGCAAATGAGTTGCAAACAAAAATAACAATTAATTGCAATTGGAAAAATAATTTCGGCAAAAACGATCCGTTCAATGGGCCAATTTATATTCTGCGAAAAGAAGAAACTACAGATGCGACGATAACTTCAGACTGTAACAAATATTTCGTATTTTAATTTTGTTTAAAGTTTCATAAATAAAGTAAAGGAGCGGAAATGCCACCAAAATTTAAATTTTCGGAAGGTATATTTAATAAACCAAAGTTTTAAGAAAATAATTTCAGTTAATTTTAGGAGAAAAAGTACTCTGCTTCCATGGACCCCTAATTTACGAGGCTAAATGTCTCAAAAGCACAATCACCAAAGAAAAACAAATCAAGTATTTTATTCATTACGCTGGCTGGAACAAAAAGTAAATGAATTTGGTCTATAGGAACCCTTTCATTCAGAAACTGTTTGTAGTTGGGATGAATGGGTACCAGAAAGTCGAGTGCTCAAATACAACGAGGCTAATGTGGCGAGGCAAAAGGAGGTTCAGAAAGCTCACTCCGCCCAACCGAGCAAACCAAAGAAAACGGCTAAGAAGACTGTTATTAAAACTGAGTCAGTTAAGGATAGTGACTCGAGAGCTAGTACTCCCATATCTGAAGTTAATAAGGGTGCCAAGTCTAAAAGGGAAGCCACCACACCATCTAGTGGACATGAGTCGAGCTCTGATGTATCTCATGTTCCTCGTAAAAAGAGAGGTAAAATTACAAATTTTCTGAAAAGGTTTTACAATATTTTACAATCTTAGGAAAGCTAGATGCAACAGTAGAGTCAGAAGAGCAATATGTGAGCAAAGTGGAAATAAAAATAAAGCTTCCAGATGAGCTTAAGCCTTGGTTGGTCGATGATTGGGATTTGATTACTAGACAAAAGAAGCTGTTTAATTTGCCTGCCAAAATGACCGTTGATCAGGTTTTGAACAACTATTTGGCTTACAAAAAGTCAATAAAGTCAAACAACTCCAGCAAGGAGTCCGCCACACTTGAGACTATGAAAGGTTTTTAAATACAATGGATGTTTCCACAACAGTTTAACGAATTATCTAATTTTAGGTATAAAAGAATATTTTAATGTAACATTAGGTACTCAACTTCTGTACAAGTTCGAAAGGCCGCAGTATGCTGATATTCTCCAAGAATATCCCGACAAACCAATGTCAGAAATTTATGGTGCCATTCATTTGTTGAGGCTCTTTGTCAAATTGGGGTCCATGTTAGCCTACACTCCATTGGATGAGAGAAGTATGGCTCTGCTGCTGCAAAACATTCAGGATTTCATGAAGTATTTAGTGAAGAACACAGCTCAACTGTTTAGCTTACAGGAGTATGGCAATGCGACCCCAGAGTATCACAGAAAAGCTCTGTGATATGAGGCAGAGAGTGACGGTGATTCTGGAAGTGACCGTGATGGATAGTTTTTTTACAAAAAAATTTGACTGCACGATAATTAGTGTGATTAAGAGCAAATGAATTTTATCTTCTTCAGTTTTATTAAATTACTAAAATAGGTAACATCTTTTAAGTAAATCCAACACACAAATCTTTGGTTTTGTTCAGTTTATCTTTGTCAAACAGTGGTGACGAAAAACTTATTTGATCATTATTCATAAAAAAAAACTAATATTACAAATTTGCACTATGAACTACTGTAATTATAGCACAAAAAAATATGTTGAAGAACATTTTTATGCATGAATATAATGTATAACACCCAAAATTTTTTTTTTGTGAATGTTACTATAATTACAGCTAAAAATTAAAAATAAAACATTTATAGTATAAATTTGCAATTATTTTTTTTAAGGACGTGTAGGTCATTTCTGAAAGTTTTCACCCTCTGTTTGACAAAGATACACATCACTAGAGGTTATCACAAGTGGGTAGGGAACTTGTATATGCGTAACGCCAATTTGAAAGAAAAATAATGTTGCAAAAAATTAGTTGGTTATCAAATTTAGCGCAAATCTAATTTAAATAAAAATATTACTGTTGCATACCAATCAATAATTAGATGCAAAATAGGAAACATACATTTGTTCTACTTATTGTCATTAAAATTGTGGGTATAATTTGTACTAGGATTCTTACAATGTTTTTGTAAAAAATGTTTTTCTAATAAGTAAACTTGTTCGCCATTAAAAGGAGTTATTTGAGAAAACTGAAACTATATTTGTAAAAATGTTACATAGAATAAAAAAAACTTATCGGCCTAGAAAAATTTGAACTAGTTCTTATCAAGTAGTGGATAGACATCAGTCAATTGTATATAAAGGCTTTCAATGTATTGATAGGTTCACATTTATTATGTACTTGTGATAGACAATTTATTATTGTTTTGGATCAATTTTTTAGTAAAAATTAAAAAGGTGCACTGTTTTGTTTGCACTTAAGGTATGCTCCGACAAAGTAGTTAATTTGGCTACTGTTACTAAACAAGACTTTTGAAAATTAAAAGTTGACCCAGAGTAGTCGCAAATGCGTAAGTCAGGATACATTAGAACTACTGCGCTATATGGGTTAGTGAAAATAAAACAAAAAATTATAAGAGCATATACTTTTTTATTAATTTGACGGTTAAAAGTAACCTGCTGATAGTTAGAAAAACTACATTAAGGATCAAATGAATTAAAGTGAACAGGCTATAAAAATACCAATAAACTAAAATGTTATCGACAAGCGTAAATACCGAAATACGAGAAAAAAAAAACTAGCAATGGCCCCTATCCTCGACCCGTTTCCGGGGCGCTGCTTTGATAATGTCGTCCACTCTCAGGATCATTTCCGCCGCCTCTGTGGCCGATATCAGCACCTGCCGCTTCACCGCGAAAGACTCGGTGATTCCCAACTCCTGCATGTCACCGATCTCGCCTTTTTCCATGTTCAACCCCATGGTCGATTTATCTAAGAGCGGACAGATGTTGATTAAGAAATTTTTAACGCATGGGCACTATACGAAAAAAGTTTATTAATGTGGCCACTAGAGGATAAATAAAATTTTACGGGGACTGTTTATGGGGACCATCTCATGTTTGAGACTAACATAGCCATTGTTGATTCTCTTCTACACATTTCTACAATCAGCAACGTAAAAATATAATAATAATAACGATAAACGAACTTTATTCCATTTGAAAATCTATAACTGTGCGGGTGGCACTTTTTATAAAGTAAAACACAGCATATAAATTACATTCATGGTAGAGTTAAATTGTGAAAAAAAAAACATTTTTAATAATTTTACCACTGCTAGAGTGAAAAAATAAATTAACACTATACATATATACAATTTGATAGTTACTAGATTGGTTGGTATTATGATAAGTGTAATTGTTTAAATTTTTGTTTGAATGACGTCAGTGAGGTGATTGATCTCAGTTGGAGAGGGAGTTTGTTGTAAGCCTACTACAAAGTAAAATTTTACTTTTAGGCACTGCAATACACGTTTCATTTCTTCGAGAACTTTTTTAAGTCTAAATTTTAATATAAACTACTCCCACAGCTAACAATACCACAAAAACAGGATTGTAAGTATCATATATCTATTACAGCCACATAAAACAATTGTTGATTATGATACTAGCTTGAGTACCCTATAAAAGGAGAGTCAACAAGTAATAACTTACAGCCCGCATAAAAAATCATTTATAAGTGGAAACCAGTTCTTATGATTACATTAATTCTAACTTCGTTGGTTCTAGCTACTATGCGTATGCCGATAATACAGGAACTTTTGAAACCACCATAAAAAAATATTTTTCAGCTTGGTTGTAGTACTTTTTCAGAAGCATTTTCTCAAAATTTGCCCATATCAAGTTAAATCTATATACATCTACATCAATTTAATGGAGAATCTCTGCTGCAACCGCTATTTTTCATCTTTAATAAAAGTTTATCAGAAGGGCGGGTTCTGTTTACAAAACTCTTCAATCATGTGTTAGTTCTGGGACTCAGTTTGTTGAGTTAAATGGAACGAAATGACGTCTGCCATACCTCAGGAGCATCGACGACCTATCAAGGTCTTAGGTTTTATGAACACTGCTTAGGAAACCGACTGTTTCTAAATATTGGCAAATGTTACTATCTTAGGTTCGGTAAATTAAAAAATGATATAGCTTTTCATTATAAATTCAATGGAGTAAGTATTAAAGAAGTATATCAGGGATCTTGGAGTAACGAAAGACACAAAACTGAGTTTTGAAATTCATATTAAAAACAGGGAAAAAGGCTCACAGAAACTTGATCTGATCTGATCGTACTCTATAACGCCTATGTGCCTATGTATCTTGAGTTTGCCAGTGTGATATGGAGTCTCCAATATCATGAGTATGTAAACAGAATTGAAAGCAAAAATATCAATGTGCAAAAAGTAACTGCAACAATTTCTTTGCAAAAGACATATTGGTTATTAGCATCCTAAATTTGTACTCTATTTAGGTGCATAGAATAAAGCAGGCGTTCCAGTCATTACCACCCTAGCATTAAAGGATAATAACAGTTTTGGACAGTCGATTCTGTTATTATAATATGTAGTTTGATTTTTTTTTTACGATCTTGTTAATAACAGAATAGACTGTCCAAAATGGTTATTATCCTTTAATGCTAGGGTGGTAATGTTTGGAACGCCTGCTTTATTCTATGCGCTTATATCTAGTACAAATTTAGGAAGCAACTCACCAATATGACTTTTGCAAAGAAATTTTAAGTTATTTTTTGCACATCAATATTTTTGCTTTGTCACTCAATTGATTTAGGAATCAAGCATAAGAGTGTTTCGATCCGACTAAATTAAATTTATTTCTACATTTTTTTCTTGTTTTTCTTTTGAATTAAGATAACTATATTTAGTTTTAGTGTACCTTTGTAAATTGTCACGTTAGTTCGTCATGTTGTGATAACAAATAAATAAATAAATAAATTTGTATATTCTTCTAGAATTTTACCATTATAGTTAGTAATCATGGGTTTAGAATATGTCGGGCTAGAAAAATGAAGTACTTGTTGGGTCTCTCTGAGACAGAATGTATTTGGACTCACTATTGTTATGGGCAGCTCTCAGCTCAGTGACCAACTGCGCCGAATCATATCCAGCATTGTCCGCTATAATGGTGGGCAACTGTAGCAGAGACCTGGCGAAAGCCTCCATAGCGACCGCCTCTTTCCCGGGCGTGTCGAGCGCCGCCTTACTGACCGCCACCGCCATCAGGGTCTCACTACAACCGCCCCCGTACACCACGCGGCTTTCTTTAACGGTGGCGGTAAGGACGCAGAGGGCGTCGTGCAAGGAACGATCCGCCTCCTCGATGATCTGCTGGGTGGCCCCGCGGATAACTTTCGGGGAAAAATGACTATAGCGATCATTCTCGCACAAAAAAAAAACAACCGCAGCGAAGCAGCATTTTTCGTAAACTTAGCCTATTTAAGAGGTCACTTTCGGAGAGGGTTGTTGTAAGTTTTGCCACTTGCTTCACGCAAAATCATAATTAAATAACGAGAATGTTATACTAAAGTTAGGAAAAAGAACAAATTTCAGATTACCAGATCACACTCCTGTATTAGTTCTTTGAAAATAATCAGGCTAGAAAAGTACTTTTGAACTACTACCATTCAAGCGTGGATTAATTTCTGCATACTGTTCTTTAAAAAAACCTTTACCATAAAAGTGTCTATATATTTTTTAATTTTGTGAAAACCCTTTACTAACACCCTGATATGTCCAAGTTTTTCAGGATTTCCAGATCACTGACAACTTGATAAGACTTGTTAAGACATCATTTAGCTTGAGATTTTTTATTTTGCAAATTAATGAGTTTTACCTATGGTACATGCCTCTCCGAGCGCCACGCCGCTGAATCTCAACAGAATATCCTCCCCAATCATGATCTGCTCTATCAGATCACATGTGCCCAATTTGACAGCTTCTGGATTATCAAAAGTGGACACTATTTCACCTCCCGTTACGAGCGCTAGTCTAAAATTTAAAAAAAATTTCTAGACTTACAAAAAGCATACAGATGAGTAAAATCTAACCTTTCGATACCATCAAAGTCCGCGTGTTCTATCGCCATAACCCCAGCATCAGCGAACAATTGTTCTGGGTAATTGTAAATGAGCTGACGATTGATGAATACATTGCAGTTGTGCTTGAGGATTTTTGTCACTTTGTCTTTCATCTTTTCCTTCTCTGCTGATTCCAACTCTGCTATTTTCGCCATCGAATCAACCTAATGCATCACATAACCTTTTTAGTGCCCGCTAAAGGATGAAAGATGACCCCTTACCTTGATGGTTGATCCAAAAACTTTTATTTTGTCTGTGTCCATAGGGGTGTTTGCAATAAGTATTTTGGCATTTTCCACTCTTTTGGGCTGATGTACCCCCGGTTTTTTATCCAGCAGAAATCCTTCTTCTAAAAAGGACTCCTCAAGTGTCCCACCTGATTTTTTAATTATTTGAATTGCCTGAAATGGAAGTTTTTTAAACATATTTTCTGTACATGTTTTTGGTATTCCTTAAAATGCGACTTAGTATTTACCTGTAAATTTCCTGAACCTTTAAGCCTCAACACCGCGTCGACAGCCAATTTTGAGAAATGCTCTTTGTGCTGAGATAAAATTTTTGAACTTAAAGTAGTTCGAGCAATATTCATTAAATCTTCTCTGAACTTTTCAGAATTCGAGCTGTTATCCCTTGACGTATCAGTGAGCGCTTTTCTGGCAATATCAACTGCTTTACGCCATCCCGCGATGATAATCTGAGGGTGCAGCTTTTGATCTATGAGTTTTTCTGCTTCCTTCAGTAATTCAGATGCTACATCAATAATTACAAAAAATACATTAAAATTCTGCCGCGCCCTTAAAAAACGAAAGACGGAATGCCTGCTTACCCAATACTGTTACAGAAGTTGTTCCATCACCTACTTCATCATCTTGTACTTTCGACATGTCAACCAATACCTTGGCAGCGGGGTTATCCACGCCGACTGATTTTAAAATAGTTGCCCCGTCATTGGTAACTTCCACAGATCCCGCGTTTCTGCCGCTGGAAACTAGGATTTTGTCCATGCCTTTAGGACCGAGAGTACTTTTTACCAGATCCCCTATCGCAATGGCCCCTACAAAACTACTGAGACGTGCTATTTCTGCCTTTTCCTCTTCCGCTTCATGCTTGAGGACTCTGACTGAGTTTAGAGAAACCTAAAAATGGGTAAGAATCAGTGGCACGTGCGCCCGGTCTTTGAAACGGCACCTGACTTTTTAAACAACATTTTTTGTTATTTCATTACGTGCTAGCAAGATGAAATTGACAAAACATATTGTGTCTTAAATGGAAATTATAATTTGATATACGAACCATTGCGGTAATAAGTAAATCTCTGATTTAATGTGGAAAAATACTAATAAACTTCACTAACTGCTTTCCAAACCTCACAGTCTCATAGACGTAAAGCGATGGGTCAGTTTAAGACACCACTGTAACAAAACAAACATGGATGCCGGAGATCTTCTTCTTAATTCCATTGGCCAAAGCGCTACGATCATTGCTTCTTAGAGCGAAGTATATTACTACCGAAGCGGTTGTTTTCGTATTTTCGAAAAGAGGAACTTTATTTTTAACGCATTTTTTTCACAAATACAACAAAAATACAACAAGTATTACTTACAACCAGGAGGGTATTGCATATATAAATTCATCGATAGGGCAAAACTACAAGGTAATGCGCCAAACCGTGCCGGAAAAATATGTCCAAATTGAAATCGTGTTCGTAAATTATAAAATATCAGCCTTCAAAGCAACAGTAGCACGACCTCCAACTTCTCCATGCAGCGGCGCGTCCCGGGTTCTAAATTTGGCGTCCAGACGCCCGCAGAAAATACGGCAGTTTTACCTCGGCGCGTCTCGAAATCAAAACCCTCTGTACAGCAGCCGCGCGATATAAAAAAATCGCCTCAGTCCGCGAACGTCGAGCGGTCGTATAAAACGTCTTGGCAGAGGAAGTTTGCTTTTTTTGCCTCGACGATGGGGAAGCGGGATTTTCCAGCATCGAAATTTTAAGAAATTTTAAATCCGGATTGTTTGCTCGACGTAATTGACTTGAGGATAGCACCAAAGGGACTATTTCGTTCGGGTTTAAGTTTGCTTAGGTGAGTTTCAGCGATACTGGGTGTTCACTAAAAATGTACATTCTCGGAATTACAAGTTGGGGGAATTTCACCTCTAAAGATCCGACCCAACGAAGGTTTTGGCTTAATGAGAATTGTGCAAATACATAAGATTCGGAAATACATCGGAACTCTTATATTGGCCTAAAAATAGATTCTATTTTAACGGTCGATGTGTATACGGGGAGCGATGCCCTTTTGAAATCCAAAAAAAGTTTTTTTTTATTGGTCGCAATTATATTGTGGACACAGTTACATCTTACACAATGCAATCGAATTTTTGCTTTAAATAAAGTGCGATTTCTCAGTGATCGATGTAATTGGCAATTTAACTTGCAAGTATTTCAATGAAAAATTATGCACTCTATATATGTATGAGTATTCACACTCTCACAAAAATTTTGGGAATTTTCGGTCCATTTTAAGAAGAAAATTTCATCTTATGATCGTGCATTAAATTTTCTTGTTGAAATCCTTGTATTTTTGCCACAATATTCCTTGCCGCATAACGTGAACAAGCCTGTATAATTTGATCACTCTTTAATTTGAATTTAAAATTTTTCAAGTTCGAAATAAATAAGAACTAAAAGTTCAGATTTTCACGAAATTATATATTTTGACATGACAATTGAATCGACAACACCGTGTCTTTATCAAACAGTGGTGTCGAAACAATTGTCATGCCAAAATATATAATTTCGTGAAAATCTGAACTTTTAGTTCTTATTTATTTTGATAAATGAATTTTCATCAAGTAAAAGCCTCCTCAGTTCAATTTTTCAAGTTCGCGATAATCATCATAATTGTTATTATTGTTATCTCAAAGCAATAATAATCGTTAATCATCACTGTGCAAAAGCCACAGCAGTTTATTACCTGAGAAGTGGCTTTAGGATTTATCACACATCATTTGTTACGGCATATAATTTAAGTCAAAATATTCAAAATCTCAATATCCAACATCTCGTTTAAAAAAATGCGAACGTTATTAATAATTTGTGATGAAGTTGGTGCCAGCCTCCGAAAAAAGTGTTGTATATGTGTGTAGGTGTGTGTGACATAGATTTTAATGTATATATGAGAGAAATGTAATGTAAGTCCTAAATCATATTTAATAGTTAGGGCTATGATTTTATTAAAAAATCTGGGTTAGTAAGCGCCGTGTGATATCCCACGATCTTCCCGAAAATTTGCTTTCTGACTTATTAATAAATTTGCGAAAAGTCTCCCGTTTCATAATTTGGCAGCCGTATGGCCATCCATAATTTATGTTAAGGGGACAATAAATTGTGTTAATTTTAATTGCCGTGCAACAGACGGAATTGATTTATGTAACTGCGAAACTAAACCAAGCTAAGCATCGGTCAAAAATTTTTGCTTCAACATTCGCCCTGGTTAAGAGCAGTTCATCCATCATTTGTAGTTCCAGAGATATGTGAGAATTTCGTTGATTGCTTTGAAAGTTTTTTGGACTTGCATCTTTGGAAACATCGAAATTTATTTATATAATCCATGACGTCTTAGATTGCTTAGCTTAGCTTAGTTGCTTCCTGTGTTATTTTCGTCAAAGTTTGTACACACTACTTCGACATTCGATCGTAATTTATTAAAATAAAAATAAGAATCCCAGGCTTTCTTCCAAATATTTAACCAATACGATTTATCAGGTGACCTGCATCGAATGAGTCAGAATCTTTAACTCAAATGTAAACGATGCCAAGTATAATAGACAAGCCATGAATATTTCAATTCCATTTTGCTCAGGCGATGAAATATCGTAGAAGTATTATTTCCAAATACCTAAACTCCGATTAATCCATGTGGGTGATGCACCGTTCGAGTATCATGCAAGATGAGAATAATTTATATAAGTACTTTTTTCCTTGGACTTTCTTCCCTCCTTTGAGGCCCTTATTTCAAATATTTATAGCCCAAAGTATTACAACTATTTGCCACATAACAATTACAGTAACAAATCCTTTCGACCCAGAACTTATTGGGAAGGCAACTGGCCTGATACAAAGAAGATTGTGATGGAAGGATGTATTTTATCTTTAGGGAAATCATTTAAATCAGAATGTAAGATCCGTCATCTCTAGCCGATCGTTACAATTAGTGATAAATTTGTTCATTCGTTTGCTTGTTTGATGATCCTATACCTACATATACCTACTTCAAATTATACCCCATCCTGTTAGGATGTCTACCAGAGTTCGTAGTCGCATAGGCTGAGGGGTCACTTTTGGTCCTCAGGCTTAGAGGTTCTCTCGGCTGCATAAGTCCATATACCTTCTTACAAGAATTGTAAGAATAATATGTGGCTACAAATGGGAAGAGTACAAAAGAGAGCCCTTGAATTTTTTAGTAGAATCATGTTTGTTATAATAATCCAAGTGCAAATTAATTGACATCGCCTATGCCAGGAACAAATAAAAATGTTTCAGTTACGTGCATCGATATGAATCTATTGACTGCGGTGATGTAAGGTTTTATTAATAGAGATCTTTGGATTAAGACCACTTCCGCCCTTCGAATTCATTGGGTTAGTCTTGCTAAGTAAACATTGAGATTTCACTGAAACATTTTTACAGGCATATAACTATAAGGTATCGCGTTAGGGATACGGATGGTCATGGCAATTTGAGTCACGAATTCTATAAGAAAATCCTCGAAATTATTTACGAGTTTTTGAAATGACCGCCATTGGGAGCAATTACCATCCTGATTTTTAATACCCGTTTTCTGCATAACTTTTGGATAGTGCCGGTAGTTAGCGTGAATACTGTTTTAAAGCTGAAATAAGTTCAAATATGTTTGTTAAATGGTTTTTTGTCTTATCTCTGGGAAGGGGTGGAGGGAGGTTTTTTAAAAATACATTTGGAGTTATTAAAAAGTTCTTTTCTTTAGCTATCAATCACGTTATGTGAAGCGACTGCTAAAAACATTCTAAAAAAAACAAAAAGGCAAAATATATGACTTTTTGTTTGCAAAATTTAGTGAAAACTGGATCCCAAAATATACCTCTAAACTTAAAATATGAATAAAGGAACTAAAATCTAATTTTGCTAATTTTGATTAGTTTTGTCAAGTTTAACTTTGTCTTTGTTGTCTACTTGTCCCCAAGTTATTTAAAATTGAAATAAAATTTGGTTATTTGTCGTAATTTGGTATTTTTCATTTACTGTCGACATCTTACTCACAAGACATTAAGTTTTCAAAATATTTTAATTTTTTTCACAATAAACAACAGACCTAGTATAGGATTAAAAAAAATGTGCGAACTAGACGATATAGCCGTGGATCTCGCAAAAATATTTGCAATAGAGTAAATGGTTGTCAAGAAAATATTTTTTTTCTGAAACTATGCGGTATGCCGTAATAGTCAACGACGTCATCGCGTCTAGACTGAGCGCGAGAAATAGTGATTTTCATATCGATTTTTTCAAATATTTAACAGTGTATGTATTGACGAACACCGTAAACACAAAAATTGTAGCGCTTGATGCTGCTTATAATGCTGTTAAAACAAATTAGCCATATTGTTTACGAATTTTGCTTTAAGAACTTTACTCAACAGAACAATTTTTTCTTTTAGATTTTTGTCCATAATTGAAAAAACACCGTATATAATAGAAAAATTGCTTGAAATAAAAGTAAAGTATCGGATATTCCGCGTCTTTTGGTTAAAGAATTTTGCCGATCGAGTTAACAGTTAGTTAGAAAAAATATTTTTTTTGGAGATCAAACTAACTAAAAAAAATCATTTTCTTAAAACAAATACTTGTCAAATATAAAGCCCATAGCTACAAATTTGAGACACCTATTATATTTTTGAATATAGCACTTAATATCCAGAACACTCTGTATAATATGTGAAAATATTATATATACAAAAGCTTTAGTTGTTTATATGGGCTATATGGATATCTAAATGAAACTGACAACTGAAACACAGCTATTGTCAATTATCATTTTAAGGGGAAACCAGTTTTCAGGTTTTGCGAATACCTGGCGCACTCCGTACATTTTTGAAAATTATGAAGTATTAGATCTTGTGGATATATCCGTTCAAGAATTTTTCGAGAATTGATTTTTTTTCTTGAACTCTTGCAAACGCGATTTTTGTTTTTGTTAAAAATATTTTCCGATTCCCCAACCACCTAATTTCAATAGATCCTGTCAGGGAGCTAAGCTCCATATTTGTGCCCAATTTCAAGTCCATAGCTTCAAATTTCGGACACTTATCGTGTTTCATAGCAATATGCAGAAACAGTCGAAAATGGCCGCCGAGGTTCGACCGCGGCCATTTTTACATATTTTGTGCGGTACGTGTATTGCTAAAAAGGAGCAGATTTTTAACCGTCTAGTTTAAACGCTTGGGAAGTTGTTGTCGAAAAAGTCCAGGAACAGAGAACGGACAAACAATTTTTTTTTTCGACGCTGATTCGTTCTGTACCAACAAATTAGTTTTTTCTACTCCCGTCTGTAAAATACCTAATTACACACCGATCTAGCGTGCGGGAAGTATCATTTTACCACATCAGTTTCGTTTCCCATGAATCCGAACCACTTCGGACATTTCCGGGATTTTACCGCACGGATTTGGGAGCAATCGAATGTTTTCGGAGACATTTCCCACGCTTTGAATTTTGACGTTTGTGAATTCTGACGGTTATGTCAGTGAATGTATTCCTGTTGTTTTGCGAAAATGTACCCAAAAGTTAACGGTCGTCGAAAAAGTATGGTATGCAACACTTTCGGTAAACTTTTTAACTCACTCGTTTATTAAAAACTCGCTCCGCTCGTGTCAAATAAACTCGTGAGTCAAATGCCGCACTTGTTGCATAATATACTTTATTTAGTAAAATAGGGATAATTAGACATTAATAACAACCCGTAAAGTGGAAATCTTTTCAAAATTTATTTTTTTTTAGTTTTAAGTTCTGTTATTCATATTGTAGGTTAGGATAAAGACATTGCGATGCCGTTTTCATTGTGATGAAATTGTTTTTTTTTTATTATGCCGGAAACGTCATCTAATGGCAAACTTGGCAATCGCAATCGCCGTACTTGGATTTATTTACATTTTTTATTGGGACACCCTGTACAGAAGAGCCATTTTATGGCAAATTATTCCAAATTTCCCGATGGAGGCTGTAAAAAAAGACAACCGTATAAAAAAAAAATACATCCCACGACGCAACTAATTCCAATCTATGACTTCATACTTTGACGTATATTATCTACAAATTTATCAAATCGAGTGCCTATCTTTATTTTGACGAGCCAACACCTAGCCAGCATAAATATCAACTTAAATATCCATTCATTCGAATACGGTTACTTGGACCTGCGTTTTATTTTCTCTCGTTCCCTCGTTATCGCCATGTTTATGACGTTATTTTAAGCCAGTTGCTTTTGTTTTCCAGACTAAGCCTGCCAGGATGATAAAAGTGGACGAGAGCGATCCAGTCGGCGGTGAGTTTATGGATTTTGTTTATTTTTATTCGCCTCGGCTTAAAAAAAATAACTTCGCTTCATCAAGGATGAACATATCGATTGCGAGAAAGGAAACAATTATGTGCGTACGAGGTGCGACGAATCGGGCTGTAAATTTACGCACGTGTTCGTATGTAGAATGCGGGCTTCCCATATTAATGGCGACTTATAATATTAAAATCGTCATCGATTTAATACGGACGATGACATGAAATTGGCCGACCCTTGGGCGCAACCTCTGGCGATTCACCAAATTACCGGATGAAATTTTTGGGCCTCGAACGCCGCTGTCTTTTAAATAACATAATTTGCGATTTTGAATAAAAGAAGCGAAAAACTGAAGTGCCAGAAATATACTTTTCAGAAACAACAATTGAATTTAAGACTAACTCAACTCATTTTATTTTCCGATTTGCTATGATTAGTTTCGCTAGAGGGCGCCAAGAATAGAATAGAATAGAAACGACTTTTATTTTTAACTCGGCGAAGTGCAGCATAATTGTTTTGTAAAATATGCATAAAATTTCCACACTTATTAAAAAATTTATTTTAATTCTAATGAACCAATATGTCTGATATTTCATAAAAGCTTACGCTTAGATTTAACAAAGAAAGATTGATGCTGTATCTCAGAGTTGAATATTTTGAGAACAACATATGAGAAAGTGCGCTCAAAAGCATCCGTTCTCGTTTACTTAGTTGGTCCACAATAACTAATTGGCAATTACACCTATGGACGAGTACCATTCTCAAGCAATTTATTGCTTGCATTATATTATTTATCTATTTATTGATTGCATTATATTATATTTTTGAAAAAAGTTCGCCACTGTGACCCAAAATTTTTAGACTCTTTATTTTGGAATTTCATCCAGATTAAAATGTCCAAATGTATGAGTAATATTTAAACTAGGTTTATTCTCAGGGCGCCACTAGAATTAACAATACAAATCAAGTGTGTCATTATTTATCTTGATATCTTTGGAACTATTTTAGGACGCAGTTTCTTTACTAAGTAAATAAACAACTAAATTATCTTTTTCGACATTGATTTGATGTTTAGAAACACCCCATGAGGGTGTTTAAAAAGCAACCGGAATAGATTACCATTTTTAGTGTGTACCCTGTGTATAAATAGAATTGGGAAAATAAACTTATAAGTGACTCTGCAAAATGGTTCTTTTCAGCATTTATTATTAACTTTGACTAAGTCAAAGATTGAATGAATTTTTGGCGTCTTCTGACATCGAAATTAGTAATGAGTCTTATAACAGATGCAGATGCCAATCATAATTTTCAATAACTTTTTGGAATACCTATTTTAATAGATATTAAAAGTGACCATCCCGAAAGCCTTATCAGAAGTTTTGCAGAATTTGAAAGGATTACCAGCTCGCACACGTCTACAATCAATCAATCAGTTTCTATCTTACGAACTTCAAATATTTATTTCACATTTCGGTATTTAGAATTTTACGGAATCATGAAACCGGATGTCAAATGTCATTCGATCAAATTATAATTCTTGTGTGTAATTAATTTTTCTGCCAAAGAAAACAATCTTATGCGATGCGATGCCAGTGCGGACTTTCTGTTATTTGCAGACGATACCACCATTTAAAAAGAGAGGAATAAAAAATCGGAATAAAACAAGAAATTAGGGTGGTTCAATAGATTCCCTGTGAGTTGTTCTTTCATCATCACAGAATTATTCGAACAAGATCTGGAGTAGTTTGGTAGATAAATGTTTAAATATGTAATGTAATAATAAGAAAGTTTATGTTTATAAATCTGGAGCTGATGAGGCAAGAAGGTATGCAAAAGGACTACATAGTGATCTAATGAATACTTAAGCCACTCTCATTGTTTGGCATTGATTTCTTCGCCAATTTTTTTTTGTTTCTTTGTCTTCTTCTCTTTTTTGGGAATAGGCCCGGCAGAACGGTAAACTGCTTTTATGAGTTAGGAGTTTGCGGCCACAGTTGTGTGCGATCATTCAACTGGTCAGCACACTGCCGCTTTAGAGAAATTATACAGATACGGAATTGATGCCCCGTCCATCAAGCTCATGCAGAGCTATCTTTTCGGGAGGCAGCAGATTGTTGTTTTGAAATGTGTGTTTTCAACAGTTCAGTCTGTAGGACATAGAGTGCCCGAAGGCTCTGTTATTTCTAACTTATTAAAATGATCTTCCCAGAACATGTCTAATGTGGTTTTCTCGTTGTTGGTTCTCGGTCAGCAAGCTCAATCTTAATGAATCTAAAACATCTTTTTCCAATCCATCAAGGGTGGAGTTTTATTTGACCATAAATTGATCGTTTCCCTTTGTGATAAACTTTCGAAAACAGAAAGAAGACAGGGAAAAAAGTTTAGAAATTAGAAAGAGTTAGAAAGATATTCACAATCAGGGGACTAGAAATAGTAATGATTTTAGGATCCATTACTCAACAATATGAAGAACTAAACACTTTAAAAACTTTTGAATTTGTTACCTCATACCGTTACAGAATTTTGCAAATAAAGTCAAAGGTCTCCTCATTCGACAATTTTATTTTCTTAATCATATTAATTAACGATAAAGTTTTGTTCAAGTTTTATTTTATTTTATATTTATATGATATGATATTTATATGATAGATTGAATTAATTTATCATCATATAATCATTTAGTTTTTAAAAGCAGATGAAAAAATCCAGCAGGCCACAAATTCAACTTTAACTGTCAAAGAAAACAATTGTTTTTTCATGAAAATTTAGTGTCATTTTAATTAAACGGCGTTATTAAATAGTTTTTTTGAAGTGAAGCCTTTTCGTAATGGATAACAATACTCAGAGTAAGTTACACAAATTATGCCACACTTAGTTCAAAATAATTAGGTATCTATACATTTACAGCTAAAAAAGCTAAACAGGATTTAAAGTTGTTTAAAATATTCGATACTTCTTTTCAGTTAGAGCTACAAAAAATTAATTGCAATTCATTTATATTTAAGTAACATTTTACTGTGTATTGGAGCATTACCCTAAATAGCTTGCAGTATATTTTTGCGTAAACTTGCATAAACACGTTTTAGGCGTATTTTTACTACCGATGCCGAGTGGACCATAAAAACCAAAAACATATTTTTTTTAATAACATTTTTATTTTTTGACCGATTTTTATAAATCAAACACTGAATGATAGCAATAGATTAAGCCCCTCTAGAGGGCGTCGGTTTTTGAAATGATTTGATTTTTAGCTAATCTAATGTTTATGCTTTCAAGAAAAATGTTAGGTTATTTGTAAATTTTAATAAACTACGGTTCTTAACAAGATTACTTTCGAAAAATCGTCGCTGGACGGGGCAAGTTCGTAGCGCCTAGTGCGAAGCAGCTTTTTACTATAAAAGGAAAGAGCTTCGCGGTTTCATGTGGTAAAGAGACGCATTGTTTTTCTATCGTGCTATTGAGGACCACTATGTAACTTTAACAAAATCGATGTAATTTTATTGTGCATGCACTCTGTATAAAGTGTCCTTCACATCTCGTCAAAGTTACAGCAAACATCGGTAAATATTCAAATTTGCACAAATAATAGCGTTGTCGAATGATATTTTTCAAATATTTCGCGCCATGTATAACTGACGAAATCTGAAACCCTCTCTCGACACAGTTTACGATACTGTTCAAATAAAATTATCCCATCTTTAACGGTTTATCATTTATCGCCAATAATTTACCCACAAGAACGGAAATTTTTAGGATCTTTTAGATTTTTTGCCCATAAACCACAGACCCTGTATATGATTCAAATGTTCGAAGTAGAGGTTATAACCCTATATCTTCCACGTTTCCTGGTCCAAGAATTTTTTGAAAATAGTAAATGGTTTTCGAGAATATAAGTTTTTTCTGAAACCATGCCGTGCGCCGTTATAATCAATGACGTCATCGCGTCTTGACAGCCCCGAAATAGCGATTTCAATATGGATTTTTTCAAACATCCCGAGCAGCGTATGTGATGCGGACTATGACACTGTTTGAACCAATTAGATATATTTTTTATGATTTTTGATTTGCGGCTAATAATTTACTCTGCAAAAGAACAATTTTCTAGCTGTTTTAGATTTTCGCCTATAATTTGAAAACCCTGTAAATAATCGGAAAAATGTTTCAAATAAATGTTATTGCACTGGATCTTCCGCATCTGCTGGTTAAAGAATTTTGCAGATCGGGTGAACGATTATGGAGGAAAACATATTTTTCTGGAAGCTAAAATTACCAAAAAAATATTTTTCAAAAATTATTAAAAAATACTTGGTAAAATTTGCAGCCAATTTCTACCGTTTAAATGTGGAGGCGAACTTTTACTTTTCTGCTAAATTTGAAGTGGATATCTGCAAATTTAGGACACTTAACAATTATTTAGCACGGAATATCGGGAACACCCTGTACAATAGGTGAATAGGTAAATAAATGAGATTTGAATCATAGTCTTTCAGTTATAACCAATTTTCCATAGTAGGTGGACCCATTTTTTTTTAAATTTGCCGCGCACCCTGTATATTTTTGAAAAAATATCAAAAATAAAACTTTATAGTTTTCTAAGTTCAAACTAAAAGACCAGAATGGAGAACGGAGAACGGACAAACAGACCTACTGTTACCGATATACATTGTTTATAGGAGCGTAGATACTTTCGAAAAATTCGATTTTATTGAATTTCGAAAGTCCAACGCAGTATTGAGTGTAAAAATCGGCTTAGTTGTTCAATTTATTCAAATACTTTTTTCCCATTAAGTTCCACTAATTTGCTGATGCAAATTAAATTCTTTTAAATTTTATAACAAAAATAAATCAAGGCCGGTGTATAGTGTTAAAACAAGTTTAAAAAGTAGCCGCGATTTAAGACCTTAAGATGGCGACTTTGAAATCCTGACTTTTATGTAGGCCTATATTTCTGACATGTGGTATTGGTCCACTATAACGTGGTATAAACCATG